ACATCCTAGTAAAACAAGGGATCTGCCGGAGAATATTTTGAAGTAAACGTAACTATATATAGGATGGCTATGATCGCCATGATGGTCGGCGGGGCGTTAGTAAACGCCCTGGCATTTTCTGGGAGTAATTTCCTCTTCTCGAAACTACGGGAGTCACACGCGGCTGAGATACAGGCTGAGCGTAAGCGCCACGACCTGGCCATTGAGAAATTTCAAGCAGCTCAAGCTGAGTACACGAAGAAACGTGTACAGAGGATCGATTACATTAACGAACATGATGTCGACGACGCAGCGAGAGAATACTACCTACTAACAGGTAAACAGCTAGAACCACTCCATAAGCCCACACTCGCTCAGTACTAAACACCATCCCCGAGGCAGTAGGACCGGGAACTGGTCTTTATCACGCTGGGTCTAGCAGCGACTGCGTTGGTTGCAAAACAATTATACTAAGTACTCATTTGAGTATACCAAAGATGAGACCTGCCCCGTACCGATGTCAGTACATACTTATGGGGAAGACCGAGGCCTGCGGTAGGAGATGCAGGTCTGAGGGGTACTGTTGTTTCCACATGGGAAGCCCGAACTACACGTGTTCTGTGTGTGGTATCGGGGTGAAAGGGCACTACTGCCTATGCAAAGCTCACGGAGCAAACGTAGTCAGGCATCATCTTATCTACAAGGTGAAAAAGGACTACAGAAAAGAACGTAGACGCCTCCTCAGGATAGCAGTGTAGTGCCCCAATTAGAGACTGTGCACACCTAGGTATAACAATGTTCGTGGAAGTTGAGCCCAGGGAAAGTCGTTGCCTGAGAAGCTTGCAGATGGCTGTGGGGGAAAGTATAGATATCAGTGTCCTCAGACCTATGATTGTTGGTGAACTCTATAAGGCACTGGAAGACCTGGAGGAGGACTTCGCAGTTTCAATCATGGTGAAAGTAGGGTTTGATGTACCGGCTGGGCACACTTGGAATTACTTTGACGGTGGGAAAGGAGATGTGTATCAAGGCGGGGATATAAAGGAGTTTGTCGACACCTCGTTGCAAATAATACAAAACGCCCTACTATGCTGCGCATGTTCCGGGTGGGTTGAGGGTATAATCGATAAGGTCTATCTTGATATTTACTAAGGTTGGAGGAGTTACCTCCCTTGCCGGCAGCCCAATTAGAGATTGATATACTTAGGTGTGTACACAATGTCTACTACTCGGGAGCTCAAGCAGATCATCAGACAGCGAGGTGTAATTGGTTACTCTCGAATGAGGAAACCACAGTTGTTGAGATTACTTAACATACAACCCCCTCCCACGGTAAAACAACTAAACCTCCGAGCAAAAGAGCTAGGGTTGACGGGTTATTCCCGCCTGAGGAGAGAAAGGTTAGTCGCATTATTAAACGACCCCATTCGCGTTCAGCTCCCTACTGTGAAACTACTCAAACAGAAGGCCCGCCAGTTGTGGTTAAGAGGTTATTCCCGTATGAGGAAGCCACAGCTTGTAGAACTATTACGGCAGAATAGAGCTATTGACCTAGAGTTCATGTGCACTGAGCGCACTGTTGGTACCTATTTGAGAGGCTGGCGCATGCATGTTGATAGTAACATAGACATCGCCGATATCAAGCCTCTAATCGCTGATAAAGTCAATGAGGAACTAAACGATTTGGGAAGTATAAAGTTTCAAATCACAGTGAAAATGTCACTCGATAAACAGCAGGGGGCTTGGGTCACTGAGTACGTTCAGCCTTACTTCCAAGGTAAACAAGAAGTCGTGACTCATACCGATACCAGTTTTCAGCAGATACGAGAATACCTAGAACGCTACACACACATGGGGTCCGGGTGGGTCGTGGATCAAATCGATAATGTCTATCTAGACATAGCTAACTACGTGCCATTCAGAGGCGTGTCATACCTAGACTTGCCCCCATACTACAAGGCAAAACAGGCCATGGTCAACGTGAATAATAGAGGAGACGATTGCATGAGGTTAGCTATCAGGTCAGCCTTGTTTCCAGCTGGCACTAATTCGAACAGGCCTTCTAGTTATCCCCAAGACGATGGGCTCAACTGGGATTGTATAGATGAACTAAACCCCATATCTCAGATCACTAAAATAGAAAAACAGAATGATATAGCCGTAAACGTCTTTGGGCACGAAGGTAACACAACGATCGTGCACAGGATTAGCCAAGTGTTGGACCGCCGCGTGATCAATGTATTCATGATCCAGCGAGGTGATAAGTACCACTACGCGTGGATAAAACACTTCAGCAGGCTGTTGTACGACCAATCGGCACACCGAGAAAAGAGTCACTTCTGCGAACGGTGCCTGCACGGTTTCAGCCGACCCGACCTGCTGGAATCACACGGGGGGGATTGCCAAGGTGTGGGGCAGACGGCCATACGAGTCGACATGCCTTAGGAAGGCGACAATATCCTAACATTCCACAACCACAAGAATCAGATGTCCGTGCCTTATGTCATCTACGCCGACTTCGAAGCCTTGGTTAAACCCGTTGAGGCTGCCGCCGGCAGGGCCACACAGAAAACACAGGAGCACGAGGCCTGTGGGTTGGGACACGTGGCCGTCCGGTGTGATGGGGAAACGAAAGCTCCCGTAGTGTACAGGGGTCCCGACGCGGCTGAAAAGTTTCTAAAGTGTTTGCAGGAGGAAGAGAAAAGTATTAGGAATGCACTATACACAGTCGCTCCCATGCGTATGACTCAAGCTGACCGGCTAGCTCACGCCTGCAGCACTCACTACCATGTGTGTGATAGCCCACTGAACGGTGATTCGGTGAGAGATCATTGCCACGTTACCGGTAAGTATAGAGGCGCCGCTCACAGCGTGTGTAACCTCAAGCTTAGAATCAACCCCAAGACAATAAACATCCCCGTGGTCTTCCACAACTTGAGAGGGTACGACTCTCACTTGATCATGCAGGCCATCGCGAAAGTCGACGGCAACCTGACGTGCATCCCCAACAACATGGAGAGATACATCTCCTTCAGCTTGAATGGCCTGAGGTTCATCGACTCGGTTCCGTTCCTCCTGTCGTCACTCGACAGTCTGGTCAAGGCCAACGATACCTTCCCCATCACCGATCGATACACCGACGCCGAGACTAGACCCCTGCTGATGAGGAAGGGTGTGTACCCCTACGAGTACATGGATGGCTGGGCCAAGTTCGCTGAGACCCGACTACCCCCCATCAGAGAATTTTACAGCAACCTGACCGACTCGACAATCACCCAAGACAATTACTTGCACGCGATTAACGTATGGAATACACTAGGCTGTAAGAATCTGGGTGACTACCATGACCTGTACTTGAGGACAGATGTACTCCTGCTAGCCGACGTGTTTGAGACGTTTAGGCGGACGTGTTTTAAGCAGTATCAACTCGACCCCGCATGGTACTAAACCAGCCCAGGTCTGTCGTTGGATGCCTTGCTGGAAAAGACCAGAGTTAAGCTGGAATTGCTCACCGATTACGACATGCACCTATTCATTGAGAAAGGCTTGCGAGGTGGGATTTCCATGGCTACCAAACGATACACGAAAGCAAATAATCAATACGTGAAGGGCTACGACCCGAGCAAGCCAACCAATCATATTCTCTACCTCGATGCCAACAACCGGTATGGCTGGGCCATGAGCCAGTATCTACCCACAGGGGGATTCGAGTGGGCATCGCACAAGATCAATGTTATGAGCATCGCGGACGATTGGAGTAAAGGCTATATCCTCGAGGTGGACTTGGAATACCCCAAGGCATTACACACATCACACAACAGCTATCCCCTGGCCCCCGAACGTATGAGGGTTAACCCAGACTGGATGTCTGAGTACCAACATAACTTGCTAGGTGGGCGGGTGGCAGACGTTGAAAAACTCGTGCCCAACTTAATGAATAAGACCAATTACATCGTTCACTATCGCAACCTACAGCTGTACCTGTCGTTGGGTATGAGGTTGACCAAAATACACAGGGTGCTCGTGTTCAACCAGAGCCCCTGGATGGAGCCCTACATCAGAATGAACACAGACCTGCGAAAGCTTGGCACCAGTGACTTTGAGAAAAACCTCTACAAGCTCATGAACAACTCGGTGTTTGGTAAGACTATGGAGAACCGGAGGAAACGCGTGACCGTGAAGCTGGTTCGGTTGAATGAGGAAGACAAGCTCAGGAGACTGATAGCCAGCCCGGCATTCAACCGGAGCAAGATATTCACCAACGACCTGGTTGCCCTACACATGAAGAAAAGCCACATCAAATTCAATCGACCTGTTTATGTGGGGATGAGCATTCTCGATTTATCCAAACACCTGATGTACGACTTTTACTACAACGAACTGAAAAAACAGTACGGTGACAGGTGTGAAGTGCTGTGCACTGACATGGATTCCCTGCTGATGGAGATTCGAACCGAGGACGTGTACGAGGACATGAAAAAACACCTCGATTTGTATGACACCAGCGACTACCCCAAGGACCATGCCATACACAGCACGGTAAATAAAAAGGTCCTCGGTAAGATGAAGGACGAGTGTGCTGGCACGCCCATAGCTGAGTACATAGGCTTGAGACCCAAGATGTACTCCATCCTGAAGGCCGACAACGGTGAGATCCGGAAGGCGAAGGGTGTTAAGAAGTACGTGGTGAAACAACACATCAAACACGCCAGATTCAAGGAAGCCCTGTTCAAGACCCGTACCTTCAGGCATAAAATGAACACGCTTAGAAGTGATTGGCATAGGATATATGGACTGACTGACGATAAACAAGACGTTCCTGTCGCCGATGGACACTAAGCGTTGGATAGCTATTGATGGGATCAACACGTACGTGTATGGGCATGAGAAAATTCAACCAAGAACATAGGTGTATATATAAACACGATACCATGTCATGGAACCAGAGAAAGTTTGGGGCTATTTACTACAGCCCGCGTGGGTACTGGAAAGGAGCTAGCGCCGTACATAAGCTGGCTAAAATGGCTCAAGTACCCCCAGGTGAGGCCAAAGCGTGGCTTGAAAAACAAGCCCTGTGGCAGATCTATTTACCGGCACCACGCTACGTGCCTAGAAGGAAGTTCGGTATTAACATACCCAGTAGCGTTCACCAGGCCGACCTCCTGTTCCTACCCAACGACAAGAGATACAAGTATGCCCTAACCATCGTGGACGTGGCCAGTTTCTATAAGGAAGCCGAACCCTTAACCGCGAAAGACTCGGCCCAGGTAGCCCGCGGATTCGAACGCATATACAAGCGCAGTCCGCTGACATGGCCCACAGAGCTGCAAGTTGACCCCGGGCGGGAGTTCATGGGTGTCGGGTCACACTTGCTAGACAAACACGATACCAAGGTCAGGCGTGGCAAGGCCGGAGCCCATCGCAGCCAAGCCATAGTTGAGAGATTCAATAGGACTTTGGCTGAGCGCGCTTATTCGGACACCAGTATGAGAGAGAGATGGCCAACCCTGGGAAACGATCGACTGAATGGGTAGCGCGGTTACCTCAGGTGGTGTCGGCCATCAACCATGAAATCACCCGCCTCACCGGCAAGAAACCAGCCGATGCTATCAAACTAAAATCAATAGTGGCAGAGTCGGCTGCACCATTGCGTGGGAAGGAGAAACAGATACCCGATAGCGCCCTCGTGAGGTACCTCTACCAGCTGGGGGAACACGAGGGTGATAGTCGTAAGCGAGCCACCGATCTGATATGGTCGGTCAAAACTTACAACATAGATAAAGTGGACATCAAAGCCGACAAGCCGAACTTGTACTACTTGAGAGATGGGCCAGGGAGAGGGTTCGTTAGAGAGGAATTATTGATCATACCGTACGGCGCAATGTTGCCACCCGGCAAAATATTTAACACTTATTGTTGGGTTATCTCAATGGTATCCTGTCAATGCGGCATAGAGCTATCACGTGATCAGGAAGTGGCACGTGGGGTCGGGAAGTTAACTGGGGATTCAAAAGTAGTAGATACGATGGGGGCGTGATCTAAGGGCCTGACAAAGCTTTATTAATGAAATAAAGCTTTACAGCGACCTTTCTTGAAAGTGATCTCGTACCCCAATTACTTCTACTACTTATTTCGTTAGGTAGTTCAGAAAGTTAATCCCTTAAAACAACATGCACCGTCAGCCCTCCAACATCAAAGGATTTTCACTGTAATAACAAATGTCTACTTCCAGGTAAGACATCACTGAATACACCCATATTCTGCCTTGTAAACACAGCGACCTTCCTTCGAGGATTAACCAACAATATTTGATTTTTTAAAACAATTGTGGACATAATGTAAAAAATTGTCAGGTGTATAATCTTTGGTATCCAATGAAACACGGTCACGTGACATGGAACAGGTTTTTGGGCAGCTGCAGATGAATGGCATATCCCACGGAGGGATTGTCACGCACGTCGTTACCCAGTGACTGACTCACCTCGAGATAGAACTACTGCCACGAAACGATGTTATGTGGCTACAACAGGATGGCTACTTTTAAGGACTGGCCCGAACAGCTGGTTCAGAAGGGTAGACAGCTAGCCCGGAGAGGGTTTTATTATACCGGTGTTTCGGACAAGGTCGCATGTACCTGGTGTGGATTACGATTGTGGAAATGGTGTGCCGAGGATGATATCGACTTTGAACATCACAGGTTTAGCCCATCGTGCTCATTCCTGAAAATTACTTGCCCCGTCAGGTTTGATACTGACATGAGAACTGCATTGTGAACTGAGAGCTGATATGTGAGTAGAAATGTAATCTTAGCATATTTACGAATAAAATTTGTGAAATGTTGTTTACTTGCCTCTGTTGTGTTTTATAAAAAAAGTGTTGTCGATGTCTACCTCGTGGGTATATTTTTGGGGGATGGTTTAAACAATGAAGAATACGATGCTCGTGCGGTCTTGTATTGTAGAGAGCTTTACATAGACTGCCCGACTCGATGTCTTCTATGTATTTGGTAGAATATAACCGCCTTCCCGTGTTGTATTGTAGAGAGCTTTACATAAACCGGAGGGCGTGTTATTCTTTCGAGCGTCTTGATACATTTGTTTTGCTGCCTTGTATTTTAGAGAGCTTTACATCGGCAGCACGACATTTACAGACCTCTTTCAAAATTGTTATTCGTCCCCTGTTTGGGGTTTACTATACGAGGTAAAGAACGTAACACTCCGTACTACTCTTGCTGCTTTGCCATTTTCTACCTCACAGATTTGTTTTTATGTAGAATATCACCGTCTTGTATTGTAGAGAGCTTTACACAGACGGGGATGGTCGTGTGATTAAGAGTGTCTAGGTATGTCTTGCGGTCTAGTATTGTAGAGAGCTTTACATAGACAGTACGACATTCCCTAGCCTCCTTCAAACCAGATATTTAATGGCACGCTAATGGTGAGGTAAAAAATGTGTGCGAGAGCAATTGAGATTTATTTTTAGTTTGACGGACGCACTCGGATTCTTATGGCCGCCATTTGTGTGTGTGTCGTCACAGGGATGGTCAGCTCATGACCGTCTCCGTGACGTCAGTATGGTAGCATATTTTCGAGGTTGCGTCACAACCAGTGACGTCACCACCTTCGTTTGTTAGGTCGTGACGTCTCGAGACCTATCGTCGTGACGTCATACGTGTATGACGTCAGTGTGGCCATATATTTTCGAGGTTGCGTCACGTTACGTCACCTCGGAAATGTGCGGTCCCCTTACTACTTCCTTGTAACAACTCATAGACATATACTCATATCACGATTCCGGAGATTCCGGAGAACAAAATCAAAGCCTTGGCGTCGGATGAAATGTGTGTCCACCCGTTAATGGCGTCCTTGTGATATGACGTCGGATTTCACAGGCCGTGCCGATTCTATTGGTTTAAACATAATTTATCCACATAAAATGAAAACAAAGGATGCAACATATATTTACAAGAAAAGGTTAACTTAAGGCTGTGAGAAAAGAATCATGAAGGAAAAAAGTTGTTTCAGGTGAAATAAATTTTAATATTCTAGATTTGAATTTTTTACACCTTGCAACTGGACAAACGTCCACAAGTGTCCAAACTAAAGACATTATACCGAGAATAGCCAGAGGCAAGGGCTCAATTTCTCGTGTGTCAACCACAAGCGTCAAGTTCTTGCCCTTAGACGTGATATTTTATGACGCTTTGGGTGCTGTTCACCCACTCAGTTTCAGATGCGGTGACTGTCGCACGAAGCGATCAAATTCATCGCAAAGAGGTTCTAATGGATACTGGCGGTTAAGAGCGCCAAGCGCACGCTTTCGCACATGTTTGCGGTATTGCCTTGTCGTGGTAGAAGTTGACGTTAGCAAAATATTTCAAATATTACGGGGGTCATTCGTTCGCAAATTGACTTCCTTACCTAGTTATTGAAACAATATATTCTTGCACACAATTAACTAGTCACAGATTAATTTTTACAAACTTTTGCAGGAAAGAATGATACTGAAATAATGAAATACATTTTATGAAATATAACAACAATTCCTTCAATTTATAGTGATATGTGATATGCCCTGGTCGGATGTCTCGAAGTTCGGATAACTCGATATTTTTTCTTGGTCCCATGAATATCGAGACAACGGTGCTAGACTGTAACTGGGTATATTTGTTTTGCGGCCTAGGTTAGTTAGTAATCAAATACCTTATGTATCCGAAAATTAATCTCTTAAATTATATTTTTATTATATAATATTTATCAAATTATATTTTGTATTTGACACATTATCCTTTAATTACTGATATCTTCATGATCTGGTCAGTACCTGTGTGTGGAAAGGGTATACAGATTTGAAAATGCATCTGCAAAGATCCGGGTGGAATTGATCCCATGCTTGTCGAAAGAGGCGACTAATGGGATCGGGTGGTCATGCTCGCTTACTTGGTTGACACATGTCATCGTATCTCATTTGCGTAGATCGATGTTCATGCTGTTGATCACTGGATTGTCTGGTCCAGACTCGCTTATTTACAGACCGACGCCATATAGCTGGATTATTGCCGATTGCGTTAAACAACAAACAAACACACAAAAACAAACTTATTTATTACAAATTATTTATTACAATCACCCAGGAGGTCGTATTGATCATGGCCACCACGCCAATTCCGCCAAGAAGGCCTTGCAAGACGTTTTGGCGTTTGAAGAGGCCGTCGCAGAGTCGAACCGTTTGGTCAGCATATCGGACACGTTGACGATCGTCGCGGCTGACCACTCGCACGTCTTCACCATCGGCGGCTACCCAAACAGAGGGAACAATATTTTGGGTGAGTGATTTATGTTTTACGCCGCTCTTTCATGGCGTCTGAAGTTATGTAGGCTAATTATTTTCATCACTATGGTGAAACCCAATGATTGTGCTAAATCAGAAAGGGTTCTCGGTCTGCGGATCCTGACACACCTAATGGATACAACTCTGTACCAGAGAGACTACCAGAGTTGTGCGTATCCCAATTGCGTAGATCGATGTTCATGATGTTGATCACTGGATTGTCTGGTCCAGACTCGATTTTTTTACGGACCGCCGCCACATAGCTGGAATATTACTAAACAAAACTCACTCATTCCTTGTTACTCTTGAAGGCCTGGTCGACCCCGACTACCCCAATGGTCCTAACGATGGAATGCACCGCACCACTCTCGTGTACGGCAAAGGCCCAACCGGTCAAAACCGAGTCAATCTGACCAGCGTGGACACCAGTAAGTATTGAATCAAGGACGACTAAACTGCGAAGTAAATGAATCAAAAGCTGCCCGTACTAGTCCTCTGAGGCCACTACGGGATCGGGTGGTAAGACCCGCTGACTTGCAATTGGTTGACACATGTCGTCGTATCCCACCCGTGAAGGTCCGGGTTAGAATGTACTTTCAGTAACCCATGCTTGTCGTAAGGGGCGACTAACGGGATCCGGTGGTAAGACCCGCTGACTTGGTTGACATATGTCATCATATCCCACCCGTGAAGGTCCGGGTTAGAATGTACTTTCAGTAACCCATGCTTGTCGTAAGAGGCGACTAACGGGATCAGGTGGTCAGGCTCGCTGGCTTGGTTGACACGTCATCGGTTCCCAATTGCGCAGATCGATGCTCATGCTGTTGATCACTGGATTGTCTGGTCCAGACTCGACTAATCAAAGACCGCCGTCTTACAGATGGAATATTGCTGAGTGAGGCATTGAACAACAGTTGTGAAATGTTGACGGAAAACCTAAGTCTAAGTATACTAGCCACATAAAGAAACTGTGCATTGTCAAAATATTATCCCAGTTGATAAGTACGATAACAGTGTCAAAGGTACATATAAACGTTAATGGAGGGATCATGAGACCATAACAAGTCGGGAGAATTTCAGTGCATCGACGACGCATAGAGCCTATCAAACGTGCAAGGAAGGCTTGTGGGATGTCACGCCAGATTCTCTCAAGTTCTGATGCAAGGTCAAGGACGTTATCTGGCGGATGAGGAAGACGGCGTAGACGTCGATCGATCTCGTCCCAAACATGCTCTATCGGGGAGAGATCCAGTGAATTTGCAGGCCAAGGCAGTAAGTCAACGTTGTGGTGTTGCAAGAAATCCATAGCAACCCTTGCCGTATGAGGGCGGGCATTGTCCTGTTGGAATGTTAACCCAGGGCCATGACGTTGCAGAAAAGGAATTGCCACAGGTCGAAGAATCTGATCCCTGTAGCCCACACCAGTTAAATTGCCCTGAACAATCACCAAAGGAGTTCTTTGGCGTGCTGTTATTCCACCCAAAATCATCACGTGCACGGAACCACCACCAAAGCGATTCCTCTCCAAGACACAGGCCTGTGCATAACGTTCTCCCACGCGTCTATAGGCACGTTGACGTCCATCACTATGGGAAATGTTAAACCTGGACTCATCTGTAAAAACAACATTTCTCCACCAAAACAAGGGTCTGCGGACATGATTTCGGCACCACAATCGGCGAGCTTGTCGATGACGTTGTGTCATGATAGGCCGTATGGCGGGACGTCGTGGTCTGATCCTGTGATGACGTAAACGTTGTCGAACTGTGTTGGGGTGGATACGGCGAAGTCCTGGGATGGTTCGGGCAGTCATCACTGCAGTCTGAAACCTGTGGCGAAGATGGGTCACCCTTATCCATCTGTCCTGTCTTGGCGTTGTTACACGTGGACGTCCAGAACGTGGCCGATCGATGACGCCATTTGTGTTCTGGTAGCGTTCTGGAAATGTGCAGCCACTTGTCGTTAAGACATTCCCCCACGGACCATCCCAATGGCCTCATGACGTTGTGCAGACGTGAGCCTTGGCATGCTATGCGTTTCAATAGCCGTTTAATTTTTTGAACGATCGCAAGGGCAGGGGTTGAGCTTTTCAAAGTGACAGTATTGTGTTGCATTCATTTGCTCTGTTACTCTTTCCCGGAATGCACGTGCAACAACGTATTGCACGTCTCAAGGACGAACCCACTGACGTCACGGAACGTGGCACGTGCATGCATGTTGGATACATGTCACTAATCTCTGAGTTTAAATCCTTATGTGTCTACACAGGTTTGATAAATTTAGATTTTAAATTTTTGTATGCACAGTTTCTTTATGTGCCTAGTATATATTTCTTTGGACAAATAGCTTCTGAAAATGCATTGAAATGAAAACCATATTTGGAAAAATACAATCAGGGTAGAACATGAAAAGCTGTTAAGTTGTAGGTCTAATTTCGGGGGCGATGGGTTAGCCTGGGAGTTAAAGCGTTCGCTCGTACCCTACATGGGTACAATCATTCGTGACCAACTCGTGTTATTCCGGGACAAGCCTTGGAGGTTACGGAAAGGGGCGAGTGGTGACGAATGGGGTACAATATGTGGAGCCCATTTCTGGTGTCCCCCACCGTGGTATACCTGGAATATTGCTAAAAGTATCGTAAATCGATACTCACTCACTCACTCTGATTACAGCGGCAGACAGTTACACTCAAGAGGCGACGGTCAAAATGCCCTATGAGACGATCTATGCGCGCGGACCCATGGCGCATCTGTTTCACGGCGTGCACGAGCAGCACTATATCGCCCACGTGATGAGCTTCTCGGCCTGTATGGGGCTTTACAAGGGCGACTGCGATCGCGTGACAAGCACAACAACCACTCTACAGTTTAATACCCCAGTTGTGTTTTTGTTGTCCTTGTTTTTTTGGTCACTTCTATGATCCCTTGAAACATATACCCTAAATATCAATTTCTGTAAAGCTCGAATTCCACCGAAAGTGGTTCTAGGTCTTTGGGCCACCCGTATTTTTTTTGATTTTCTCATCTGCAATCTCAGCTATGTAGTAAGAGAGAGACGGCCGCAATCTGTTTTTCGCTGGCTGTATAACACATTTATGACATTTTTTAAATTTAGAACATTTGATAATTGTCTTCGAATACATTTATAGTGCCGATCGGGTCACTTCGGAGACATATGATTAATGAATGTGACAAAAACGGGTTGGGTTGGTCAGGCTCACGGACACTTTAGAAGTTGGGAAGTACAATATTGACAAACTTTATGGATAATATTAAAAGAAGTTATCTATAAAGTTCTTCAATATTGGTTGACACATGTCACCGTACCCCAAATGCGTAGATCGATGCTCATGCTGTTGATCACTGGATTGTCTGCACACGAAAAACTGTTTATAGTATCCTTAAGCTCGCTCGCTCACTCACTCGCTCGCTCACTGATGTGTGCGTCTTTAACGTTTCACTGTAAAACACGTTCAGGGTTTTCTTTGCAAGCCTTGCACTAGAATTTGTCAAATTGCCTATATCAGTAGAATATTGTCCATGTACTTTGTATATTGCTTCGTATTTTATCCTGTGTCGAGCTAGATTGTCGATATGCCTAATATCTTATTCATTGACGGTCGTAAAATATTTTCCGGGACCCGCTTTGTTTTGACCTTGACCTTGACCCGAAGCCTTGCTACCAGCGTTGCGTCGCAAACAGTGGTATTTATACAGATGCAGTCAAACACCGTTGTGTCGAACTTGGAGGCATCTGCATAAATAGTTCGAGTTATCCGAGGTTCTGCACAACCACATAATGATGACTTCGAGTTATCCGATGTTCTACACAGAATGATGACTTCGAGTTATCCGAGGTTCTACACAACCACATAATGTTGACTTCGAGTTATCCGAGGTTGTACACAACCACAGAATGATGACTTCGAGTTATCTGAGGTTCTACACAACCACAGAATGATGACTAAGTAAGGAATACGCAGACTTTACTTCGAGACAACCTCAGTTCGATACATCGAAGTTCGACACAGCGGTGTTTGATCGCAGTTGTACTGGATATCGGCGCTATACAAATGTTTGTATGTGTGATTCAGGTGCGTTTGATACACATTAGGTTACGTACAGTTATAACGAACACCTTTATAACAAAAAGGCGGATATAACGATGTTTTTGTCCCGACCGCTAGCTGTATGCTTTAGTCGAACTGAGTATACCGAGCTACGATTATAACGAACTACGATTATGAGAAACCAATTTGTGGTCCTTTGCGCTTGTTATAACGGCAGTTTACTTCAATCGACACATTACAAAGGGTCACCGCTATGTCACAGCTTTGCTTTGTTTTATCTTATCAGAATGACTTGCATTTTCACAGGAACATCAAAGGCTTATATTAGCTTTTACACATGTTATTTTTAAAGGAAAAAATATTAGTTGCGTCTTTGGTGTAACTCCGTTTGCTATATCCGTAAATTCGTCATTCATAATTAACATTTGTGTGAATCGTATATGATAATACAGTGAATCATTCGAGACATTCGTTCTTATTAGTACTATATATCAGTGTTCGTTACAACCAGATTCTGCTATATGCAAAATGGTCACATTAACGAATCCCTTTAAACGGCCTGTTTCTGTGAGTGAGTTGGTTTGGTTTTACGCCGATTTTAGCAATATTCCATCAATATCACGGCGGGGGGACACCAGAAATGGGCTTCACACATTGTGTCCAATTGGGGAATCGAACCCGGGTCTTCGGCGTGACGAGCGAACGCTTCAACCACTAGGCTACCCCACCGCGCCTAAGAACAAAAAGAACTGTTAAACACCATTAAGTAATATTTACTTATTGGAATGTAGAGAATGTGATATCAAATTTGAAAGAATACAAAACACAGGCAGAGATTCCTTATAATTATGAAGGGGCTAGTACACTTAATTGCGATTAACTCCTCCTTAAAAACAGCAAATAACGCAAATGAATACCGTATTTGAAATATATTCCAATGGAAACATTTTAATAAAGGATAACAATAGTCCGCCCACGGAAATATTTGGTCTCACACAAGGCAAGTAAGATTTTTCATAAATTGCTTCATAAATTGCCTTTGTTAACCCTATAGTGAATGGGTACCCGGTGGGATAAGTCAAATGACTGTTAACATTCTAGCGGCTTCAGCTCATGATTTATGGGTAGGGGGTGATGATGAATTTTATGGGGTAGCATGTACACTGTGACTGACGCCCCCTAAAATTAAGTACAAAGTAAGTGACCCCTGCATGTCATGTACAATGAGCCCCCCCTCCCCCTTGCTATAATTGTTAAGCATAATCCTTTACTATCCTTATGTACAAACTTGATGACCCCCTACCTCCCCAGAACACAATGGGAGACACCCCCTCCCCTCCTTTTTACAATCATAATCATCATCATCCCCTAAGCCATAAATTATGAACGGTCCCTTATATCCTCCCCAAGGACCAGCAGGAAACCGCAAGTGCTCCATAAGGTGGTGAGGTGGACAGCCCATGAACACCCACACCGACGACTGACCGGCATCTACAAGTTAGTAAGAGCTTTTGTGACACATCCTATTAGGTCACATTTGGCTTAAAAGTCTGTACATGTTAATACTTGACTAGTTTTAGTTTTATTTAAGCCTTGTAATGAATGACATTTGTCCGAATGTACCACAACAGAAGACACAGTGGCAACTTGCCGCGTCATCGCAACAGCTGCCACGGCGACAGTGTGGCCAGAGTAGGACACTACGGTCATTCTCCGTCGGAAAAACAGTTTTATCTCTAAGGGACGTAACTCTATAGTGGTCAAGGATAACGTTTCTTTGGTTTTGTTCTAATTGCATATCCGTTGTAGTTCGTCAATAATTCCAGAAGAAAATCGCACTGAGCGATATTTATTATGGCCTATTTGTGGATCTCATAATTAAAATTAAAGTCGGCGTTAGATGCACTGGAATATAATATCAGCATGAAACCTTTGCTCGTCACAAAGACTCGGATTCGATTCCACAATGGGTGAACCCTTCCTCAGTGATATTGCTGGAATATTGCTAAAAGCGGCGTAAACCCATATTGACTGATTGACTCACTCACTCAAGCCCCACCCACTCACTCCGGGCGGTGGGATAGCCTAGTGGTTAAAGCGTCCACTCGTCACGCTGATGATCCGTGTTCGATTCTCCACATGGGTACAATGTATGAACCCCATTTCTGGTGTTCCCCGCCGTGATATTGCTGAAATATTGCTAGAAGCGGCGTTAAACCATACTCACTCACTCACTCATCAAGTACTATTCAAATTCACGACAGACTGCCCTCCGTTTTTTTCGCCTCTGTTTCTTACGTTTATTAACCTCTTTGCCCAAATACAACAAACAAATCTCTTTACCACATATACCGTCCTTGTTACATCTCCATCATTATCATCATCATCTTCTAGTAATATTCGCCTCTTTTATCGCCCTTTTCCTTGCCACCATACTGCTCTGCACCCCCATTACCAGCATCGCCTCCGTCATCACTATCGTTGTGATTGGCGATAACATCACCATCGTAAATCTCGCCTCCTTTCTCGTCATCGTATTCATCGCCTCGTTTCTCGTCACCGTATCCATCGCCTCCTTTCTCGTCACCGTATCCATCGCCTCCTTTCTCGTCACCGTATCCATCGCCTCCTTTCTCGTCATCGTATTCATCGCCTTCTTTCTCATCATCGTAATCATCACTTCCTTTCTCGTCACCGTATTCATCGCCTTTCTCGTCACCGTCATCATCGCCTTCCTTCTCATCACCGTATTCATCGCCTCCTTTCTCGTCATTGTATTCATTGCCTCCTTTCTCGTCATTGTATTCATCGTCTTCTTTCTCGTCACCGTAATTATCGTTGCGTTCATCATCGTCGTAATCATCGAGTTTTTCCTCATCACCGTATTCATCGTCTTCCTCATGACCGTAGTCATCGTCTCTAAAATCCTCATCGTAATCGCCATCGTATTCATCGTCATCTTCCTCATCGTCGTAATCGTCGAACATTTTATCATCATCGTAATCATCGTCATCTTCATCGCCATCATAATAGTCGCTTTCTTCATCGTAACTATAGTCATCGCTTCCTTCCTTGTCACCGTATTCATCACCTCCTACATCACCATGGCCACGTTCCTCCTCGTCGTCTGCGTCGGCTCCTTCAGAAGCACCGTTTGCGTCTCCCTCATCGGCACCATCAGCATCGGCACTTCTCTTTCTCCTGACATGCCTCTTCTCCCCGTGTGCCATCTTCCTCTGAGAATTAAGGTCTGTGTCCATGTCATCCTCTTCTCCGAAGCTGTTTATCCCTATTCTTCTCCCAGCACCAATGCTCTCCTCATCATCCAGAACGTCACGTGGGTAGGGGGCCTTTTTAAGATGCCGTTGCTTGTTCCTCCCTGGTCGTTTTCTGACGTGGCCCCTGGGGCGTTTGATCTGCATCTCATCAGGGCGTGGCGGTGGGGTGGGAGAGGCACAGGTCTCCTGTCTGGTGGTCTTTTCTGGACACTCCTCGCCTCCTGTGGAGAGTGTCAGATGTACGGTGCGCGTCCCCGTCGTCTCATCACAGGCTCCCCAGGGTCCCTCTTTGTACTGGCAGTGTTCTCCTACAACAGACACAGGTTCACAGTGATACTTCCGTAACCTCGTGGGGCGATGGGTTACCCCTGTGGTCAAAGTGTTCGCTCGTCACGCCGAAGACCCGGGTTCGATTCCCTAAATGGGTACAATGTGTGAATCCCATTTCTGGTATCCCCCGCCGTGATATTGCTGGAATATCGGCGTAAAACTGAACAAGCGACTTATAACTGAACCAACAGCGCAGATCGATGCTCATGAAGCTGATCACAGGATTGTCTGGTCCGGACTCGATTATTTACAGACCGCCGCCATTAAAGGTGGAATGTTTCTAATTGTGGCGTAAAACTAAACTCACTCATTCACACGTAACATGATATCAAAATATTTCTATCCCACATTTCCCCGATGGGATAAAACAAATACTATTACACAGAAAAGACCCAGGTCAGCTTGATCTTATTATCTTATTTTGTTTTAAATTTCCGTAGCCAAGCGACTCCATTTACATTTTAAATATTGATATATTTTTCCACTTGACCTAAATTGTAAAATTTCATAAAAATTAGTTACACTTTACGTGAATTTCATTCTTTCTGTTATTTTTCATTCAATTTATACTTTTTCGCTTGTCCGATCTCTTGCTAAATAAGGCTTGAGTTGAGAAACAAAAATCACGGATTGTCTAACTCGCTTTTCCCATTTTATACTGGATAACACTATCGTTCCACATGCAATACATTTTCCAGGATCAAATACTCAGTAACACAAATCTACACAGAGGATTATTTTGAGGCTATCTGTTCATCTGGCCTTACGACGTCAAAGATTATTGTTAAAAAATACCCGACTGAAAATTTCAATCTTTTCTGATCACGTGATATGCATGACCATTATGTTTGTCAAGAAAGTTCAAATGTATTTTTCATACATAGTATTTGTTTTGTATCTTTCGCCATGGCGATGGTGAATAGTAAATATCCCTAGCATTAATATCTATGTATTAAACACGACTGAAACATGTTAATACTTACGATAAAAGTACGCTTTGCAATAAAAGGGCCAGAAAGAGTAAGTTTATTTCAATAAAGTTGTGTGGAAGTTGAATGGAATTACGTAAATTCTTCGACTTATCCGTAGTTCGATACATGACTAAAAGGAATACGTAGGGACCAGTTTCTACTTCGAGACAAATGTAAGTTCGACTCATCTATGTTCGACACAACAGTGTTTCGGTGTATAACAACAGCATAAACAACAATGACAGGGTTTACCTGGTGTCATAGGCTTCTGCTCGGTGGTGATCACAAAGAATACCAAGATGGCGGAACATACCGATAATCCGCCCATGCTGTCTGGAAGAAAAGGAAAACAATTTGGATTGAATTCTAATTAATGACGTTATCTGTTGATCGTAACGCGGAGGACTGAACATTAATACAGTGTCACACGGTTGTGTCGAAGTTAAAGGCACCTACGTACATGCTTCGAGATATTCGAGATTCGACACAACCGAAAATATCGAATTAAATAAGAAATACGCAGGGACCATGTATTATTTTGAGTGTACGTTCGACACATGGAAGTTCGACACAAAGGTGTTTGACTGTTTTTCATTATATTGAGTGAAATTGCTTTGGGCTTAGGCGCAAAATTCTGTTGTCTACAGTTCAATACATGAACCTCCATATGTTATGTCGCGAATTTTAAGGCGAGAAAGCGATGGCCCTAATCAGCCACCATATATGTGCGAGTGAGTGAGTGAGTTGAGTTTTACGCCGCACTCAGCAATATTCCAGCTATATGGCAGCGGTCTGTAAATAATCAGATGGACCAGACAATCCAGTGATCAACAGCATGAGCATCGATCTGCGCAATTAGGAACCGATGACATGTGTCAACCAATGCAAGTCAGCGAGCCTGACCACCCGATCCCGTTAGTCGCCTCTTACGACAAGCACGGGTTGCTGAAGATGAATTCTAACCCAGACCGTCACGGATCTATGTTATGTGTACTACATATGGCATACTATTGTTTCTAGCGTAGAGTTATTCGGAATGTCTTGAAAAACAAAGGACTGGTTGGTTGGTTGGTTGGTGTCTTACGCCGCCCTCAGCAATATTCCAGTTATATAGCGGTGGTCGAGTCTGGACCAGACAGTCCAGTGATCAACAGTATGAGCATCGATCTACGCAATTGGCATACGATGACATGTGTCAACCAAGTCAGCGAGCCTGAACACCCGACCCCGTTAGCGGCCTCTTTGGTTGCTGAAGACCAATTCATGAGTTGCTGAAGGTTGCTGAAGACCAACTCTAACCCGGATCTTCACGGTTGTGTGGGGATCAGGTTGCTGTTCACCTTTTAATGGGATTCCTTTTGATTGCATGACATACAACGAAACTACGATATGATACAGCAAGAATCCTTTCACTTTCAGCTTTGTAGTTTTAAAGTTTCAACAAAGACTTCCGATTCTCGTTGGCTTAAATATAACATATACCGACTGACTTTAGGACAAGTGCTCCATTTAATGTTGGCTTTCACTCAGGTATTGTTTTGGCTTTTTTCTCTGAAAGGAAATACTTGGTTGTAAGATCCTTGATCCAAGGGGAACCAAAGTTATTTTTTGTTATGATTATTCGTTGATCGTGTTTGGTAATGCACTGATTTTATCTTCTTTTATCGACGCTTGCGTTTGAATTTCAAATCACCTTGCAGCCATTCCTAATGTAGAATTGCTGTCTGAAGAGACTGACTCACACCGACTTTGCAATGTAATACCTGTAAGGTCACGAGGCATAGATAAATCTTTCATCGCAGTATAAATGTTTTTAGTCTTAAATTATTCATGTATCAGATCTTTTCTAACTTCATCCTAATGTCAAGTCAAACTTTTGTAAAATAATAATTGATAGTTTACCATTGTCATTCAAACCACTGCCATGGGATAACATTTGTAGCACATACCTACGTTAATATTTAAAGAGATATGTGTATGTACCATGGTGGGTGTTCGAAAATATTCTGGTTCAGCTGAACAATTTCTAGAAACATTTTCTACGCAGTATTTTTGAAATGTTCAAATGGTAATCAACAGGGTCCAAACACAATGGTGATGGAAACTGTAAAATCACCGGATTAAAACGATTCAAAATTTATGTTTTTTTGATAATTATGTATCAATGTAATTGGTACATCACATTCCCAGCAGACTGTCGATTTCGGAACAAATGGGATCTCACTGTTTATGTGTTCGTAACAGTGGATAAAAGATATAGTTATCTAAAAGCTTTGACATCTTGTCTTACCTTGATAACCATGCATAGTAATTATGCACATTATATTATATGTGTACTGAAGAACACAAATGTGGAAAAATATCTTCAAGAGATATAAGATTTATAAAGATGTATAAATACACACATACAAGATAAACAAAACAAGACAGTTACCACTTACCTAGTAGATCAGCGCTTCCTGAAATGTGTTGTCCGGATAAAATACGTCTGACGTCTATGTCGACGTGTACGGCGCGGCTTCGCCAACATCAGTGTCAACTGTTGCAAAACGTCAATGCTTCATTCAAAATTTATTCAGTCTTTAGTTTCCATGACAACGGCGATCGAAAGACATTTTAAAACCAGGTGAACGATTGTCAAAGAGGTTAAAGAATCAGTTTCACGTTGGTGTGGAACCACAATAATATGTTTCCGGTCAGCTGAGTGACATCTGTCTTTCGTCATCGGGGGATGTCCACCCGTACGTCTTAGTGGGTAGAATAGGGATAATCTCTGGGGTTTAGGGCAGAGGGGTGCAAGACATACTGAAAGTTCACAGGCTTTAAGATGAATCCATTATCGGGGTTTGGTGCACAGTAGACACTGCATATTCCAATTAACAGAACAGGATGAACGAAGAACTGGACTATATATCAATACGATAATTACATCATGACAATATAACAGGTACCCGTTACTGGGTGTCAATACATTGCAACCCGTAACTGGGTGTCTGGGTGTCAATACACTGCAGGTACCCTTTACTGGGTGTCGAAAACACTGCAGGTACCAGTTTCTGGGTGTCGAAAACATTGCAGGTACCCGTTTCTGGGTGTCGAAAACACTGCAGGTACCAGTTTATTGGTGTCGAAAACACTGCAGGTACCCGTTTCAGATTGCTGACAACACTGCAGGTACCTGTTAGAGATTATTGACAACACTGCAGGTACCCGTTACAGACTGTTGACAACACTGCAGATACCTGTCACAGATTGTTGACAACACTGCAGGTACCCGTTACAGATTGCTTACAACACTGCACGTACCCGTTACAGATTGCTGACAACACTGCAGGTACCCGTTACATACTGTTGACAACACTGCAGATACCTGTCACAGATTGTTGACAACACTGCAGGTACCCGTCACAGATTGCTGACAACACTGCAGATACATGTAACAGATTGTTGACAACACTGCAGGTACCCGTTACAGATTGTTGACAACACTGCAGATACCCGTTACAGATCGTTGACAACACTGCAGGTACCCATTACAGATTATTGACAACACTACAGGTACCCATTACAGATTGTTGACAACACTGCAGGTACCCGTTACAGATTGCTGACAACACAGCAGATGCACGTTACAGATTGTTGACAACACTGCAGGTACTTGTAACAGGGTGTCGACAGCCCCATGGGTACCCGTTATAGAGTCGAGAAAACCCAGCAGATACCCGCTGAACATGCTGACTAGACCTCGGGTACCGCTAAGGCGTTACAGGAGTGGACTGGATTGCAGCTACACGTTACAGGAGTGGACTGGATTGCAGCTACACGTTACAGGAGTGGACTGGATTGCAGCTACACGTTACAGGAGTGGACTGGATTGCAGCTACACGTTACAGGAGTGGACTGGATTGCAGCTACACGTTATAGGAGTGGACTGGATTGCAGCTACACGTTACAGGAGTGGACTGAATTGAAGCTACACGTTACAGGAGTGAACTGGATTGCAACTACACGCAGGTACAGGTTAGATGGACTGGATTGCAGCTAAACGTTACAGGAGTGAACTGGATTGCAGCTACACGTTACAGGAGTGGACTGGATTGCAGCTACTCGTTACAGGAGAGAACTGGATTGCAGCTACACGTTACATGAGTGGACTGAATTGCAGCTACACGTTACAGGAGTGAACTGGATTGCAGCTACACGTTACAGGAGTGGACTGGATTGCAGCTACTCGTTACAGGAGTGGACTGGATTGCAGCTACACGTTACAGGAGTGGACTGGATTGCAGCTACACGTTATAGGAGTGGACTGGATTGCAGCTACACGTTACAGGAGTGGACTGAATTGAAGCTACACGTTACAGGAGTGAACTGGATTGCAACTACACGTTACAGGAGTGGACTGGATTGCAGCTAAACGTTACAGGAGTGAACTGGATTGCAGCTACACGTTACAGGAGTGGACTGGATTGCAGCTACTCGTTACAGGAGAGAACTGGATTGCAGCTACACGTTACATGAGTGGACTGAATTGCAGCTACACGTTACAGGAGTGAACTGGATTGCAGCTACACGTTACAGGAGTGGACTGGATTGCAGCTACTCGTTACAGGAGTGGACTGGATTGAAGCTACTCGTTACATGAGTGAACTGGATTGCAGCTACTCGTTACAGGAGTTGACTGTAGTGAAGGTACCGCAGAAGAGCTCGAAAACACTGCAGGTACCCGTAACTGGGTGTCGAAAACACTGCAGGTACCCGTTGCAGATTCTTGACAACACTGCAGGTACCCGGTGAACGCGTTGAGAACAGTGCAGGTTAACCGTTAACTAATATGACAATACCTCAACACGTACTGTAACTTTCAATAATAGAATTGCCTTACTATACTATTCACACTTTGCTAAGGATCAAATCATTGATTCAACAGAAAACTGTGATTGGGGTCAAATGTGGTTTAAATATCTAAGCCCATTGTAAGCATGTGTACTTATCAAAGACCCGTGCCATGATTTGCAAAATGGTTGATTGGTGCCATGAAAACCATTTTTATGGTTACTTATGTATCTAGTGTATACGGTTAGCTTAAAGTGGCTGTATTCCTGAAGATGTGTTACCATATCATTATTTATCCAGTTTTAAATGGATACAATTTCAAATTATAAACCTACGTTTAAGTAAAGTTGCGAATTTTTGTGATCCTTAGCAAAGGGTGAATAGTATATATTATTCAGAGGCGAGACTATAATATGTAAACATAAACAAACAATAAGTTTCAGATGTAGCAGAATTTAATGTTATTAAGATGTAACTGACGATACAGGTTTGAGAAGAAACTTAAACATTGGCTGTTTGGCCAGCTGTGCAAGGTATTGTACTGTATTGTACTGTAATTGTTTTGGTGAAACCGTCCTTGCTGTCTATCATTCCCTGTCTGTTTTTATCAATACATTTTCGTTTAGCCTCTTCTCCCACCTCTTCTTCCCAGACCACCTTCTCCATCACGATGGGTAAACTCCACGCTTTCACCTCTCACACCACCTTTACTATCGTGTGTCCCTCGTCCTCCGACTCTTCCATCGTGTCTTCCTCTACTATTTATCATGTCCATTTCTTCTCCACCATTGCCTTTATCAAAATTCTTATCGTCATCAGTATCCATGACTCTTCCCCTCCCCCTTCTTCCTCCACCGCCAAACTTCACGTTATTCTCATAACTATTTTCATCAACCATGTCTGCTCCATCCCCTTCTGCTACGCTTCTCCCTCCGGCGTGTCGTCCTTCACCTTGCTCCCCCTTTCTTCCTCCATTGCCATAATCTACATAACCTTCATAATCGCCTCCATTATCCACGCTTCCTTCATTTCTTCTGCTACTTTCTCCATCTATTCCTCTTCCACCTCTTCCCCCAAAAAGGCGTCTTCTTGCGTGCTTCCTTTGCCCATTTTTCCGGCCGGCGTGACTCATGTCACCTTCAACATCGTTTCCTGTACCTCCCCAACCGTGCGCCCTCCGATTCTGGCCATGTGTTCCTCTACCTCGTCCTCCGTGCATCCCGTGGTGCCGCCTGGAACCGCGTTTTGATTGATGTTTGTGACGTGCACGTCCTTGTACTCCATGATCTGCGAATCTACCTTCTGCAGCTGCTCCTGCACCTTCTCCAACTTTCCCTGCGATACCGTGGACCGCGTCTCCATTTCCTTGCAAACTACCCAAGACATCACCGACACCTTGATGACTTCCTGAGACACCGTTGTCTGTCTCTTCAGATCCTTGTTTATTCCTTGAGTCTCCCCCGACAGCATCACCACCTTGAACACCTCCGTCTATTCCTCGTCCACCTCTTCCCCCAAAATGGCGTCTTCTAACGTGCTTCCTTTGCCCAGTTACTCGGCCGGAGTGACCCATGCCACCTCTACCTCGTCCTCCGTGCATCCTGCGGTGCCTTCTGGAACCACGTATTGATTGATGTTTGCCACGTGCACGTCCTTGGCCTCCATGACCTGTGAATCTACCTTCTGCAGATGCTCCTACACCTCTTCCCTCTCTCCCTTCGATATCATCGACAGCGCCTCCATTTCCTTGAAAACTACCCGAGACTACACCGACACCTTGATGACTTCCTGAGACACCGCCGTCTGTCTCTTCAGATCCTTGTCTATTCCTTGTACCTCCCCCGACAGCATCTCCACCTTGAACACTTTCTCCATCTATACCACCTCCACCTCTTCCCCCAAAATGGCGTCTTCTACCGTGCTTCCATTGTCCAGTCACTCTGCCAGCATGACCCATATTGCCTTCAAAATCTCTCATTGTACCAGCATCTCCACCTTGAACACTTTCTCCATCTATTCCTCTTCCCCCAAAATGGCGTCTTCTTGCGTGCATCCTTTTCCCAGTTACTCGGCTGGCGTGACCCATGCCACCTTCAACATCTTCCCCTGTACCTCCCCAACCGTGTGTCCTCCGATTCTGGTCATGTGCTCCTCTACCTCGTCCTCCGTGCATCCTGTGGTGCCATCTGGAACCACGTATTGATTGATGCTTGTCATGTCCACCTCCTTGACCTCCATGACCTGTGAATCTACCTTCTGCAGCTGCTCCTCCACCTTCTCCAACATTCCCTGCGATACCGTCGACAGCACCTCCATTTCCTTGAAAACTACCCGAGACATCATCGACACCTTGATGACTTCCTGAGACTCCGCCGTCTGTCTCTGCATATCCTTGTTCATTCCTTGAGAGTCCTCCGACAGCATTTCCACCTTCATACCTCCTTGAGTCACCTCCGTCTGTCTCTGCATATCCTTGTTTATTCCTTGAGAGCCCCCCGACAGCATCTCCACCTTCATACCTCCTTGAGTCACCTCCGTCTGTCTCTGCATATCCTTGTTTATTCCTTGAGAGCCCCCCGACAGCATCTCCACCTTCATACCTCCTTGAGTCACCTCCGTCTGTCTCTGCATATCCTTGTTTATTCCTTGAGAGCCCTCCGACAGCATCTCCACCTTCATACCTCCTTGAGTCACCTCCGTCTGTCTCTGCATATCCTTGTTTATTCCTTGAGAGCCCTCCGACAGCATCTCCACCTTCATACCTCCTTGAGTCACCTCCGTCTGTCTCTGCATATCCTTGTTTATTCCTTGAGAGCCCTCCGACAGCATATCCACCTTCATGCCTCCTTGAGTCACCTCCGTCTGTCTCTGCATATCCTTGTATATTCCTTGAGAGCCCTCCGACAGCATCTCCACCTTCATACCTCCTTGAGTCACCTCCGTCTGTCTCTGCATATCCTTGTTTATTCCTTGAGAGCCCTCCGACAGCATCTCCACCTTCATACCTCCTTGAGTCACCTCCGTCTGTCTCTGCATATCCTTGTTTATTCCTTGAGAGCCCTCCGACAGCATCTCCACCTTCATGCCTCCTTGAGTCACCTCCGTCTGTCTCTGCATATCTTTGTTTATTCCTTGAAACTCCTCCGACAGCATCTCCACCTTGAATATTTTCTTGATTAGTCCTGAAGAGATCACCTTCAGTCACTCCATTTCCTTGAATACTCCCTGAGACATCACCGGCAGTCCCATCTCCACCTTGTCTTTTCCTTGGGACATCTCCGCCACCCTTGACATTCTCTCCTTGATCCTGCTCCATTCCTTTACCAGAAACAGTGTGTTTTCTTGCATGAGTGTGGCTTGTAAGGATACCTCCAAGCTTGGACTTGGTGCCCTTGAAGAAACTGGGTCTACGTGGAGGTGGATTTGGGACCGCTCTGGAGTTGGAGTTTGTTGTTTCGATGATATCCACGCCTGTAGCTGAAGATTAAAAAAAACAAATATCACCATCATCCTCTTATACTACTGTGGTGGAGAGGTGGCCTAGTGGTTAAAGCGTTCGCTCGTAATGCCGAATACCCTCGTTCGATTCTCCACATGGGTACAATGTGCAAAGCCTATGTCTGGTATTCCCCGCCGTGATGTTGCCTATTTCTGGTGGCCCTGCAATAACGTTGCTGGAATATTGCTAAAGTCGTGGTTTTACCAAACTCACTCTTATACCATAGGTATCAATTATTTTCTGAAGACAATACATGAGTACCAGCTTAACGAATGAGAGTAAGTTTAGTTTTACGCCGCACTCAGCAATATTCCAGCTATATGGCGGCGGTCTGTCAAACAATCCTGTCATCAACAGCATGAGCATCGATCTACGGAATTGGGAACAGATGACATGTGTAAGCCAAGTCAGCGAGCCTGACCACCGATCCCGTTAGTCGCCTCTTACGACAAGCATGGGTTACTGAATTCTAACCCGGATCTTCACGGGTACCAGCTTAACCTTAGTGCTGTTTCATATTTGGAAATCTTGATAAATGCCCACCACAAATGGCCATAAATCGATACTTCCTGTTTCATGCTATACATTATGCCAATATTCTGACTAAAACTGACCATCAATGATGCAAATCCAAGTTATGACTTGGGCCATATCTTCTCGTGTTTGAGAACACTTGACTTGCCTTTTCATGTGTTTGTGACGCGTGCCACGGGTTGCTAACGCATGGCCATAGTATCACCGTCCATTATTTGACAACCATGCATTACTACATGCTTATGACACAGTTAGCAGAAAAGTCTGATCATTCAGGAAAGTGTCCACATTGGTAACTTTCATTCAGTTCAGTGAGTGAGTGAGTGAGTGAGTGAGTTTTGTTTTACGCCGCTTTTTAGCAATATTCCAGCAACATCACGGCGGGGGGACACCAGGAATGGGCTTCACACATTGTACCCATGTGGGTAATCGAACCCGGATCTTCGACGTGACGAGCGAACGCTTTAACCACTAGGCTATCCCACCGCCCCTTATTCAGTACAGATACATAGAGGTAGATATACGTCCGGGATTATACGTATAGTTGTGGATATATTTATAAAACTGTGTACAAAGGCCTTCACAAGGAATTTCTATCCCCACAAGCATTTCTGATCTCTAACTTATTTTGCTCAGTATATTACTAGGGCGTCGAACTACACTGTGCCTATAAAGTGTACGGGGGGCGGTGGGGTAGCCTAGTGGTTAAAGCGTTGGCCCGTCACCCCGAAGACCCGGGTTCGATTCCCCACATGGGCACAATGTGTGAAGTCCATTTCTGGTGTCCCCCGCCGTGATATTGCTGGAATATTGCTAAAAGCGGCGTAAAACTCAGTCAGTATAAAGTGTTCGAGTAATATTCGACGCCTACAGTAAAGCATGGTTTTAACCGATTGGTATTAAAATAGCTACTTACTTTCCTGCAGAGATACGATGACTAGTGCAGTCAGCATGCCCAGGGCACGACAAGGACTGGACATGTTGAAAGCTGCAGCTGAAACAATTAAGTAAGTTTTACGATAAAGTTTGGTGACCTTTGATTAAAGTTCACATGAGTGAGTATGAGTGAGTGAGTGAGGCAAGTTTCGACCAATATCATGACGGGATTGTACCCATGTGTGGAGTCGAACCTGTTCCTCAGCGATACGAGCGAACCCTTTAACCACTAGGACACCAAACCACCGTTTCATTCTAAGACGACTCCAATACATGTAACGTATGCGGTTGAAGCCGAGGTGGCTCAGCGCTCTAGGCGTCTGACTTTGTATGCTGGCGATTAGGTGCCTGACTCTGAGGGTGTGGGTTCGAATCCCGCAGGGGACTCAACCCCAAAAGTACTAGAATCTGTACTTTACTAAGAAAGTGTAATCCCAAATATAACATACGTTACATTTGACCACTTTCTAAAATGGCATTGTGTATTTCACGACTCCAATAAAGTAAAATGCATGTGAAGAATCACCCTTTTCAAACATGAATACGGAATTTAAACACAGTTCTTAATATTATTAACAAAATAAAGTCTCGGTGGGGTACCCTAATGGTTAAATCGTTCGCTCGTCACGCTGAAGACCCAGGTTCGGTTCCCCACATGGGTACAATATGTGAAGCCCATTTCTGGTGTCCCCCGCCGTGATATTGCTGGAATATTGCTAAAAGCGGAGTAAACCCATTCTCACTCACTCACTTTTGATAACAGCTGTGCACCATCACATGTTATGCTGATTGTCACATTTCACCAAGTCCTTTGGTTGTGTTAGGGCCTGTGGGGCTGTATAGTGGTGAGAGCGTTTGCTTGTCACGTCCCAAAATCGGGCTGGATTCCGCACGTGGATACAATATGTAAAGCCATACTCGATCACTCATTCATCTTGTTCATATCGGGGCGGTGGGGTAGCCTAGTGGTTAAAGCGTTCGCTCGTCACGCCGAAGACTCGGGTTCGAATCCCCACATGGGTACAATGTGTGAAGCTTATTTCTGGTGTCCCCCGCCGTGATGTTGCTTGAATATTGCTAAAAGCGGCGTAAAACCAAACTCAGTCAGTCAGTCAGTCTTGTTTAATATCATCCGTGACTACCATCATATCGACATATCAGTAATCATCTGCTTTCAGAATGTTCCCGACATTTGTAAACAGTATACATTTTCAATTGAAATTTGCAAAAATCACGTACTGAGGGGCCATCCAAACTCCAAACATTTTTCTGTCAGCCTGTCGAAAACCAGCTGAGAGCAATATATGAATACATATATGTCGAACGTTTGCTTGACCCTGTATATTCCTGCTTAATTCATCGTTTTTCAGGGGGCGGTGTGGTAGCCTAGTGGCTAAAGCGTTCTTTCATCACGCCTGAAGACCCGGGTTCTATTCCTGACATGGGTGCAATATCTGGTGCCTACTTCTGGTGTCCCCCGCCGTGATATTGCTGGAATATTTCTTAAAGCGGCATAAAACCCTCCTCACTCGAATCTCTGATAACTCGAATCATCCCTTCAACTTCGAAAACCGGTTTTTGACTGTGTATTGTCTTGAACAATACAACGAAAAAACAAAAGTCCAAAGAATGATGAAAATACGTACCTGTGTGAGACCCGTATCACTGTGTGACTTTGTTGTACTGCAAGTAGTAAACCAGAGAAAGAGGGCAGGTCCTGAAGTCGTCTTAAATGAGGTCGCTCTCCATTTAGTTGCCATGGGAACCAAGGTAAACATTGATCTGCACTGAGTGCGCAGAAGTCAAAATCTTCAAGTTTCACATTCCTATCGTGTCAACTCCATTGACATTCATTGTGCCCTTATTGTAGTCTTACATTAATCCAACCAAACCGCAAACAACACCGCTTATTACCGCGAAGTAGACTCCATCAGCACAGAAATAATTATAATAGTGTATTATGTACTATGAACAAAGAACCGTTTAACACCAATAAACAATATTTCTGTAATTGGTATGTGGAGAATGTGTCATAAAACCTGAAGGGAGACAAAAACAGAAAGAAAGAAAGGCACTTTTTATGGATAACAACTTCTTTTTTATTCTATGTACGACGTTTCAGAGGTAATGTTTGCTCCTTCATCAGGTGAATGCTCAACCAGAGAGAGAGAGAGAAAGAGAGAGAGAGAGAGAGAGAGAGAGAGAGAGAGAGAGGTGAAGTGAGGTGAGGTGAAATTGGGTTTAACGTCGTGCTTGAGAATATTTCGCTCATATGACGACGTAGAGAGAGAGAGAGAGAGAGAGAGAGAGAGAGAGAGAGAGGTGAGGTGAGGTGAAATTTTGGTTTAACGTGTTGAGAATTTTTCGCTCATATGACGACGTAGAGAGAGAGAGGGTTCTGAGAGAGAGAGAGAGAGAGAGAGAGAGAGAGAGAGAGAGAGAGAGAGAGAGAGAGAGAGAGAGAGAGAGAGAGAGAGAGAGAGAGGGTGGGGGTGCATGTTAACACAAAAGACAATGGTTGTAGATCTACGGATATGTGTAATTAAGCCTATCCATGCCTATGCGTCCTGGGTCATGTTGAAGTCGCCAAGATCATAGAAACTCTTTTGCGTGTGGCATTTGTCTTCAGCTGAAGTACTCAGTGATACGTATTTTTATTCGAGTGAGGAGAACTCTAGACCACACGAATGACATCTCACACGATGTCTATTTTGCGATTTCTAGTGTTTAACTGTGTTTACTTGAATGTTTAAACTAATTGCTGATCAATATATCATGAAGAAGAATAGAGAGTTGTTTTTATATACTAACGGCCAAAAGAAACTTTACAAATATAAAAATGAGATAATTGGAATGAAAAGTAGTTTGTAGGCCCGCAAGCGAATGAAAGCACTCATCGCTAGAATACAGCAACCCTTGATACAACACGTGAAGCGCATGTTTTGCATGTAAACGTGTGAAAATGCGAAAAGATCAAAATCACGTGACTCGTTCCGTATGAAAACTGCACGTGCATGGTGGGTATAAAAAGGGGTTTGAATGCTTGCCTTTCATTCACTGCAATGGAAAAACGCAAAGAAATGCCAAGCCTTACGGCTGCAGAGCGAGAACGAGCCATCGGAATGGTCCAGATCGGGGTCACCCACGCCCACATTGCAAGAATCTTCGGTTGCTCACGCGTTGCTGTAACCAACTTACAGCAATGTTCCAACACTATCACGGCGGTGGACACCCATCATCGGCGGAAAACATTACTCACTGGTTGTATTGTCGTTTTCCTCCGTTGCGATGATTCTCTCTAGAATGGACTACTGTAATAGCCTGCATGTTAATATTAACAAAGACCAGATAGAAAGACGTCAAGCCATTCAGAACTCTGCTGCAAGAATTATCTTCAGATCTTCAACGTTTGACCTTATAACACCATTACTGAAAGACCTCCATTGGCTCCCTGTTGCTCCTCGCATAGACTTTGAAATTTTTCTGACTTCTTACAAGTGCTACCATGATCTGGCTTCACCTTACCTGCAAGAACTGCTGCACAGATACTCGCCATCTAGATCTCTTCGACCTCAACACAAGCATCTGGTTACAGTTCCAAAGTTTAAGACAGTCACATTTGGTAAAAGAACCTTTGCCTTCGATGCCTCAACATTATGGAATGAGTTGCCTACATCCCTCAAAATAATTAAAACACTGTCTTCTATAAAAAATAATCTACAGACTTACGGGGTAACCTCTTTCAAAACACATTTCTCTAACAATCACCTTGTCTGAGCAGCTCACAGAGCATACTACAATGTCAATAGATGCGGTATGAAAATGTACATATTAGTATTATAATTATACTTGAAAAAAAGGATAACGGTAAAATAAATGTTTTAATGTGTCCGGTTTGTGGGAAACACCACGAGACAATGACCTGCCTTACTTATAATAGATTGCATGACATTCTCATAATACGTGATTAACACTGACCTTGACATTTCGTAGCACGCACCCACCCGTTATCAGTCTGTGACTTGTTGCATCATCTTATCGTTGTTCGTATTACCACCCAATAAAGTAGTCATGTACATAATATACTGATGATGATGATGATGATGATGATGATGATTGGTCCTGCATCCATTCAGGCTTTCGTGCCACTTTGATGCAACTGTACTCACTCACAGGCAGCCGGAAAATAGGTCAGAATTTCAGAATTTAAAGTGTTAACTCTTTTTATTTGTTGTTTCTTATCTCAGAGTACCGTTACTTGGCATATCCTTGCGCGTGTATATAAGGAGGGGCGCACCTGAGCACACGTCACATCTATACCTCTCCAGCATCATGAAGGTCCTCATAGCTCTTGGACTTGTCGCCTTTGTATATGTAAGTCCACTAGAAGGTATATCTAGTCACCTTTGCATGTGTAAGTCCATCAGAAAGTATATCTAGTCGACTTTGCTTATATGAGTCCTTCAGAATGTAGTTCTAGTGAAGATGGCTTGTGTAAGTCCATCAGAAAGTATATATTGTCGACTTTGCTTATATGAGCCCATCAGGATTTAAGTCTAGTGGAGATGGCTTGTGTAAGTCCAACAGAATGTATATCTAGTTGACTTTGCTGGTGTGAATCCATCAGAATGTAATTCTTGAGGAAATGGCATGTGTAAGTCCATCGGGAAGAATATCTAGTCGAATTTTCTTATAAAAATCCATCAGAATGTAACTCTAGTGGAGATGGCTTGTGTAAGCCCATCAACCTGTATATCTAGTCGACATGGCATATTTAAGTTCATGATATGATTGAAAGCACTTCTCAAAATTCTTTATATATGAATGAATAGTGCTTTTTAACGGTTTTGCGTCATCCTGTTAAACCACTGCGACGTTCATAATTAAGTAAAGTATACAATGAACCCAAGAAGCATGAAATATGCAAATATAGGTGAATCTTTGTGTTTGACACACTTTCTGCTATAGATCAAGGGCCAGTGGCCATTAGCGTTGGGTTCTAATCCCCAATAATGTTAATTGGTTATTCAGTACTATATATACTCTTTAAAAAAGTAGGAAAAATTCTTTTTTTAATTTACAATTGAAAATATTGAGAGATATATCGGAGTAAATCAATGTTGATATGATAATAATGAATGTTGCGAGAGTGCATCACCACTTGCACTTCCTTATGACCATAGTTGTTTGTACAGTAATCGCTCTTAAAAGATGATTGGTGTATGACGTGAAATTTGCATGTGTACGAGTTTCATTCTCAAACCAAAAACCGGGCTAGAAACAAACACAAACAACTGTGTGATGCAAGAGGATTGTCAAAATTAATGGTCTACAGTGATTTTTCGATTTTCTTGAAAACCGTCAAAATCAAGATGACCCCCAACCCCCACCCTTTCCAAGCACGTGTGTGTGTCTACTGCGTTGTGCTCGTGCATCCAATGCATTGTGTTAGGGAAGGTGATACAGAGAAATGGTGGTGCGTTCATAAGATGTCTGTCCTTTACATTTTTGTTAACGCTTATACTTCCTATCCAAATTGAAAGTTCAGGTTCACTTAGTTTTTTTGAAGAGTATACTAGTGGGTCTTGCATTACCCCCTGCTATCTTGCCATCTTCATTTTCCTGTGATGTTGCTAACTGCAGCGTTGACATATCCCATAAACGTCAAAGACCTTTATTACTTCGTACGTTCACATGAAACCGGCACCAGGAGATGTAAATGAACTGTCATCCACCGATTGATGTATGAAACTACTGACTGTTTCTGTTGAAATAATCTGGTTATATGCATGTACCCTCGATATATACGACTAACGGATAGGGTGGTCAGGCTCGCTCACTTAGCCAACGCATGTCATCGTGTCCCAACTGTCGATGCTCATGATGTCGATCCCTGGGTGTCAACAAACGAGCGTCATATAGCGGCAATACATTCGTGACCCACTCGTGTTATTCCGGGACAAGCCGAATAGAGGTTACGAAAGGGGCGAGTGGTGACGAATGAGCTGCAATATTGCTGAGTGCGGCGTTAGACAAACAAATTATTTAATCCAATATGTTTAGGACATGTAGTGGACTGAATATTGAACGAGTGGCCTAGGGGTGTGGCATGTTAGTCTTGCAAGGATACTCGCTTTATGGTTCGACTCCCGGGTTGGTAGATTCAGACTGCCGCAGTTGTGAGGGTATCGGTATCCCAGTACCTCAGGTACTCAGTATCCGGTATCTCTGGTACATAATTACAAGCGCCGAATGTACACACTTTCCGACTTGGCTGATATCCCAATAAATCGTTTTGCGGAGCTGCGTCTCTTTGTAGGTAAGAAACCTCTGATACTGGGTTAACAACCCTGATTTCATGGATTATACTTCTGGGATTGTCAGCATCATACCCGTGACCACTTTCTGCATCACTTCCGTCTTTCATCCTTCATTAAACGGACACGCCGTTGCGGCGTAAAACACAACACACTCACTTCATTTTGCGCCAGGATCCGCGGATAGATTGTAGCATCATACCCCTGATGGTGGAATTTACCTGAGTCTATACACTGCATGTCATCTGCTGTGTATGTTTCAGGGTCAGTTCCCCAATTTTGGAGACATCTTTAACTTTGGAACCCGAGATAGCATCCACGGGTATTCCTTCGAATACCACCGGAATGACGTAAGTATGATCTGGCAATTAGATTATGGAAGTGTTACTGAGGTTCCTTAATTATTCGTTCCACTTTCGCTTTAACTCTGCTATATATTTTTTAATATTGAAAGATACGAATCTAAATACTAAGAAGGTTTTTGACTTGTATAAATACTCAAACCCCTTCCATATTCATAACAAACGGTCGAAAGAAGAGTCTTTGAACGATTCCTATTATGTAATGAACATGTTTTTAGGAATCAGTATCAAATGGTTATTACAGCTTGTGTTCGCGAAACGATTGTGTATCACCTGCCATACATGTAAGAAAACTTAAAAAAAGCATGTGAATATAATGTTAAAAGTAAAAAAGCATTTTCATGAAATCGAATCAAAAATATGTTTCCAAATTCTCTGAATTATGCATATATTTGAATGGAAATTATGTGCCTTACAAACACTGTGTCACTGATTCGGCCAGTGGAACAGCTCAAGCTCTGATATCATTCAAATGAGACGAGCAATGGAGATGGACAATTATTAGTCATTTTCAAAGCTGTAGGTTCCCCTGATTTCCATTGGCCCACGTTTCTCATCTCGCGTGAATTTACGTGAAAGAGCGAGACCTTGGGAAGGCGACCGCACGCATGACAATGGTATTTTATGTGTCAGGAACTGATTCTTGTACGAAACGTCTCTGCCTGCTTCGTCGTGAACGCTACAAAGGAGATCGAAAGCAAGATGCAACACAGAGACACTAGGGAACAGCTAGAGGTTCGTCAAAACGTTTTCTTTTTATTTCAAATCTTGGCCTTATTTTATAGGACATTGTACAAATGCGGGTTAGAATTGGTCTTCAGCCAACCATGCTTGTCGTAAGAGGCGACTAACGGAAACGGGTGGTCAGGCTCGCTGACTTGGTTGACGCATGTCACCATATCCCAGTTGCGTAGATCGATGCTTATGATGCCGATCACTGGATTGTCTGGTCCAGACTCGATATGGCAGAGATCGCTGTCCTAAAGCTGTAATATTGCTGATTGCGGCGTTGAACATCAAACAAACATAGTCAATGAACGTTAAAGCGTTTGCTCGTCACGCCGAAGACCCGGGTTCGATTCCCTACATAGGTACAATGTGTGAAGCCCATTTCTGGGGTCCCCCGCCGTAATATTGCTGGAATATTGCTAAAGCGGCTTAAACTCCTGGAATATTGCTAAAGCGGCTTAAAACCATCTCACTCACTCACTCTTCTCACCTACCTCACTGAATTTCATATTCAACTTTCATGTGAACATTTGTTTTTGGTTTTTTTTGTCACACCAGGATGAGTTGTACGCCCAAATAAAAGCACACACCGGTGAGACCGTCAGCAGCATCAGCGACCTCCGCACTAACTACCACGACAACTACGCCGTGATTGAGTGCTTCAGACACAGCGTGTACGAACTCCAGTATATTCCCAGCTCTTAGATATATATAAACTGAAAATAAATTAATGTTCCCCATCAAGTTATTTTCGTTGATTTCATGTTTGTTTGTTTGTTAAACGCTGCACTCCCACGTATGCTGTAAATAATCGAGTCTGGACCAGACAATCAAGTGACTGATATCATGAGCATCGGTCAACGATGACATCATCCGGGTCAGCAAACCTGACGACCCGATCCGTCAGTATCCTTTCACGACACTAGGCCGCTGAAGAAATCCAACCCGGACTTTCCGGTTTGTTGATTTCATGAGTTAGTTTCATGCTAGTTTCATGGGTCTTCAGCGACCAAGAGCAAATTACGGGATCGTGAAAAAAAGACTTGGAGCTCAATTGTAGCATATGATTTTAACCGAAATGCAAAGATGCTCATGATGTCAATCACTTGATTGTCTAGTCGAGATCTAGCAATTGTAACTGGAGTATGAAGATTTGTTAAACAACAAAACAAAAACAAGGCTGAAGTGAAGTTTACATACCTAGACACAGCGCGTTAAACGAACATTGGGAGAGAATCGAAATAGGACCATAACAGAAAGTATTTTAAAAGTAAACGTACACATGTAACCATCAATCTCTCTTGTCAGGGAGGCACTGGTTGTCCGTGGCGAGAATTTGATGTGCAGAGTTACCTCCCTTGGCATGCGCAAGACCAATGAATCCCGGTTTGCCCTTATTATGTTTGTACTGACTGACTGAGTTTGGTTTTACGCCGCTTTTAGCAATATTCCAGCAACATCACGGCGGGGGACACCAGAAATGGGCTTCACACAATGTACCCATGTTGGGATTCGAACCCTGGTCTTCGGCGTGACGAGCCAACGCTTTAACCACTAGGCTACCCCACCGCCCCTTTTATGTTTGTAACTTTTGGCACCTACCTGTACTCGTGTGTCCCACAAAAGTGGGAGAAGGCCCAGACTAGCATCACGTTGGTGTTTCCTCTCACAATAAACAGGCACGGCATTATGTAACCGATACTGTTCAAACTCACTCACGCACGCACTCTCACTCTCACTCACTCACTCACCACTGCCTGGGAGTTTCCGTCGTGAATATCCCCATCTTGTAAAGTATTTTACTGTCAGCTCCTGATGGTGAAGTCAATCATTTTCAGTTGCTAAGGCACATATTTCATCTAAGTTGAAACGTCCCGCTTACTTGCTTACAACCAAACTAATCAATCAATATGTCCCATAAAAAAATTCAAAATACCAGAAATGGATGACATTTATTCGCCCTAATTTATTATCAATGAGCTTTGTTCCTGGTGCATCTCACAGCAGGCTCTGACTTTGATGCAGATGCAGTTTGATAAATTGTTTGGATGCAGAGTGAATCCTGTTTCCTGCCGCAGTCAGTGTCTCAATTGTTCCATCTACAGTGAAACCTGACTAAACCGGATCTCTGTCAATACCCGACCGCATTTAATATATACTAATAAGACGTTATTGTACACATGCTTTCAGTCTCGTCTGTCCATTTCAATACCAAAGGATGTAGTTTTGTATCTATTCCGAACTGCTCTTCAAAACGGACTTATGTTGCGGTCCCATGAATGTCCGGTTTAAACAGATTCTGCTGTACATGTCCCCGGGATACAATGACACGTTATTGGTCAAGACGATGATACGTATCGTAAAGGGCAATACAGCTGTGACCATTATAAGAATTGACTACTGAAAATCAGTAAGACAACGAAAAAGGAAAGTTCAGGGGTGGAAATAACTATAAAATTGATAGTGTACTCCGGTACAGTGGCAAATGTAAAGTCACTTGCCCTGATAATTTTTCCACTATACCGACCGTTTTCTTCTTGATTTTTTAAATAAACAACATAATTAACATTGGAGAGTCAACTGGACACCGGTACAGTGTGATATTCAAATTTGCTTGCCCGACAGAAAAAACACTGGACTCGGACATCGGGCAATGGGTTATTTCCACCCCTGAAGTTGTGCCCTGCCTTTAGCACCCGCCAGTGTTCATACAAGTTGCATGATAAAGTAATTTTCGACTGACACCCTTTAAATGCAATGCCCACGTCGAGTCGCACAGTTAAAAGACACCAAAGACTATTAATTTTGTACTGAAAAGCCATTGTTTAATTATTAATGCACTAAGGTAAAGATTCACGATGAACTGTACTGTATCTTGAAAACATCATGGTTAAAACATTCAGCTACCGCTCTGATGTCGTGGTAGTCACTGCGGAGGTCGGTTAAACTCGCCACAGTCTCGCCCAGCTCAGCCTGTATCTGACCATACAGAACGTTCTGAAAGAAGGAGTGAGTGAGTTTAGTTTTACGCCGTTTTTAGCAATATTCCAGCAATATCACGGCGGGGCTTCACGCATTGTACCCATGTGGGGAATCGAACCCTGGTCTTCGCCGTAAAGAGCGAACGCTTTAACCACTAGACTACCCCTCGTTCTGAGAGAACAACGCAGAACGTTAGCAGAGAAATTGTACCAAGTAATAACCAAGAGGATATTCGGTTAGCTTCACAGTGTTTGAATTGTAAACTACCGCTAAAAACACAGAACGCTTTTGTTTGATGTTGGTTGAATGTCGAAAAGAAGACATTTTAGTCAGGTTTGGTGTAGTTAAGAATAGTGTCATGGGCAATATGACAATGACAACCCGACTGGCGTGCACGTGACGTCTCAAGGAACACGGGGATAACGGTTTCACAGTGCATTATGAGAGAGTGACTGTGGTCCTCTGCCGCTTTCAGCAACAGCAGCAATACCACAGCTGGGGGCACAGACAAGGGATTCCAACATTGTACCCCTGTGGGGAACCGAACCCGGGGCTTCGGCGTGACGAGCGAACGCTTTTACCACCGCCCCACATTGCACTGTAATAAGGTGGGTTGAGGCGATATGGTCAGCTGAGTTGACCATTACGAGCCACCTTGGGCTCCAATATTTGTTTGATGAAAACGGACAATTGCGTCAAATGACACGACTTCCCATCCGCAAATCCACTAATGCAACCAAAACCTCACTCAATCGTTCCCCAACTCACTCACTCAACCACCCAACCAATCATCAGCTCACTCACTCAGCCGCTCGTTCATCGGTCACTCACTCACTCACTTACTCACTCAAAGACAGTTTACCTCCAATCCCTCCCTACTTCCTCTGTTCTTCATCTTCTCCGTCAGGTCTTCATCAGTTTCAACGATGAAACAGGCTGTGGCGTTCCTCACCAGTACGAGGTCCTAGGTCAAATTCAGAATATCTCATAATATCTCGCATTATATCTCACAATATCTCAATACTGTGTCTTATACATACATGCACCTCTGGCGCTTAATTAAACATTTGAAGCCAAGGGTACACTCAAGCAACGTAGCATTATATTTTAAAAACCGATACTGCAAAGTGCTCTTTATCTTTTGTTGTTGTAAGGAAATTCCTCTTAGAATCAATATGGAATCAAATCTATTCGGTAGTTACATCTACAGTAATAACTAAGGGATTTGTTGCCATTTTAATTTTGGAATCAAATTCTACCAAATCGGTTGATTAACGACCTGACCAATCTATATGAAACAACAACGTCATAATTACTGATAATCATGCTACACCTCAGATCATTCTAGACAAATTGTGAAATTCGTTATCATATTGACACAAATATTATACGGATTGAACATTCGAGACACAATACACAAAATAAAATAGATAACATTCATTTCATCCGATCCAGTTCCTGCAAAATTGGGTTCCTGTTTTACATTCACCCCTGCCAGCTTTAAAGAGAACCACCGATAGGGCGGTAGCATTCGTAATACCATGAAAGTATGACGTATGTCAAAATTATGTCTGTGGGGAACGAGTTTCTTTACAGTATTTATGGAAATGTTCACTGATACTCACCGCTGAACGATGATATTCGAAAGTGTACCCGCTGATTTTACCGGTTCCAAAGTCGAAGACTCCTAACCCAAACTGGGCCTGAAATACACATAGAAAACAGACTGAGTGAGTTAAACGCTTTTGTACCTATATTTCAGTTGTATTCGCACTTAAAATGTGTATGAATGCAGACTTGATCTCGTCACGATATGGCTGGAATGATACCGATGTGACGTAAAACCCAACTCAACTCAACTGTATCGACACAGGCTAGGTTAATAATGAAAGTTATACCACTAGGGTATGTTATGTCCATTGTTCCGGCAGGTTGATTTTCTGTGTATCAACCTTCTATCTACACGTGCAGAGGTTGATATGTGGATAACAACCTTGGCGGTGCAGGAAACACACGTGCAACAAGCAATGTACGAGTCCATTCGGCGCCCTCGTGGTATAAGTAGGTTAGCACCCCCCCTCTGCTGGTGATATGGATTCAACGCTCTCGCCTGACGGCTCGAGCGTTGAAATCCATATCACCCTTGAGGAGGGTGCTAACGTATACGCAAACCAGAGTGATCTCCGATCGCGACAAGCGAGCGAGTGAGGATTACGCCGCCTTTTCAGCACTGTTCCAGAACATCACGGCGGGGGATACCAGAAATAGGATTTACATATTCTACCCAAGTGGGGAATCGAACCCGGAAGACGGTTGATCGATTACCCACTACCGCTAGGCTACCTGACCGCCCGGGATTGGTGCGACCTACCAAGGATATAGTAAAACAAGAGTGAGTGAGTGAGTTTAGTTTTACACCGCACTCAGCAATATCCCAGCTATGTGGCGGCGGTCTGTAAATAATCGAGTCTGGACAAGACAATCCAGTGATCAACAGCATGAGCATCGATCTGCGCAATTGGGAACCGATGGCATGTGTCAATCAAGTCAGCGAAACTGACCACCCGATCCCGTTAGTCGCTTCTTACGACAAGCATAGTCGCCTTTTATGGCAAGCACATGGGTTGCTGAAGACCTATTCTACCCCGGATCTTCACGGGTCCGGTATCTCATCTTGGTCTAGACGCTGTATATTTGTGATCTTTTTGCACGGAAACCTGCGTCTCCTTAGGGACCAGTTCAAAGGTTCAAAATTGGACAAAAGAGAGACAAGGAGTGAGTCAATATGGTTTTACGCCGCTTTTAGCAATATTCCAGCAATATCACGGCGGGGGCAGAAATGGGCTTCACACATTGTGTTCATGTGGTGAATCAAACCCGGGTCTTTGGAGTAACGAACAAACGCTTTAAACACCTGGCAATCTCACTGCCCCGAAGGCTAAAGGAAACACAAAACAAAAGCTAAAGAAAACCTCTGAAAATGCTTAATTCTTTGGAATGCTAAACACATGAAAAATGACAGACATGTTTTAGTACCGTGCCATATGTTTAAATTTAACAGAAACATTATTCTGGAATGTTCAGATAAGACGCGACAAATGAGTGTTGAAAAGTTCAGGGTTTTGGATGTTAACATTTCATGAGTGTTTCAACGGCTGAGAGAAATCTAATTTCAACTCGCCTTCATAGCGATAGGATTAGTGACATAGGTGGGCGTTTTTCGTATTACAGATACATTACAAAACACTGAAAAATAAGTTTAGTTGACTTTGTCAGATGGAAACCTTGCAGGGTCATTAATCCCTCTCCCTCCCCTTATCATACCCCGCCCCTATCGCCTCCCCCACCCCTTTTCTCAATTGACATTTGTGGATAAGTATAGTCTCCGACAGGAGCATCGTAATAAATACAACCGATAATGAAACAATATAATAAATTGAACATTTATAAAGTGCCTGTATGCATGCTCGAATAGCTAAGACATTATTACCCCGGTTAACCCAAGCAGCCTGTGCGATGCTAGAAGGTTAACAGTCACATGACTTATCCCACCGGGTACCCATTCACTGCAGGGACAATAGAGGCAATTTTGAACTTGCCTACCGCATATGTTAATTGCGCTTCGTTGTGGAGCAGGACAGAAGTCCTAGAAACTCTCAGGAGTCAAGCTGCAAAACGCGGTCAGCCATTCAAGAACTCCCCCGTGACCAGCGTTAACTTCAACTGATTTGTGGCATGGGTTCTATGAAGAAGCCCACACACCACCACAAACCTCCACAACCACCGGTTTGTATATTACGTTCATATTCATCAAATAATATGGTACCTATGATTTATGAAAATCAGATAAAGTGTTTCATTAACTCAAAGAACGCCGGTAGATTTCAAGACATATGTAAAAAATGTAACATTTTTATGACTATAATGAGAAATAATTAACTCACATATGCCACAATGGACAGGGTGAATAATATCAACAGCCACATGCTTGTCTCACTTCATAGCAAAAACAAGATAATCTCACAATACACAACAGCTGGTCAGACGCTATCTTTAGTCCAGGGTGTATCTGCTTTAGATTACAGGTTCATATTCACACAGAAAGTAGTTAAAATATTATTTGGAAAATATATACTCATGCCGATAATGGTTGTCACCCCCTTCAAATTTTTTTATTGGAGAAGGGGGGTAGGGGGGAGGGGGGGAACAACCATTATTGGCACGAGTATAGTATTTAAGAACAGGTTATTTGGTGTAAAAGAACATGCCACGTTTAGTTATTCGCAAACACCTGTTAAGATAGACTAACGCTTAGTCTCTGAAGATTTTAATAGCAACTTTAAGACAATTTTAATAGAAACAAACTCCTCTTGAACTGAGAAAGAAACACATGTGAGCATGGTTAGAGGGTTAGTTGAGACGCAAATTTATAGTGCGTTTGGCTCAAAAGCGGACCGATGAATTGCAATTTAATTCGAAGACTAGTAAACATATAATAATCAATGAAACGCTGATCATAATCAAAACATCAGACCAACTCTGTGATATGTTTGCAGAATTTATGTCCTAAAATTAAAAATGTTGTTTAACAAACAGTCATTAAAATATTGACACGGTTCACTATTTGTTACGAGAGAGGAGTGCAGAGAAAGGGACAGCCAGGTGTTAGAGAAGCACGTGCACAAGTGCAGACAAAGTTATTGATTCATTAACCTGTGCTGTGCCGTCTCCATCCTTTCTCGCACACCTGGCTGTCCCTTTCTCTGCACTCCTCCCTCGTAACAAATAGTGAACTCAGTCAAGATTTTAATGATAGTTTGTTAAACAACTTTTTTATTTTTAGGACATAAATTCTGCAAAAACCTCACAGAGTTGGTCTGAAGTTTTGATTATGATCATTGTTTCATGGAGTATTTTATGTTTATTATTTTTCGAGTTAGATTGCAATTCATCGGTCCGCTTTTGAGCCAAACGGACTATAGACTTGCATATTCCATGTTGCATCGGAGATAGGGAAAGTAACATAGTTCAGGTATGTGGGTCAGATCTATGTCAGATGTACAGACTTATATGGAGGCTTGTATACACAGGTACAGAACGCTCACTAACATTTTCCAGTTGCGTATCTACATGTGATTCGGTTCTTTGTGCCGAAAGGTCACTGATTGAAATAAGAGGATACATATATCGAAATATTGTTATCGAACTAATATTTGCATACATAAAACATTCAGCAGTTTGTGAATTTGGATAATACATGTCACAAGATATTCGAAGGGTAAATGGATACATTTAATTACATTTATGACGACCACGCTTATAACGAACTGACGGATATAACGAACTGACGGATATAACGAACTGAACGAACTGACGGATATAACGAACTGACGGATATAACGAACTGACGGGTATAACGAACTGACGGATATAACGAACTGACGGATATAACGAACTGACGGATATAACGAACTGACGGATATAACGAACTGACGGATATAACGAACTGACGGATATATCGAACTGACGGATATAACGAACTGACGGATATAACGAACTGTTTATATGTCCAACCACTTGCTGAATACATTAGTCGAAATGTGGTTATGAAGAACTAAAACTATAATGTAGTTCGTTATAACCGTATTTTGCTGAAAGGAATATGAACATATCAGAGAGTGAAGTCAGTATCATATACTTCTTGAGAACTGATTTCCGTTCCCTCCGTTTCAAATTTCACTTTACATTTAAACATTTATCACTGATACTTACACACGGTAGATAAGGATTTAACTGACTTGAAGTATTGTTTACCTGATGCTGGGATTTACGTTGTACGTCGACTACTGGATTCCAAGATCGTGAACTGAAATCCTGAAAATCAATATTTTTTTCTCCAAACTAAACAATGTGGTATTTTACGTCCTGTGTGAAGTTCACGTAAAATAACATCAGCTTCATCTCGAGCTGCTTCCGAAATGTCAGGTATAGAAATGTGATACAAAAGTCTTGTTATTCACAAGCCCGGTCGATATTTGTGTTGTCTACCCAGAAGTGACTGGCGGCGCACCCAATACTAGCTGATGGACCACATAACCGCGGGTAGTGACAGTATTTTGACTATTTCGTCGGGATAATGGGAAAGAAGTGTTCATTTGGGAAAGTCTTCCGACCGTATCCCCCATTAAATTTCATTCTACTGAGTCAAGAAAGAAACTTCAATAATGAATAATTTTTCTCTGATGATACATCTATGTATCCGAAATGGGATCCCTATCTTTCGACTCTAGAAAAACGTTAGCAAAACCCACTCAAACCCATCCATTTGTCGTGCAAATGACGTTAGCGCCAAATCAGGTTTTGCACGTGCAGTCGATCACGTCGATCTTCGCATCGAAGTTTTCTTCATATGCACGTGTTTGCATTGGCCTCAAGAATTGAAAAAAACACTTTTAAACCACAGTTCAAACGGTACTTGAAATGCCACGATTGTCAAATGTGCAACGTGAACGTGCCGTTGGCATGTTGCAAGCTGGAAGATCAGTTATTGACGTCGCAAGAGCAATGGGATGCGGCCGTCGTACTGTGTATGACTTGCGAGGTCGTCTACAACAAACTGGCACCACTTCTGATAGCCCAAGGTCGGGTCGTCCACGTGTGACGTCACGAGCGGAAGACCGTCAAATCGTGCTACGTCACCTACGTGACAGATTTCTGCCGGTTACACGAACCAGGGCTGAGATGTTTAGAGGTCGACTGTCCTCACAGACCATTCGAAATCGGTTGCGGGCTGCCAATCTCCATTCTCGACGTCCATGTCGTGGGCCAATATTGACGCCGTTTCATCAACGTAAACGTCTGCTGTGGGCCCAACGTCACCTCCGATGGACCCAGAGAGACTGGAATCGAGTTGTCTTTAGCGATGAATCCAGGTTTACCCTCAGATTCGCGGACGGCAGGCATAGAGCCTGTAGACGACGTCGTGAACGGTATGCCCAATGTTGTGTACAGGAAGTCGACAGATTCGGGGGCGGAAGTTGCATGGTGTGGGGTGCTTTCTGTGGGAACAACCGTTCCCGACTTCTGGTCATCCGTGGAAACCTCACAGCTGCTGCTTACCGCGACCAGGTGCTCACCCCTGAACTGATTGCGGCTCATGGTGTCTAAAGTTCCAGCATGATAATGCTGGCCGCATACCGCGATGTTGACACGAAATTTTCTTCAAAACGCTGGAATCAACGTCATGGACTGGCCATCGAGGTCCCCTGATATTGAACTGAGAAACTTCGCAACCTTTAATTCTTGTGACTTGACATTCTGCAGAATCCCCAACCACGTGTTCACAAGCATCAGGCAGTCGATGAGGAGACGGCTGTGGTGAATGAGTAGCCTAATGATATTGAACTGATTATTTTTATTCTTGGCTTGACATTCTGTATACCCATGTTTTGGAACGGCTGTGTACCCTAATCGAAATGATTATGGCACTGTCAGTGTATCGAGTACATCACACAGATCTCAGCAATGAAATAATAACAATTTAACCATCTTACCATCTCTTGTTCTTTTACAGTGCCCTGAAGACAGAATGTGAAGTTTCTTTTTTGACTCAGTATATGTGGGTTACAAATTTGACATGCACTTGGGTTCTGCCATTAATGACACTACCCGCAACACATGCGCCGCTGCATACTTGTCCTGAAGATGACATGATACTTGTCCTGAAGATTACATGATACTTGTCCTGAAGATTACATGATACTATACTTGTCCTGAAGATGGCATCATACTTGTCCTGAAGATGGCATCATACTTGTCCTGAAGATGGCATCATACTTGTCCTGAAGATGGCATCATACTTGTCCTGAAGATGGCATCATACTTGTCCTGAAGATTACATGATACTTGTCCTGAAGATGGCATCATACTTGTCCTGAAGATGGCATCATACTTGTCTTGAAGATGACATCATACTTGTCTGCAAGATGACATCATCATATTTGTCCTGAAGATGACATCATACTTGTCTGCAAGATGACATTATACTTGTCCTGAAGATGACATCATACTTAGCATGAAGATCAACACCGTATGCTTCAAATCCCCCTCAGGATCTTTCGCCTGCAGTACGAGCCGTCAAAAAGGGGGTCGGGTGGCCAAGTTTGATGACGTTGCTGAAGATCTTTGCTCATGATTTCAGTCACTGGTCCAAACGTTGGGTATGATAATATTTACGCTCCAGACACAAGTGTTAAATAGTCAGATTATACGATATAATAGTTCACTGATTCATGAATTGACACACGAGTAAATAAATTATGTTTAAGCCGCATCAACACTATTGCAGCTTCTCGCGGTTTCGACACACATGAACTGGATATGAGGTTGAGGCCCCGATTTCTCGAATCAGTTTCTCTTTTTTACACAAATTTCAAATTGACTTTGACAATTTGAAACAGCTGAATTTTAAACTCAAATGAATTTTTTAAATGAAAGAGCCCAAACAACTAAGTAATCTATCCACCAAACTCAAACCGTCTACTATGTTTGAGTTTATTATCGATTTTAGTTCATTCTGGGAAATGCATTTTCTCAAATTTGAGTCAAAACTCAGACTTAAGATTGTTTCAAGAAATCGGGGGCAGATTCAGTAAGATTCATTTGCTAGGCTCACATTGCAATTAAACAACCCTGTAGTCCTATCCACACCATTCATTCGGAGTTTATACTAGAATACGACGATAGATTGTATAGGTGATTCCAACATCTTGTCCAATCCATCTTCAACCAACTACATAACAAACGTACTTGTACAAACCCCCTGCCCCATGTATGTAGGTATGCGATACCAAAGAAGCGTCGTGTCTCATGCTCTACATGTTGTTTGTACGGTTGTTCGCTTGTTTGTTGTTTAACGCCGAACTCAGCAATATTCCAGCTATATGACAGCGGTTTGTAAATAATCGAGTCTGAACCAGACATTCCAGTGATCAAAAGCATGAGCATTAATACTCGCAATAAGGATACGATAACATGTGTCAACCAAGTCAGCGAGCCTGACCTCCTGAACCCGTTAGTCGCCTCTTACGACAAGCATGGGTTGCTGAAGACCAATTCTAACCCGCATCTTCAAGGGTGGAGTATTTTGAGCATTTCGTCGGGATAATGGGACGAATGTGGTTACTGAAGATCAATATTCTAACCCGGATCTTCACGAGTCGCTCGATATGTAAATGAACTGGTACCATTAACATATTCTATGTATAATCCAAAATATTTACTTTTTGTTTCTTTTTACTGATTATTCTTGATATCCTAATTAATGAATTCCCCTTATACTTTAATTCTTCAAATCAGTGGGGGAACCTGTGGATGTGATTTAAATGCAACCTACAAGTCTGGAGAGTGAGTTTGGTTCAACTTGTTTGGTTAGTATTTCAGCCACGTCGCAGTGTGTCAGCTCAGAGAGGTCAAGGGCGTTTCAATCTTTGGTGAGGACATAGGAAACGGGGATGGTCTAATACCCTCAGATGCATCTTGCTTATTTAGCAGCTGTTGCGTGAAAACTGAAAACTGAAGCCAGCCGGGCGTGTATATTCAAATAGACATAGTTCATTCGTTCGTCCGTTCGTCCGTTCGTAAGTAAGTGAGTGAGTTGGCCTTTTTCTGGCGTTCGCATTATCTTGGCCGTCAAGACAAAGGTAATATTGATGACATGGTGAACTGAACACAAGGTGTCGTCTTGCTAAGCCATCGCTTTCCGCATAAAGCCACTTATTGTCACTTTAAAGTGACCGCACACCTTGCAGTACAGATCTTCAGATTGAGCTATTTGTGGGGAATGTACACAAGCAGAAATGAGATTCATTGCCAAAATCGTTCACCCAAACAATCAATATGGACGACCGATAGAAATCAGCTTTAATGTGTCAACCAACTGGACAAGAAGAAAACCTCTGTGGCACCACTTAGGAGCTGGGGGTCAGGTCGTAGACGGAGTGCCTGAAGCACTCGGCGACGGCGCGGATGTCGTGGTATTCGGTGCGGAGCTCGCTGAGGCTGCTCTTGCTCTCGCCAGTGTGGGCTTTGATCTGCTGGTAGATATCGTCCTGGAAAAAGCATCATCATCATCATCATCATCATCATCATCATCATCACCACCGCCTACTTGAATATCATCGATCAAAATTATCATCAGCTTGACTATCTTGTCAAAAACATTCCTCATTTAGTTACTCCCTGAAAACGTAATAGGTTAGATTTCACCACAACCTTAATTCGTCATCTTAGAATGATCCTAAAATTCTAAAGATCTTTCAAAAAGATCTTTATGTCATTCGATCGTCTTACTACCTTGTTAAATCTTCTTTGGCACTTAATCGAAATTGATTAAATCCGTGAATCCCGGCTCGATTCCCCATATGATTACAATATGTGAAGCCTATTTCTGAGTATTTTGAATATTGCTAAAACGGTGTAAAATCTAACCCACTTACGTTTTATGCTGAATACATACCTCGTATTTGTCCCTGCTGTCCATGCTATCCAGGAGCTTCTCGATGTCGTCGTCAACATGTATCAGATAACAGGCGTTAGAAGTACTCACCAGGAGCAGATCCTGACAGAAACAGACCTCTTGGTACAATTTCAGAACGTCTTCATCATACCGAATTAATATACAACAAGAAAACACCTAAGTCGGATTCACCTGTGAATATCTGTGTTAGAATTGGTCTTCAGCAACTGATGCTTGTCGTAGAAGGCGACTGAAGGGATCTGGTGGTCAGGCTCGCTGACCTGGTTGACACATGTCATCGTATCCCAATTGCATAGATGCTCATGATGCTCAATTATTTACCAACCGCCGTCTGAACTATTGCTCAGTGAGGCGTTACACAAAAAGACCCCAAAGGCTTAAGCAATCAAGCGGGAGTCCTTCTTTGCATTCTAAACAGCCATCCTAAACGGAGCTCGCTCTTAGGAACGGAGCCATGGGTGACACAGCAGAACAAAAAAGGGCAGTTAACTTTCCAAATACGAAGTTCAGCTGCCAGCTTCGAAAATCTAGGCGCCAGGTTAGAATATGGTCTTCAGCAACCCATGCTTGTAAGAGGCGACTGACAGGATCTCCGACTTGGTTGACACATGTCATCGTACTCAGGTGGTGGTGGTGGAATTGGGTTTAACGTCGTGCTTGAGAATATTTCGCTGATATGACGACGTGCATGCGTTTGTGTGTGTGTGTGCGGCTGCTTGTACTAGCCCAGACTTAAGCTGGTTTTATAGTGCTAGCCCACTGGGATACCATGCCGCAGTGAAACATGAATACCCCACTCAGACACATTATACTGACTCCGAGCCAACCAGTCCTTGTTGTACCCATTAATGCCGAGCGCCAGGCAGGGACCAAGTACTCAGGATGGGAATATTGCTGAATGTGGCGTTAACAACACCCGAATGATTCTGACTGTAACAGGATATACATTAAACGTTGTGAAGCAGTCGCGGGCCCTCACGGTTTACTTCTCTGAGGTTCACCGGGATATCTAATGAAAGCAACACTTCAGGTTCCCAATGACTTATGATATCTGGGTCATTCCATACCCAGATGAGGTATTGTCTCGTACTTACATGGGTCTTGTGGTACTCAAAGTCTATGCCATGAATTCTGTCACTGTTCCAGCCAAGAATGTTATCCACTGGTATGAACTGGGCCTGGAAGAGTGAGTGAGTGGATATGATTGACCTTCTGTGTTTCATTCATGTCAACTGTTGCCATTACAACGTAGGAATGAATGTAGTGTTTTGTTTTAAAATCTATGTTGCAACAACGAATCCAAATATTTTTAAACTCCTCTCCTTTCTTCAAAAAAGAAGAAAAAGGATGTCAAATGATCAGCTTTTCTACAATTGAGGTATGCTGCATTTGTACAATGTCTCATCTTAAGCGACAGAGCGAGTACTACTTTTTGTCGGCTTGTCGAAGAGAAATATTTCACTTATAAATGAACAAGTGGACGTCCAGGTCCTGGTCAGTGACGTCACACACTCACAGCAGCAAGGGCACAGAGCCCCAGGATGATATAAAAAATCAAAAATCTTTATTTCTGATACTATGAGGCCACGGGCCTATGGTACAAAACACCTCATCGAGACTTGAAATAAAATGTTAAAATGAAAGCATGTATAATATATACAATCTTAATATGACAAAATTGATTTCCTTTTTCCGACGCATAAAACAGATATTTAGCAGTATTCAAGGAAATGTCAGGATGATATAAACCCTCATGATTAAGTTTTTCGACGACAAGGTACAGCTAAATGACCAATACGTGTTTAAATATATTTTAAAAAGGGATTGGCAGGTTTTACCTATAGAGCAGGTGGTGCTAGAGGAGCGCCGTTTTGTCACGATCACGTTATCAGAATGATTACATTTCTTGCAGGAATGTGCAGAGCTCCAGATAAGGTTTAGCACATGTGGGTACTGTACCCACTGTATTTTTTTTGGAGTGGGTATTATGAATGTTGAGTGGGTATTTCATTTTCCGTTACCCACTGCTTTCAAATATGTGCGTATTTCAGTCATTTTACTCACCTAAGTATTACGTCATTGAGTAAGTTTACTAAGCAGGTATGTTCTGCCTTATGTCATACCGATTCAAAACCAACTTAAATATAATGGAAATGATTTCATAAAAAATCACTGATCCTAAACTGACAGTACAACACTACTCCTATACTAACTGTACAACTTGATAGTAATCGATGTCTTTCTCATTACGCAAGCGATTTTTATAAATATATTCCGTACGCATTTGTTTAAACTTTTTGCGTATCTAACATTTTAAATGCGTAACTGGTACGCAACAATTATTTTTCATGCATAATTGGCAATTTTCTATGCGTATTTTACCCGGATACGCAGCTTATCTGGGCCTTTGAACGTGTGTCATAATTTATGGACAGGGTTCGTCGCTTCTATGTGTGAGATGCTTATTTGTCTTATATATTGTGGAGTACCATAGTAATATGACGGCTACCAAATTGCGAACCTGGTCCGGTGGTTGATGTCATGATCTACGATCTTTACCGTTAATGTATGACGTCATGATCTACGATCTTTACCGTTAATGTATGATGACATGGAGTCATCCACGTCATCAACACGATTAAATAAGTCGCCATTTAGGACCATTGGGGCCAGCAAACAAACTCAAATGTATGGTACAATAACGTGGTGACACATGGTCATTCTTCATGGGACATCATACTTGGCCGCATCAGACACGTGCCGTTGGTGATTTTCTTGCCTGAACGCAACTTCTTCACATCGTTCTTGGCAGACGTCCGTTGGTGATTTCTTGCCTGAAGCAACTCTACCTTGGCCCGTCAGAAGTCCGGTTCTCAATCCCAGAGAGCATGTTTGGGACATTATGGGTCTCAGTATACGCCATAGAGATCTTCCAGACGCCAATCTTGATGTACTGGAACAAACCCTCAAACACGAATAGAACGCAATACCTCAACGTCCACATCAATATCTGATACAGTCAATGAAGAGGAGAGTCAGGGATGTTTTTGCAGCTGGTGGTGGTTAAACGAGATTTCGCATTGGGCACGGTCATTGATACTTATGTGATGAAGAATGTCTGCCAGAATCTTGATAATGACCGAGCTTGTTAACGTCAAACGACCACTGTTATAAGCAGTACAAAATGAGTCAATTTTGGCCATGTTTGCTTGTGTGATTTGCCGCTTAAATATTCCCTCGGCTCCATGCATCTATATAGTAAGTTAAATTGAGGTTTGAATAAGTTCTTTTGCTGTGGTTAAAGGTAGCATAGTGATACTATGAAGAATAGGGAGGGGGGGGGGGGGTGCGATACGTTTGTTCATGTGTCGATATAACAGATTCCTTGTTTGTAACATACCATGTCTCGACGTGTTTGAACATTATCACCTGCTGAACGCTGGGAAACGTCGATAACATCACTTCTCAGTTACTCCGTTCCATTGCAGTGTCCCAAAGAGACACGTACCCTTCTAGCCGACCTCCTGTTGAAGCAATTTTACTATCATGTTTTCGTTCATGCAGATTGTTGAGGGAAATGAATCACTTTGCAATGAAATGATACATAAGCCATACGAGACATGCTGAACGTTGTGTTAAAGTCTTTCATTAAGTGATCATCCACTTATTCGTTTTCAATATAAAAATGACAAATTTAGACATCCACAGTACTAGTACCTGGTTTGTTGTTTGTTAAGTTTGTTTGTTTGACCTATATGTTGTTGTTGTTTGTTAAGTTTGTTTGTTTGACCTATATGTTGTTGTTGTTTGTTAAGTTTGTTTGTTTGACCTATATGTTGTTGTTGTTTGTTAAGTTTGTTTGTTTGACCTATATGTTGTTGTTGTTTGTTAAGTTTGTTTGTTTGACCTATATGTTGTTGTTGTTTGTTTAGTTTGTTTGTTTGACCTATATGTTATTGTTGTTGTTGTTGTTCTTTGTTGTTTTCAGTCTAAACAAATCCATGCAAGTTTAGCATTTAAACCTTTTAGGCTTCAAAACGCGTTTAAATTACCTGACAAGGATTAAACACTTTTAATAGAGTTGTTACCAAGTTGACATCTTCCAGGGAAAGGAAATGCCTGATTCTTATATACTGCACACACGCACGCACGCACGCACGCACGCACGCACGCACGCACGCACACACGCACGCACGCACACACACACACACACACGCACGCACGCACGCACACGCACACACACACACAAATTTGATATTAAACTGCTTCATATTAGCTGCGATAAAGATCGGTTAATGATGTAATAAGAACTCACAATTATGAATTACCAAATGGTACACTGCCTTGGAAACCAGCGTAAGTTGATGCAGTAGACATTTGTTTTTGGTGAATAAGACCAGTTATACAGCCAGGTTTTCACTTATTTCATGGGAAAGTTAGTTCTTCAATGCTGTTGATTGAAACATACTCATATGAAACCTTTCCTTGCTCATACTCCAACTGTACACACTCATTAGATTATATAAGAAAAGGTTCCAAATATAACATCCATGGACATAAACGTTTTGGAGAGTTTTGTTGTTTTTTCAGGTGTTAACATTATCTTGGCCGTCAAGAGGTTCACAAAAGGTATATTCATGACATGGTGAACTGAACATAAGGTGTCATCTTGCTAAGCCATCGCTTTCCGCATAAAGCCACTTCGTGTCACTTTAAAGTGACCGCACACCTTGCAGTACAGATCTTCAGATTGAGCTATTTGTTGGGAATCTATAAAAGCAGAAATGAGATTCATTGCCAAAATCGTTCACCCAAACAATCAATATGGACGACCGATAGAAATCAGCTTTAATGTGTCAACCAACTGGACAAGAAGAAAACCTCTGTGGCACCACTTAGGAGCTGGAGCTGGAGCTGGGGGTCAGGTCGTAGACGGAGTGCCTGAAGCACTCGGCGACGGAGCGGATGTCGTGGTATTTGGTGCGGAGCTCGCTGAGGCTGCTCTTGCTCTCGCCAGTGTGGGCTTGGATCTGCTGGTAGATCTGGTCCTGGAAAAAGCAACATCATCATCATAATCATCATCATCATCACAATCATCATCATCATCATCATCATCATCATCATCATCATCATCATCATCATCATCATCACCACCACCACCACCACCACCATCATCATCATCACCATCATCATCATCATCATCATCATCACTACCACCACCACCACCATCATCATCATCATCACCACCACCACCACCATCACCATCATCATCATCATCATCATCATCATCATCATCACTACCACCACCACAACCATCATCATCATCATATCATCATCATCATCACATCACATCACCACCACCACCACCATCATCATCATCATCATCACCACCACCATCATCATCATCATCATCACTAACTTGAAAATCATAGATCAAAATTATCATCAACTTGACTATCTCGTCAAAAACATTCCTTATTTAGTTATTCTCTGGAAACATAAACTTTCATTTCACCACAACCTTAATTCGTCATCTTACAATGATCCTTTCAGAAAGATCTAATCGAAATTGATTAATCACGTGAATCCCGGGTTTGATTCCCAATATGATTACAACATGTGAAGCCTATTCCTACTTGAGCATTGCTAAAACGGTGTAAAATCTAACCTTCTTACGTTTTGCATTTAATACATACCTCGTATTTTTCCCTGCTGTCCTTGCTATCCAGGAGCTTCTCGATGTCGTTGTCAACATGTATCAGATAACAGGCGTTAGAACTCCTCACCAGGAGCAGATCCTGACAGAAACAGACCTCTTGGTACAATTTCAGAACGTCTTCATCATACCGACTTAACATACAACAAGAAAACACTCAAGCCGGATTAACCCGTGAACATCAGGGTTAGAATTGGTATTCAACAACACAAAAGGCTACTAACAGGATCGGGTGGTCAGGCTCGCTGACTTGGTTGACACATGTCATCGTATCCCAATTGCATAGATCGATGATCATGATGTTGATCACTGGATTGTGTGGTCCAGACTCGATTATTTACAGACCACCGCCATATAGCTGGACTATTGCTGAGTGCGGCGTTAAGCAAAACACAAAGGCTTAAGCAATCAAGTCAGGTTCTTTCTTAGCATCCTAAACAGTCAAGACTCAAAAAGCTCGCTCTTATTAACAGAGCCATGGGGGTGGTGGGGTAGCCTAGTGGTTAAAGCGTTGGCTCGTCACGCCGAAGACCCGGGTTCGATTCCCCACATGGGCACAATGTGTTAAGCCCATTTCTGGTGCCCCCGCCGTGATATTGCTGGAATATTGCTAAAAGCGGCGTAAAACTAAACTCAGTCAGTCAGTATTAACAGAGCCATGAGTGACAAGGGAGAACAAGGGAGCAATTGAATTCCCAAAAAGTAAACCCTAAAAATTTCAGCTGCAAATTGTAACATTTGAAAGAAAAACTAGAAGAGACTATCCATGGTCCGTTCAAGTACTACTATACAGTTTTGACCTTTTAGAGGAATTCCATAAATTTCGTATCTACATTTTTCTTTCTTTGCATCCTTAACAGCCATCCTAAACAGAGCTCGTTCTTAGGAACAGAGCCATGAGTGACACAGAAGAACAAAAAGGGCAGTTAACTTTCCAAATACGAATCCCTAAAACGTTCAGTTGCCAATAGTAACATTTAAAAGAAACACCAGTTGAAACTATTCATGGTCCGTTCAAGTACTGCAATACAGTTTTGACCTTTTACAGCAAATTCCATACATTTCGTATCTACATTTTTCAAATTTTTAATCCAGATCTTTGTCATATCCTTTAAAGCGAAACCTAGAATAAATGTTCCCAGTTTGAAACTACTACCGCTAAGGTCGAGGAAGCTGTTTTCTGATTGATATCGACTTCCTGCCAAAGTTGGCTAAAGCTCATTCTGACTATGCCCCTGAAGACCCGGGTTAGAATTGGCCTTAAGCAACCCATGCTTGTCAGAGTCGACTTACAGGATCGCTGACTTGGTTGACACCTGTCATCGTATTCAGAATTAAACAACACCCAAATCATTCTGACTGTAACAGGATGTACAAAAAGCGTTGTGTGGCAGTCGCGAGCACTCACAGTTTACTTTTCTGAGGTTCACCGGGATGTCTAATGAAATCAACACCCGAATGAGGTATTGTCTCGTACTTACATGGGTCTTGTGGAACTCAAAGCTCCAGCCATGAATTCTGTCACTGTTCCAGCCAAGGATGTTGTTGATGATGTCCACTGGTTTGAACTGGGCCTGGAAGAGTAAGTGAGTTGGGATTAACCCTCTTCATTCATGTCAACTGTTGCCATCACAACTGTTGCCATCACAACTGTTGCCATCACAACTGTTGCCATCACAGCTGTTGCCATCGCAACTGTTGCCATCACAACTGTTGCCATCACAACTGTTGCCATCACCAAGTCTATACTGCAACAAAGAATTAAAACAATTTTAAACTCCTCTCCTTTCTACCCCGCCACAAAAAGAAAAAGAAAAAGGATGTCACATGATCAGCTTATCTCCACTTGAAGTATCCTTGTACAATGTCTCATCTTAAGCGACAGAGCGAGTACTACTTTTTGTCGGCTTGTCGAAGAGCAATATTTTACTTATAAATTAACAAATGGACACCCAGTTCCTGGTCAATGACGTCACACACTCACAGCAGCAAGGGCGCAGAGCCCCAGGATGATATAAACCTGCATGATTAAGTTTTTTTCGACAACTAGGAAGAGTTGAATGACCAATACGTCTTTAAATACATTTTAGCAAAGGATTGGCAGGTTTTATCTTCAGAGCAGATGGTGTAAATAAAAGGAGCGCCTTTTTGTCACGATCATGTTATCAGAATGACTTGCATTTCTTGAAAGAACGTGTGTCTTAGTTTGTTGACAGGGTTCGTCGCTTCTATTTGTGATCTGCATATTTGTTTTAACCTTCAGGCTCATTTTTTGTGTAGCACCACTGCAATATGCCCACTAACTAAATGTGAACCTCCGACATATGTTATACATAGCGCAACATCCGAGATATCATGCTTTAGATATATAGCGTCATATCCGACATATCATAAAGTATATAGGCTTTATAGCATTACATCCGACATGCCATGTTGTATATAGCATCATATACGACATGTCATATTGTTTAAAGCACCACGTCTGACATATCATGCTGTTTATTGCATCACATCCCTTGTATCTCATTGTCTATTGCATCACATCTGATCTATCATATTGTATAATGCACCACAACCAACATATCATGTGGTATATTGCATACACCTCAGACATACTATGTTGTATATAGCGCCACATCCAACATACCATGTTGTAACACCATATCCGTCATATCATATTGTATATAGGGCCACATCTGATCTTTCCTGATGTATATTGCATCACACCCAACATATCATGTTGTATATAGCGCAACACCCCATATACCATACGATATGTCTGATATGGCGCAATATACAACGTTGTATACTTGGTGCTGTGCTATATACAGCATGATATGTTGGAGGTGCTGCAAGATACAATACGATATGTTGGATGTGATGCAATATACAGCAGGAAAGATCAGATGTGGCCCTATATACAATATTATATGTCGGATATGGTGTTATATACAACATGATAGGTCGTTTGATATGTTATATAAAATACGATATTTCAGATATGACACTTTATACAGCATATGTTGGATGTGACCCAATATACAAAATGCTGTGTCTGATGTGACGCTATATACAACACTGTATGCTGCATGTTGCACTATATAAAACATGATATGTTGGGTGTGGCACCACATACAACCCCCTATACAGGCTGATATTTCACTGGTCTAACTATGTTACATCCTGGTATGTTGTATATCTCATTATGTTCATGCATTTGTATATGTCATGATGTAATGACCGCCGTTTATGATGGAAGACTTTGGTTTCATGAAAAAATAAATTTAAAAATAAAAATACCTAAAAACACTAACTGTGAACCTGGTCCAGTCAATTTTTGGCCATGTGTGCTCCCATGAAACAACTGTTATTACAGCGTTTAGATTTGACATTTAATTATTTCACGACGGTAATTCTAGCCTCATAGTGACATTAATTGAGGTTTGGATAAGTTCCTTTGCTATGCTTAATGGAAACATATTGACACCATATATTGTTATAACAAATACCAGGTTCTCAACATCGCAAAGTCTCCACATGGTTTGGATATAGACATGCTGGTGAAGACTGGAATAAAGGTGATAGGGTCTTTTCTCAGTTACTCCATCAATACGAGACACGTACCTTCTAGCAGATCTTCTGTATCGCAGCTTTTTTCTTGTAGAGTGTTTGGGGGAATTGAATCACAACGCAATGAAATTATGCATAAGCATAAGTGACCAATCACAAATTCGTAAACAAAATGCCAAAAGAAAGTCTACCATTAAAATTTTGAAATTATGTTTAGGGGAAGTGATTGAACAAACGAAACCAAACGTTTTCTGTGCACCCAAACGCATCCCAAATGTGGGTCAAGTTGCCAACAATTGAGAATGTCGCGCACTTTGTAAATAAGACAGAAATGCATGACATGCCTTTTAATATCCAAATGCACAAAACTCACATTGCGAAAACAAATCAGTGTAAATACAATCCCATTGACCATTTAAAATGCCCAGGCTCAGCCGTGAACAGAGAGAAAGCGCAATAGGCATGATCAATACGGGCGCGTCCGTAAAGCCATCAACAGGACACACACAATACTGACCACAAGAGCATCCTGGAGTGCACATTGAATTCGGTAACGAATTTCAAACTCTATGATTTAAATTGTGAAACTGACATTTGACCCCCATGTGAATCATCCCTCTGTAAATTTAATATGTTTGCTTTGTTTACTTGTTTAAACCATTGTAAATACTGTGGAAGCCGTCCATCCTTCCAATACAGATGAATTTTCATTCAATGCATTTTGTTATTTCTTCCTATAAAAGTTTGCGTCGTGGGACACTTTCTTTTGGAATTTAGTTTATTTAACATATAATGACAATATTACCATACCAAAACCAGTTTAGAAATGCAATGTACCTGATTATTTGAATATTGTTCCATGTTGCTTAAAAACGTTTGTGTAAAACGTTTTAAGTCTAAACAATTTCAAACAAGTTAGGAATTCAAACATTTCAGACATCAAAACGCGTTTAAATTACCAGGCAAGGATTGAACGCTTTTAATGGTTTGGTTACCAGGGAGAGGAAGTACCAGATAATACAGAGATGCTATAAGATTACAGACAAGTGACAAGTTTATTTTACATTTGAGACCTCATGGCCCATTGTGCTAAAACACACGGATCATACAATGCGCAAGATATATTGATATACAATGCAAGGCTACTTAGTACTTAACATTGTACATTTCATTTGAGGAACAGTGATATTCTCTTTATAAGAACAGAATTTGTTGTTGACATTAATGATACAAATTTATCATGGGATGGAATGTTATGATAATATGGTGGCGTAACAGTTCTCTACTTGTCTTATAATGAGGACATAGGATTATAATTAGCTGTGGTTATGATATGGTATGAATTTCCAAAAGATACTCTGTCTTGGACAACGTCAATTGCTGCATTCAGCAAACATTCAATTTTAGTGTTCACATATAGATTTATTTCGGAATATTATCTCTAGGAAATGCATGGCGTAATAGTTCCAGATGGTACTCAATAAATGCTCAGTGCCTTCAGTGGACATTTCACAGTCATGGAAAAGGATCACATTGCAACATAAGTGATTCATTTAATGAAGGATAAGAGAAAAACATTTTCTATGATGAGTGGCAATTATTCAACTACAACACCAATATTTCTGCAACAGGAACTTAAAAAATATAGGTACAATTAAAGAAACATCTTTTGTGTCATAGCCAGCAGAACTAAACACATTCGTATAACTGATTTGAATACTATTTTAGCCGACTTTAAAGGTGAATCCGGGAAAGCAAATTATACTCTGCTATTTGTTATTTAGCTAGATGAATAGATTGAAACAACACTTGCTATATTCTTAATTATTAATGAATAATATGTAGGTAATAGGGTATATGTACAATGTGTTAAAGGTAATAAATGAGTAACTTTTGGTTGGAATTATTTTTAAGAAGCACATGGGGATGTCCTCAGATCTCCGATACGGTGGTACGTAAGCCCTAATTACAAGATCTGATTGAAATGAGATTTCGGGTTTTATTTCTCCTCAAAGTGTTTTTTACAAAGAAGTAAATTTATATGAGGAGCATCTTAGTAAATACTGTAAAATACCTCAAACAAAATGTTTTCGAATGCAACAATTCAATACCACATAGAGTAACGTTCACTTCCAACACTTTAATTGAGAAAAATATTAGTTCGTTTAAGCAATAGTGATGACACAAATGTGTTTATATTCTCGAGCAGTGTTATCAAGAGCTCGTTCTGTTTCAGCGAAACAGTTAACCTAATTCCTGATTTGAAGAATGTAACCTAAAGTCGCTGTCTATATTTTCTATTCCAAAGAAAGTACTCTTAACAATTACTGATAGGAATGTGCCAACACTCCTCGGTGCACAGGAACGGTACTGTCATAATCTCAGAGACTCGCACAGACTCGCCGATTCGCCAAACAACATGAAGGCTCTCCTTGTTTTTACTGCCTTGGGATTTGTCCTGGTAAGCTAACAAATTGGCAGTAGTATGATCGATGTAATCGATGTTTATGTCACACCATACACCGTGTGGGACGCCAGGTGTACTTTGTCCCACAGATGGCAAGATGAATCTGGTTCATTCTTGTCTTCCGTGCGAGCCAGTACACCTGGTCCACCATATTGTGTCTCGGAAGGTCGCCAAAGCGTTAGTTAGGGTTGTCAAGATTCCGTGAATATTCGAATTTTGTTTGGTCAGCTGGATTAACCCAAACGGAAATTTTGTATATAGAGAACCTCGATAATCTGGACTCTATTGCGTAGTGATTAAATTTGTGAATGTATTAAGGGGACCTGTGAATATCCGGGCCAGAACTGGTTTTCAGAAACCCAAGTTGGTCTTAACATGCAATTATAGAGCGGATTGGGTGGTCAAGCTTTCTCACGTTGTTGATGCCTGTCCCGCTCGCATAGATCGTGCTCATAATGTCAATCACTGGGTCGTTTGGTGCAGACGACATTATCTACAGTCCACCATTGGGGAATATGTCTATGCGATTATGTATCATACATTTCAGAGGAATGAGCACACAGAATACAGTATACATGGTATTCAAAGTCTTTTGTCCTCTTCAATAATCTGGAATATCCTAATGGTTAAAGCTTTCGCTCCTTGCGGGAAGACCCGAGCATAATTCCACACATGTATATAATGTGTGGAGCCTACGGCTGGTGTCGGGGGGTGGGGTAGCCTAGCTGTTTAAGCGCTCGCTCTTCACCCCGAAGGCCCAGGTTCGATTTCCGTATGGCGTCAGTGTATCAAGCTAATTTATAGAATTTCCACCGTGATTTTGCAGGAATATTGCTAATAGCGGTATTAAACCATACTCACTCACTCACTCCCAGACGCCTCCGTGGTGTAGTGGTTAGAGCGTCCGCCCGGAGAGCGGAAGGTCGCGGGTTCGATCCCCGACCGCGTCATGCCAAAAGACGTTAAAATATGGTACTTGTTGGTCCCTGCCTGGCGCTCGGCATTAATTTGGAACAAAAAGGACTGGTCGGCTCGAAGTCAGTATAATGTGTCTAAGTGGGGTATTCATGCTTCACTGCATGGTATCTCAGTGGGCTAGCACTATAAAACCCAGCTTCAGTCTGGGTTAGTACAAGCAGCCGCACATACACATACACACGCATGCACGTCGTCATATGAGCGAAATATTCTCAAGCACGACGTTAAACCCAATTTCACCTCACCTCCCTCCCACTCACTCACTCACTCTGGTTGCCACGTGCACGTCGTAATAATGCTGGACAATTGCCAAAAGAGGCGAAAAATCATACTCAGTCACGAATAAATGGCCGGGAATAGACAATGTCGTCTAAAATGGCGGTTACATCTTTACACGAGATATCTCTTGTTTGATGAAAGTTTGTCTCATCGTATAAATATATTCCTGTTCCTATTTCAGGGAGATATCGGACAGATCGTGTACTACCACCCCGAGCTCGTCCACGGCTACTCAATGGAGTATCACAGCTACGCCGTATTTAGCTTCTCGTATTTCCTACCACGAATAAATAATTACTTGCTGATGTTCAAATGAAGTGAAACTCAGTACGTCTCAGTTAGACTCAGTTGATCCGGAAAAAAACTTAATGGACATGGAGGCTTATTATATACACGAAATACCCATGATTCTTAAATAATATATTTGAACACTCTCACCAGGACCTGTACCGTATCTGGATTGAAAATTGAATTATCACTCAAATCGTGTTGCCTTAAGAAGTATAAGAGATTAAGTGATATCTCCTTGTTGATGATCCTACGATGAAATTTATAAATGTTTTTTCAGGCGATTGTGACATCATTGTTGACTTCACAATTGTTTTTTTAATAACAAATATATAGCAAGGATCGTTGATAAAGGTTTAATACTCCGCGGCTAGAGTTAATGTCAGTAAACACTCACAGAGTTTTTCTAATTTTTCACTTTTTTGTATTCATCACCAGCATGGAAAGGCACTGAACACAAATCAGACATTAAATGGCATTGTAATATTTCTGTACAACCAGCTGATTCATATAACAATAATGAATGTATATTTCAGGACATCATTGTGGTGAGGAACGCTACTACTTGCTACATCGTCGACGTCACCGCCGCCATCGAGACCGACCTGAGGCACAGCACAACGAGGAGAACGATAGAGGTGAGGTATAAATTGAAAATAACGACATCGAGCGATAATCATTATATCATTATGATAGATGGACTCGTCCCTCTAAACACTAATGTTACAAACACATACAGCCTGTCTCAAACAACTGAAAACTCGATTAATGTAACTTTTCTCGACAAACATCCACTTCGAATGTAGATGACTTGAGTTTCTGGGTTCGAATTCCGGTTCGCCTCAATTTGGATTTTTTGGTCGGTAGGCACAATACTCGTTTTCGTGGCGTTTACCAATATGCTAACCGTCTTATAGCCGCCTTATTTTGGCTTTCCTTACACATTACGTTGGCACGACGTTAAATAGCTGGAGTAGTGATTCATTCGGCTTTAAACTTACTAAATACAACCTCGTGTTGTAAGCTGATGCCTTGCAGAGTTACTTCCCTGATGCTTTGCAGAGATACTTCCCTTAGCTCAGACATTCACACAAAGCGTGGATTCAACCCAGGTCGGAATATGTAATCTGACAAGCCATCATGATACACGTGGATATACGCCCCGGCCAGTGTTACCTGGAACTTTATTCTCTTCTCACGCACTCCCTCACTCCCTCACTCATTCCACTCACTCACTCCGTTCAATGTTTACTTCCTTCCAATCACACACTCACTCACTCCTTCTCTCCACTCACTCACCCACCCACACACTCACTCACTCACCCAACCACTCACTCACCCGACCCCCTACTCAATCACTCACCCGACCCCCTACTCAATCACTCACCCGACCCCCCACTCACTCACCCGACCCCCCACTCACTCACTCAACACTGTAAAATGCAAAGAAATTGTAAAAAACCCACCCCACCCCCTTTGTATTGGGTAAATACACGGGGTGTTTGAATGTTTCCAGGAGGAAATCTACAACCAGATGGTGAGTCACAAGGGGGAAGTGGTGTCCTCCATCGACAAGATCCGCCAGCAGCTTCAGGACATCCGTGCTATAGTCGAGTGTTTCAACCACAACGTCTACCAGATCAAGTACATGCACTCAACATCGAAATCAATTTAATAAACCTATCGAATGTACAGTACAAGCAAATCAATTATCAAATCTGAAATGGTTATCTTGCAAATGACGATTATGAGGTGAGGTGATGTGAAATTGGGTTTAACGTCGTGCTTGAGAATATTTCGCTCATATGACGACGTGCATGCGTGTGTACGTGTATGTGCGGCTGCTTGTACTAGCCCAGACTTAAGCTGGTTTTATAGTGCTAGCCCACTGAGATACCATGCCGCAGTGAAACATGAATACCCCACTCAGACACATTATACTGACTCCGAGCCGACCAGTCCTTGTTGTACCCATTAATGCCGAGCGTCAGACAGGGACCAACAAGTACCATATTTTAACGTCTTTTGGTATGACGCGGTAGGGGATCGAACCCGCGACCTTCCGCTCTCCGGGCGGACGCTCTAACCACTACACCACGGAGGCGGTCGACGAATATGAGAAAACTCCATTTTGTGTAAGCGTCATATTGTTTGAATACGTTTGTAAACAATGGATTAAGGAATCTATCAATGTTAAACATTCCCACCACCTATTCCCACCCTTCCCAAACACACATCACACATGGGCACACCCTGCACAGATCACAGAAACACACATTCCAACCTCATCAACGGCTAAAACAGGAACTGCTATATGCTTATAAATACTGCAGTCATGTTGCTGAAGAAAAATACCACGCCTTAATGGAATATATTAATATAAGAGTGAAATATTTATCCCAACACTGGAAGATAGTTTGATACATGATCCTAAGACAGGCCGATGTTGATTATCTATTATTTACAGTTGAAATGTATCGCCAGTACAACATATACTGGTGTGCTTAGTATGTACTACTGGCCAGCGTACTCATCTACACTACACCACAACACGACCCAAAACAATATGCAGTGTGGTAGTGTGCGGTCTTGTGCATAAAGCTCAGGTCACAAATCAGTTGAAGTTAAGCAACGTTGGGCGCGGCGAGTCATTGGGTGGGTGACCGTGTTTGGCAGCTTGACTCCTGAGGGTGTCTAGGACCAACCGACAACGAAGCACATGTGATACATGTGGTCTCACCTTAGGCAAGTGAGTTTGTTCACAATTGCCTCTGTTCACCCTGCAGAAAATGGGTACCCGGTGGGATAAGTCATGTGACTATAACCTTCTGGCGCCTCACAGGCAGCTTCGGTTATCCGGGGTAATAATGAACTGTGGAACTCTGTTAACGCTTTGAGCACACTTTGGTGTGGAGTTTATTGCAATAATGAGAATCCATATCATTATTCACAGACCACCAACCAAATCACAGCATTGCACCGCACCGCACCGCACCGCACCGCACCGCACCGCACCGCACCGCACACAACACATCACATGAGGCAACAAACCATACCCCCATCCCCGCCCCCAGCCCCACACCAATATTCTACAGTCTCTGAATCCAACCTACATGTACAAGAGGACCCGACTTAACTGATGCTCCACCCATGAATGCCAAACACATATCTACTCAGGTGACCGAGCTCAGAGCACCAGGGTAGGTGTTGTTGTATTGGGTGTTCCTATCGTGATCTCTATGTACCCGGGGCGGTGGGGTAGCCTAGTGGTTAAAGCGTTCGCTCGTCACGCAGAAGACCCGGGTTCGATTCCCCACATGGGTACAATGTGTGAAGCCCATTTCTGGTGTCACCCGCCGTGATGTTGCTGGAATATTGCTAAAAGAGGCGTAAAACCATACTCACTCACTCACTCTATGTACCCATTCAACAGAACCAGTGAGAGTGGTGCACATTTTGGCAATATTCAAGCCTTATCCCGAAATAAAGGCTCTAAACAACACGACCATGTGGGGAATCGAACCGCGCTTCAACCAGAAAACTACGGTTCCCAGTCAAATCAGAGTCGTGTGTTAGTGAGTGAGCTAAGGTCTTATGTCGCATTGCCATTACTTCAGCCATACAGCGACGAGACCAAATTATTAACACAAAGTCTCACTCAAAATCATGTACACACTCCAACATCACAATATTGTTTTCATTTTGAAAGAATGGTCTAAAATCTACTATTTACAATCCAGTATAATGCTATTTACAATCCAGATTAAAACTATTTACAATCCAGTATAATACTATTTACAATCCAGTGTACTGCTTTTTTACAATCCAGTGTAATACTACAGTCTTCAAAAAAGCATATCTCATAGCAGTATGAACCTAGTGAGCCACAATTGCGTACACAGATTGACAACTGTATTGTGAATAGTGTCATCACGTTGTCATACCAGTCACTGCACAAAGGTGTGGCCCCAGGGGGCGTGATAGTCAGTACCTAGTGTGAGCACCACGAGCTGCTATCACTTTTCGACACCTCCCAGGAACAGACCGGATGACACGTTGGATTCTTGCCTGGGGAAACCTCCGCCATTCCTCCTGTAACGCCACTGCAAGTTCTCCAAGCGTCTGCGGGACCCGTTGACGTTGACGTACACGTCGATCCAGCTGATCCCAAAGATGTTCTATGGGGTTCAAGTCTGGGGACCTGACGGCCAGGGCAAGACATGAATGTTCTCATTGGCTAGGTAGGCCATTGTCACGCGTGCCGTATGGGATCGGGCGTTGTCTTGCTGTAAGATCTCTCGCTGCCGGTTGATAGTGGGACGGACGTGTGGACGAAGAATCTGGTTGATGTACCGGTTTGCAGTCAGATTCCCCTGAACCAGCACTAAGTCAGTCCTACCGGTGTATGATATGGCACCCCACATCATAACACTCCCCCAACCGAAGTGATCGATCTGTCGTACGCAGTTGGGCGCGTAACGTTCATTCCTACGTCGGTACACACGTTGTCTTCCATTTTGGTTGTGTTTGCGCGACATAACCATTAAAAATCACATACATCACATCATTCAAACATAAACATAGTCTTTAGATCTATTGCCGATATGAAAATGCAATAGAAAAATCTCTCCCCCCATGCGTTTCTTTTTTTGAAGAGTGTATTTACCATCCAGAAAAATACTAATTTCAATCCAATATAATGCTATTTACAATCCAGATTAACACTATTTACAATCCAGTATTATACTATTTACAATCCAGTATAATACTATTTACAATCCAGTATTATACTATTTACAATCCAGTATATTACTACCTACATTCCAGCACAATACTATTTACAATCCAGCACAATTCTATTTACAATCCAGGATAGGTAGTCACTCATATATTTCAGACAGTATTTCACATAACCGACAAGTACTTATTATAAAAACAATATTAATAAAATTTCTCGTATGGCTCGAGACAGAAAGTATATAAATTATGTATGGAAGCGATATCCGTTACGATATGAGTTATTTTTTATTGAAACTGAGACTGTTACCAAGGCTACGGGATGTAAACACAATAACAACAAGCACACCTCCATCTATAAATGGATGTGATTCAAAGACAATCTTCACTTTCTTTTGGTTCTGAACGACCGGTAAGTATTCTCATTCTCTTAATACTTCGTCTGTGATATTTCTCTAATACATACTTTCACGGAGTCAAGCCGAGGGGAGGATTGGCTGATCCAAAAAGACATAAAGTCAAAAAGAACCAAGAACGATTTCCCAGATAAATGAATAAAAATAATAATTTACATTTTCTATTAAGTTAGGACGTTATACTATTTGTATAATTTGTGAACGGAGGGGCGAATGAAATTATGCCGATATTGTTGTTTCATTTAATTAAATATTAAGCTGACTTCGAATATGGTCATTTGACCATAATCAAAAAATTAATTTATAAAGAGTAATCTGTTGTGGCGTATTGTGGTAAAAATATAATTAGTTAGATCAATCATGAGGCCATATACAGATAGACGCTCTTTTTCAATTAATGGAATGGAGAATGATCTCATGATCCCTACCATGTTGGAAATTTGTAAATTTGAGCTAAGAAACCCCAACTTCATTGATTTAAGATTTTAAAGATACCATTAACAATTGTTTATTGAGATATATTTTTCTTATTTGTAAAGTTTTAAATTAAATTATCTTTAAAAAATAAAATCACAAAGTATTCTTTGAATGCTAAATAGACGACCCTGCAGTTCCTCATTTATAACGTCACTAAATTAATATATTTTCAGCTGAAAAATTAAGAATATGTTAAATCAACCGACATATATAATTGCTTTTTCTTCTCTGGTACTACCATAAATGGTGCTCATTGTCATGGGAGCTTTAAACATCATACAAACACGACGTATAGCTGTTACCTGCCCGGATATGGCTGCTGTACAACGGGGAACGCTTGTTTTAGTCTGCTTGAGTCAGTGACGTCACCACATGGTGTAAAACCACCGTTGTTGTTGTTGTTGTAGCAGGCAACGTCCCCTTGTTGCTCCAGTCGCCGTGGCGCCAAAATAATATTTACGTTGACGGGGAATAGATACCTGTAAATTATTAATATAGAAACTGATGTATACTGGGACATGATACTTGTTGAGAATATAGAAGTTAAGGGCCACGGAGTCATATTTATCATCCAGTACTCAGGTTTCCAGAGCAGATATCGTTTAGGTAAGTTTTGAGCAAATTGCTGATTGGTTAATATTTTTCGGACTATTTTCGTCTCCCTGAGATGTAAACAAAGATGGCCATAGCAATTAAGATATTTTTGTTCTTGACTTTTTCTATCGACATAAAAGTTTACTTAAAATATTACCAAGAAATGGTAAAACTTGCAGAATTTAAAGCAATAAATGTTAGCACTACTTTTGTATGTGCTTGTTGTTTATGACGTAATGGTGTCACTCGTTCTCTCTACCGTCACTATTGTTCGTTTGGATGTATTCATACGCAAGTCTTCAACTGTTACTTGTTACAAGTGACATTTCGTATTTAATTTCTCTTGAAGGATAAATTAAGTATGATATTTGATGATAAATAGAATCTCACCCGCGTGTCGTTTGATATCAAATATGTCACCACGAGTTGATAAAAGTGAGAAAACCCAGAGGCTGGCCGAGACACTAGGGTGAGATTCTCTATTTCTTAAAATAATTGATAATGCCTAGAAAACTAAGGACATCCGGGTTCTTAAATACAACTACAATTCTTCTTCTTCTTCTTCTTCTTATTATTATTACAGTTATTCATATTGCGAGTAGGAGTTTATACGGAATACTGCACGACAGGTACAAACCTGTTGAAGTAATTTGTGATGAAGTTTGCGTGGGTTTAATGTTGAAATGAAATATGTAATAGGGTACAATGTGCGAAGTCCATTTCTGGTGTCCCCCGCGGTGATATTGCTGAAATACTGCTTAAAGCGGCGTAAAACTAAACTCCCTCACTCACTCACTCTCTCACTCTAAACCCCGTCAGCAGTGATAACTGGTGTTAGGTATTAATGGCATTAATGGCTTTGAGTGTGGCAAAACGTCGTGTAGACTATAAATGGCGCTTCTTGTCTAGCCTCGGCTGCCAGTGACACTGACACCACCTGGTGTTAAAGTGGGTGACATGTCTTCTTCATAGAGGTCTCACCAACGACACCAGGTGTTTGAAATTAATTGTTAGTATCGTCCTGGTGTTTGTGATTCGTTTCTTGCCCTGTTCGAGAGCTCCATCCGAAAACACTACTGACACCCGGTGTTTGAAGCCATGGCGTGTAGTGTCCTGACCTCTCAACAAACCTGTAACGGCATTAGCTGGTTGAGATATGTGACAGGTATCAACCTGATCCGGCGTCCGGCTCTTGTCAATGGCAATAAAGATCCCGAATACCAACCCCAAACCCCAAGGGTTCATTCAATCAAATGACAAAAGAATATAAATTATATTTTCTTATGAATATAATAAGTTGAATTAATCAGCATGTCCGCCAAACAAGTGTGTTTGCTACATTTAAACGAAATCCACCATCCACACAAAAATAAAATTAAAACAAATAGTCCAATCAAGGGGTAATGATTATACTGTGTGTTAAGAGATAATCTTCTTGCAGCCCTCAGGACACAAGACATGAAGTGGTACCTGCTGGCCGTGTGCGTCATCCTCCTTGGACAAGGAGAAGCTACGCCTGTGGAAGGTAGGTATCCCGGGGTGTTTAATGGTTGGTGGGGTAGCCGACACGGGTAAACGTTTGCCAATCAAGTCGGATTCGACTTCGTCACTTGGTGCAATGTTTGACGTCATTGTTGTTGTCCGTCACAGTGGTGATGCGTGGTCATGGCGACGTTGAATGTCGGACGTGTTCCAGAACGATGATGAACGATGGGTTAGCCTAGCGGTTATAACGTCCGTTCGTCACGCCGAAGACCCGGGTTCGATTCCCCAAATGGGTACAATGTGTGAAGCCCATTTCTGGTGTCCCCCGCCGTGATGTTGCTGGAATATTGCTAAAAGCGGCGTAAAACAATACTCACTCCAGAACGATGACTAGAGGTTCTGTGAATTCTGCTCTTCATAGGGCTGCTTTGAGTGGGCATAATAAGCGTCTGGTTGTCTGGCTCATAAACAGAACATTGCTGGAATTTTTGTCTCGAATATGTCATGCCTCTTGCAAATTTCGTGCAATTCGAACAACATCTCGATTGCTTTTCCCAGCAACTCCATCATGCATAAGGGCATGGATTTGGCGCATTTTAAATATGCAAATAATTTATTATTATTTTGAATAAATATGGATTTGTCTCCTTTTTTAGGCAGACTATATTTCTCGAAGCAGTTGGTGAATTTTTGTCTCTCTTAAAAGTTCGATACTGAATGGTTTGTCTCTCGTGTTCTCTAGACGTGCAGCCCGGGGCTCCTCAAGGTTTGTTCCGGGCAACCAGCGGTGTAGAGTACGTCAAGGATGGGGAAGAGCAGAACGACGATGCTGGCGGGAATGATGAAGATGGTGATGAAGAAAATGGCGATGATGACGAGAATAACGAAGATGAGGACGAGGAGAATGATGATGGTGGCGAAGATGATGAGAATAAGGTAGAGTCCAAAGAGGAATCATTCTGGGAAAAGTACAATGTAAGAAGACCCAAAAACTGGAAAAAGATGGGCCATAAGCGAAGGCATCGTTACAAAAAAGAAATTATGGAAAAGGCAGAGAAGCATGGTAGATCAGAGAACAAAGGCGGTAAGAAGATATCACGGAAGGCAAAGAAGATGATGGACATTGGGAAAGAACTCATAAAAGGTAGCCATAAATTGAAAGAGGCCGGGCAGGAAATCCGCAGCATGGCGGAAGACGTTGCACGTATTGTTAAACGTTTTCGCTCAGATTAGGTGACCTTGAACTTCACCAGAGGATCAATAAAGATTCAAGAGCAATGATATAAGGCTTTCTTTGTGTACCGATATGGACTTCCTGGGGGTTGGTTGGGGGTTGGGTGGGTGGGTGAGAGAGTGAGAAAATGAGAAAGAGAACCGACGACAAGCGAGAAGGAGAGGAGGGATAGAGAACGCCGCAAAAAGTGAGTGAGTTTAGTTTTACGCCGCTTTTAGCAATATTCCAGCAATATCACGGCGGGGACACCAGAAATGAGCTTCACACATTGTACCCATGTAGGGAATCGAACCCGGGTCTTCGGCGAGAGAGACGAAAGAAGGGTGGGTGGGTGGGTGAGCGATGATATTTCAGCGCATGCAGCTATTTGCAATTGGGTATATTTTTTATGACTCGTTGTGTCTTTCAGAACAGTTTCCTTGACGAGTAGAAGGCACATCTGCAGTTAAAACTACATAAATGGTTTTCTGAAAATAAGCGATGACCAAAGGGTTTTGTTAGAAGGGATAGCCTGTCCAGGTCCCGTGGTAGCACTCGTCATATATGCATTCCCACAGTGTTGCCTGATCTCTGGGGAAAGCAGCCAGTAAACAATTGGCAATAAAGCGACCAATGATGCAAAAAATACACTGACGCCATGGCACATTATCTGTAACAAATTCTATCGATTATTTATTAGTCCCATGAAAATCCTGGTTAGAATTGATCTTCAGCGACCCATGCTAAGGGGATCTGGTGGTCAGGCTTGACTTCGTTCACATGCTACCGTTTCCCAACTGCGTAGAACGACGATCATAATGTTGATCACTGGATTATCTGGTCTAGACTCGATTATTTACCGACTGCCGCCATATAGCTGGGATATTGCTGAGTGCGGCGTAAAACAACAAACAAATGAAAAACAAACTTATTGTATTCGAATCTTAGACAGAAACACAGCTTCAACCTTTTCTCCCTGAATCCAGACAATATTAGCTTCACAAGTATCCCAGGTTTGTCTGCAACTAGGATTTCAGGGCCAAATAGACTTGTTGTACCTTAGGCTTGCCCCTTGAGAGGATACCGGGTGTTCGTGAAAGGTGAAACCCTTTCTGCCCAACCGGTTGTACCGTCACAAACACACGAAAAGACAAGTCAATTAGTCACCTAAACACTGGAACTAGTACTGCAAGCCAAAAGAGGAATTACATGAGACGTAACCTTTGTCACATATATGTAAAATTTTATAATGACAAGGGCGGTAGGGTAGCTTAGTGGTTAATGCGTTCGTTCGTCATGCCGATGACCCGGGTTCGATTCCCCAAATGGGTACAATGTGTGAAGCCCATTTCAGGTGTCCCCCCGCCATGATATTGCTGGAATTTTGCTTTAAAATAGTGGCGTAAAACCCATCCTCGATAATCTCCAGGGTATACGTTAGGATAACTCTCCACTATACCCTGGATGCATCCATGGATTGGGGCGATGATTTTATTACCTCCCTTGGCTGGCTTTTTATCCAATCAGGCGCCTACGCTGGGAAGTTGAGCGTACCACTCACAACTCACTCTCGCTTCTTAAATTATCTAACCGTTTAAACTTGGCAACACAATTGATGCAGAGGTACTCTGTAAGAAGTAGAAGGAGTTCTTTTATATATTTTTTTAAAGTTTCAGATCTGTGAATTTGTCTTTATTATTTCCTCAAAAATCTGAGTGGCACAGCGAACAAACCTTCGCGACTGCGACCGCTATCTTTGTTGATACTGGCAAGCTCGGATGTAACGGCGGCTTAGCTGATTGGCTACTGTGAGAATGCGGAGCCAGTCAAGGGAGGTAATAAAATCATCGCCCCCAAGTCATGGATGCATCCAGGGTTTAGTGGAGAGTGATCGTAACGTATACCCTTGGAGATTATCGAGGATGCGTAAAACCATACTCACTCAACTAAAATGATAATGATAGAGTAGCTTCTTCAAGGTGATTTGATCACTCATGATCTACGAAACCTGATACTGAAAGCATCCTTCGTCTCCTGGACCTCCGTACAAGCAATACATGACTTTTAGCGAAACAAAATATGTATACGTATCCATTTTCTGTCAACTACACTTCGAGGCGTGAGTAGACGCAGTATGACAATGGCTGCTGTGAAGAATTCCGGACGAAGTTATAAATATCGGAGGGACACATGACTTCACTGCAGCTAATAGAAACATTCTGTTTTAACATTTGGGGTAAAATTACGTTGACAGTGATCGTTATGATATAAGAAAGAAAACCAACACAGGTTCCCATATTAGAACATACTTCCGTTTTACATCGAAGATAGAAACTGCCAGTCTTGTGGTTTGAGTTGGCCGCCATTAGGATCCCGACCGAAGTAGCGGACTGTTATTTTAGTCAGCTAAGTCTGGATTAAAAACATTGTTCTCATAGCAAGTTGATTGTTGGAACTGTTATTTTAGTCCGTGGTCCGTAATTGAGAGTCCGGATTATATAGCAAGCTTTTATGATAAATTAAGAACAATTTTGCGGGGACTCAAAGAGTAGTCCGGATTATGGGGGAAACTGGATTACACAGAGTCCGGATTTGACAGATTCCACTGTATACAGTGAACCAATATTGATGGACATGTTCTTGAATGGATTACGACACGACACGACACGTCAAGCTAATGTTCTTGTCAGATAATACTCATCCGGTTTGTGAGTTGGGTTTAAGGCTGCTTAGAGCTGTAATACTGTCATATTACAGAGTGTCTGCTTAATGTGGGAGAGAACCCCGAAGTTATGTAGTGTAAGGTGCTTACCATATTAGTGAAACATACCAGCACGGCTTTGATGCTGACAACACAAGAGATGCCATTGCGGAGAACAGATATTTGTCCCTTCTGTCATAGGTTTCAGGCCTGTCTAAGTGGGGCAACTCTGAAGAGTAAATTGCCTTGACTTCGGCCGTCTTGCCCCTTTAGCAGATTGACAGATATTAGTTGATTTTCTCGTGAATACATTTTGTCATTTTTGAAAAAAAATGCATTAAAAATATTAAATAATTTAAATCATTAGATACCCCATCTACGCGGATTAACGCAACGTTAAGGGTTTTTTCCATTGCTGTGAATTTCAGGCGTTCTACTCTGGCTATTATGTTAAAATACGTATCCAAAAGTCATGTGAATCTAGGGTTCAAAACTTGGGATGCCTCCAGGGATGGTACATTTTGGTGAAGAAAATGGATGCATTGTCAATCTATCTTTTGGTTTAAATGGAGTCAATTTATTACAGATATCAAAGTTATTTTTGTAATAAGTCGCATGGAAATAACATATTGGAAGTTGTGGCGAAAGTGGAATTGTTACACACACACACACACGCACACACGCACGCACGCGCGCACACACGCTCACACACACACACAAAAGGAAAACCAAAACATACATACAGACGTACATGGTAAATGAAATTATAAAAATAAACCGAATTTGTTGCCGGGACTCCCCGATATCCCACATCGCCTGGTGTTGAATCATGCTGGACTTAAGGTCGGGTTAACTTAAAAGTCATACACATATTGTTGACTGCAGAGACAAAAACAACTTATACACACAGTTGACACGAATCATTTTCACACAAACACTTGTAACAAATCACACACAGACACTTGCAACTAGAATGTGTGTGTTCATATAGAGGATCCAGACAAAGTGGATGACTGACTGAGTTTGGTTTTACGCCGCTTTTAGCAATATTCCAGCAACATCACGGCGGGGGACACCAGAAATGGGCTTCACACATTGTACCCATGTGGGGATACAAAGTGGATGAACACCAAACATATGGTTACGTACATTGTTTCTCTGTTCACAGATAATTATGTATATTATTATAATCTATTTATATAGCGCCGAGTTCCAGCTAGGCTGCTCACAGGCGCTTTGTTTTTCCCACGATCATAGGACGTCAGTCTCAACGGCACTTCGTATTATCAATCTCAACTCCCTGGGGGATCATACAACACTTGCAGCCACTAGGCGCACCGAGTTAATGTGGCTTTCCATCCTTACGAGGTATACCAATTCACAGCTGGGTGGACTGGGACACATAGTCACAGTATTTTGTCCAAGTACACTGAAACGTTGCTGTACCCGCAACTAGGTGTTTGCCACCATTTGATCATTTACCAGCGGATTCGTGGGTTCTTTTAAGTGCACAGGGTTGTGTACTGTACACTAGGGGTTGTGACAACACTGAAAGAGTACCAAGGTTTTTACACCCGGTCACAGGTGGGCTCGATCCCGGTACCTCAAACTCGCTGGATTACTAACTTGGCGCCTTAGACAGCTCGCCCACCGCGGCCTCCACTACCATGCTGAGTAAGGTCGTGGGTTCGATCCCCGACCGCGTCATACCAAAAGACGTTAAAATATGGTACTTGTTGGTCCCTGCCTGGCGCTCGGCATTAATGGGTACAACAAGGACTGGTCGGCTCGGAGTCAGTTTAATGTGTCTGAGTGGGGTATTCATGCTTCACTGCGGCGTGGTATCTCAGTGGGCTAGCACTATAAAACCAGCTTAAGTCTGGGCTAGTACAAGCAGCCGCACATACACATACACACGCATGCACGTCGTCATATGAGCGAAATATTCTCAAGCACGACATAAAACCCAGTTTCAGCTCACCTCACCTCACCTCACCATACTGAGTACTCTAAACCTTTCAGATTAGCTAAACAAGGTCACATATTTTCGCCAAGACAACCCTCAATAGAGAGCACGTTATCACCACGACCTCATCACCCACGCCATGTCAAACGTCTGCACGCGCACGCACACACGCACACGCACAGGCCCATGCACACACACCGCTTCGTTTTAAAACACTTCTCGCCCACCGACACAAAAGTATCAAGTACCAATGGCATTTAAACATTTACGAATACAATAAATACAACACTTAACTTTAAAACATAGAAGTAAAAATGTGAACTCAAAGAAATATTTTATTTGAAACCTATGAAATAATCATTTAAACGCAGGATCTGGTATCCTGGTTACGGATGAAAAAAAATGTTTGGCTAATAGAATTAGTGTTTGTAAAAATGAATAACGATGTATTTGTGGCCGGGCCGGCCACGACTTCACTTTCTAGTGCAGTTTTAATAAGTTTTTAAAACTTATCTATTTTGAGTATTCCATTGTCACGATGTTATTCCACGAGACTTATCTTATCTAACATATAAAATACCTCTCGTCAGAGATGTGGTCTCTTGTACAGAACATATTTCTGAAAACATGAAGCTGGTGTTTGCTCTTCTGCTCGTTGGGATTGCTGTGGTAAGATTTCAGTTTTAAAACAGACATATTGATTAAAACATCACAAGCAGAATTTTATCCCTTAGGTAAATAAGGATCTGCTTATGTGTATGCGAGGACCAGTTTCGAGCGTTGTATGGTCCTTGGTTTGCGAGAACACTGCGCATGTTCGTGGTTTTACCAAAGCTCTAAGCGTATAACTGTAAATAATAACGCTTATGTAACGTTAGAGGTCAACTCGCTCACCACTTAAAGAGGTGATGTGCGGTGCTTAAAAAATGGTAATACCGAATACTGCTAATGTGGCGCTGAAACATTTTGTGTACATAATAATTTATTATGTTGATGTTTATAGGCTCAGTATCCAAATAACTACCGCCCTGATCGAATCCACGGCTACACGTTTGATTACCACTCCTATGCTGTAAGTATAATTCAACTTAAAGGTGTTCCACACATTATTGTATTTCATGACTGGTTTCGTGAGTAAGTTGCTCTTGCGTTTGACTTGAAAACCATATTTTTCTCTGAAACCGTTATACTGCTGCAGGGTTTTATAGCACCGACTTGTTGGTGACTATGAAAATAGATCCAACTGACGAGCTTCCTCTTTATACTTCCAGCCTTCTGGTTCTCGATCTTTCTAATAGACCCGTGAAGATCCGGGCTAGAATATTGATCTTCAGTAACCCATGCTCGTCGTAAGAGGCGACTAACGGGATCGGGTGGTCAGGATCGCTGACTTGGTTGACACATGTCATCAGTTCCCAATTGCGCAGATCGATGCTCATGCTGTTGATCTCTGGATTGTCTGGTCCAGACTCGATTATTTAAAGACCGCCGCCATATAGCTGGAATATTGCTGAGTGCGGCGTAAAACTAAACTCACTCACTCTTTCTAATATGTCGCTGCATCACTCTGGGACTCTTTTCTGATAAGGCTTACAACAGTTCTTACTCTAACATCCACCATGTCTTAAAGACAACCCTCTTTGAACGTTACAAGTGACTATTCAGTCCACTATTTCCCTTTGTTTGCAAACAAGTCACATGTGCCATATATTGATCTCATGTATGTGTCTTGGGCATATCTGTTTTGGGGTAGCCCAGTGGTTAAAGAGTTCGCTTGTCTCAACAAAGACCCGGGTTCGATTCCCCTCGTGAATACAAGATTGATATGACTGGTGTCCCCTGCCATAATATTGCTGGAATATTGATACAAGCGGCGTAAAACAGTTATCAACGAAAGGTATTCCAAGATCAGGGTGACGTTGAATAAGAATATGGAAATGCTAAAAAATATGGTAACATGTCCCGTTAATGATGGAGAATGTACGGCGCTATATATTGCTCATGTTTGTTCAGAAAATTGCAACAAAACAAATCGCACATACTCGGCTATAAGGAAGTATGAGGCCTTTGGTAAACATCTTCACGAACTAAGTCAATATAGGGGACATAATCTTGAATATCTTTTACACGAACCATGGCAGGGTTGTCCAAAAACAGGCGAAAATATGGTACATTGATGTTGCCCTTCCTGGCACGTCATTAATGTTATAGTCGGAGCCAGGGTACATGATCTGGTCTCAGGATCAATGGTAACCTGTGGCATGCTGCCTCAGTACACCTTAGCCTAGTGGTTAAAGCATTGGCTCGTCACGCCGAGTACCAGGGTTCGATTCCCCAACATGGGTGCAATGTGTGAAGCCCATTACTGGTATCCCCAGCCGTGATATTGCTGGAATATTGCTGGGATATTGCTGGAATATTGCTAAAAGTGGCGTAAGACCATACTCACTCACTCAGTTGGCGAGCACTGTAAAACCGACAACAGTTGAACACAAACTGACGCAGACACACACACCGACAGAACAGACTAATACAAAACTATAAAATCACACAGGGACACTGGCGCGCAGACACTTATCGCGTTGATTTACTTTCAGGATTTGCTGGTGGTCACCAACACCAGCACCTGCGTTCTGGTGTCCCTCCCTGGGAAGGATGACGAAATGAGGGACCTCCAAGAACGCTACAAGATTGAAGTACGGTACCCTGTTAATCTTAAAATGCTTCATCGCGTCTCAATCTGTTCACTTACCTTCATCCTTTGAAACATAGATTCCTCATCATCTCTCAACACCCATTAAATGCCCCTCCAATACACCCTTCAGTACTCATCGACACACCTCATCATCTCTCAACACCCATTAAATGCCCCTCCAATACACCCTTCAGTACTCATCTCTCAACACCCACACCCCTCATCATCTTCTCAACACCCATCATAAATGCCCATTAAATGCCCCTCCAATACACCCTTCAGTACTCATCGACACACCTCATCATCTCTCAACACCCATTAAATGCCCCTCCAATACACCCTTCAGTACTCATCGACACACCTCATCATCTCTCAACACCCATTAAATGCCCCTCCAATACACCCTTCAGTACTCATCGACACACCTCATCATCTCTCAACACCCATTAAATGCCCCTCCAATACACCCTTCAGTACTCATCGACACACCTCATCTCTCAACACCCATTAAATGCCCCTCAATACACCCTTCAGTACTCATCGACACACCTCATCATCTCAACACCCATTAAATGCCCTCAATACACCCTTCAGTACTCATCACCACACCTCATCATCTCTCAACACCCATTAAATGCCCTCCAATACACCCTTCAGTACTCATCGACACACCTCATCATCTCTCAACACCCATTAAATGCCCTCCAATACACCCTTCAGTACTCATCGACACACCTCATCATCTCTCAACACCCATTAAATGCCCTCCAATACACCCTTCAGTACTCATCGACACACCTCATCATCTCTCAACACCCATTAAATGCCCCTCCAATACACCCTTCAGTACTCATCGACACACCTCATCATCTCTCAACACCCATTAAATGCCCTCCAATACACCCTTCAGTACTCATCGACACACCTCATCATCTCTCAACACCCATTAAATGCCCCTCCAATACACCCTTCAGTACTCATCGACACACCTCATCATCTCTCAACACCCATTAAATGCCCCTCCAATACACCCTTCCAGTACTCATCGACACACCTCATCATCTCTCAACACCCATTAAATGCCCTCCAATACACCCTTCAGTACTCATCGACACACCTCATCATCTCTCAACACCCATTAAATGCCCCTCCAATACACCCTTCAGTACTCATCGACACACCTCATCATCTCTCAACACCCATTAAATGCCCCTCCAATACACCCTTCAGTACTCATCGACACACCTCATCATCTCTCAACACCCATTAAATGCCCCTCCAATACACCCTTCAGTACTCATCGACACACCTCATCATCTCTCAACACCCATTAAATGCCCCTCCAATACACCCTTCAGTACTCATCGACACACCTCATCATCCCTCAACACCTTAAAAAACACCCACTACATGCTCCAACATCCCTTCTACCCCTTTACACCTCTCAACACATCTGACACGCTTCAACACCCACCATCGAAAATCAACGCTGCTCAACGCTCATCAGCATTCCCGAGCACTAAAAACCAATCCTCAACGCTATTCATTGCTCTTCAACGCACTCACAACGCTCCTCGACAAACACACACACACACGCCATCATACCTCAACAGGGCGCTTGGGTAGCCTAGTGGTTAAAGCGTGCGCTCGTCACGCCGAAGACCCGGGTTCGATTCCCCACGTGGGTACAATGTGTGAAGTTCATTTCTGGTGTTCCCCGCCGTGATATTGCTGGAATATTGCTAAAAGCGGCGTAAAACCATGCTCACTCACTCATACCTCAACTGTCCTTGTGATCACCCAACACATCACAACACCTATCATCACGCCCTAAACCTCTCAGTTCTGCACTACAGTCCTCAACTCCACTCAACGCCCCTCAACAACTCTCCTTAAGATCACTCAACACTCCTCAACAATCATCAACACCCCTCAACGCTCCTTTACACTCCTCAACGCCCATCAACACAAGGCAACCCGCCAAAACACCCTGAACACCCATCAACTCTCCTCTACACACCTCAATGCCCATCAACACCAGGCAACCCGCCAAAACCCCTGAACACCCATCAACTCTCCTCCACACTCCTCAACGCCCATCAACACCAGGCAACCCGCCCAAACCCCCTGAACACCCATCAACTCTCCTCTACACACCTCAACGCCCATTAACACCAGTCAACCGGCCCAAACCCCCTGAACACCCATCAACTCTCCTCTACGCACCCCAACGCCCATCAACACCAGTCAACCCGCCAAAACCCCCCGAACACCCATCAACTCTCCTCCACATCCCTCCGCACCTTTCAACACCCACCACCATGCTTCTGCATCCCATTCCTAAATGGCTGTCGATACGATCAGCTTAACTCAACATGAGTACGACTAAGAATCAAACAAACGCTTCACACAGTTTAACACACCAGTACCAAATTTTTATAAAGATTTCCTGACAGCATTTCCATAAACGGCTATTATATACCGAACTATGTTAACACCCCCCCACTTCCTGGTATGCTGTAATGCCAACTATCATATTTTATATTTGGGATTACACTTTCTTAGTAAAATACAGGGCCTAGATTTTCTAAGCTCTCTTAGTGCTAAGATAGTCGTAAGTTAGTGTTGAGGCATGGTACTTACGACTATCTTAGCGCTAAGAAATCTTCGAAAATCTATGCCCAGATTCTTATAGTTTTGTTGGGTTGAGTCCAATCCGGGATTCGAACCCACACCCTCAGAGTCAGGCACCTAATCCTGACAGCATGTCCATAAACGGCTATTATACGCCGAACTATTTTACACCTCGCCCCCTTGGTGAGCTATAATGCCATCTAACATGTTATATTTGGGATTACACTTTCTTAGTAAAATACAGGGCCTAGATTTTCTAAACTCTCTTAGCGCTAAGATAGTCGTAAGTATGTTAATGTATGTATGGCACTTACGACTATCTTAGCGCTAAGAGAGCTTCAAAAATCTAGGCCCAGATTCTTATAGTTTTGTTGGGTTGAGTCCCATCCGGGATTCGAACCCGCACCCTCAGAGTCAGGCACCTAATCGCCAGCACACAAAGTACTTTCTATATGGCATTTGTGTATTCATATAATTCTATCATCATGGACCTATTACAATAGAAAAAACATGCGGCATAAAATATCACCAACTAACCCACTAAATCTCTTACTCCGCAGGACGATGTTTTAGCCCAAATCGGAAGCGGCCAAGGAGAGCACCGTGCCACTCTCAGCGAAATCCGATCAGACTACCACGACATCCGGGCAGTCTTCGAATGCTTCAGGAAGCGCGTGTACGAACTCACGTACACAGCACCCTCTACAAAATAAACACCTGTATATCAGACCACATTTTTTGTTATGTCATATGACTGAATGCGTAACTGTGTGAGTGAGTTTAGTTTGTTTTACTCCGCTGTTAGCAATATCCCAGCAATATCACGACGGGGGACACCAGAAATGGGCTTCACACACTGCACCCATGTGGGAATCGAACCCTTGTCTTCGGCATGACAAGCGAACGCTTTAACCGCTAGGCTATCGCACCACTCACGTCATGACAAACATTGCATCAATTGGGAGGTAAACAAAGGGTGATTTCAATTTTAAGGTCTTACATATTGATCCCAAACTTGTAAAACATATTTCGAAACCAAACATGTGATCTTCACGGAAACTGTAGTCCGAACGTCGGCGGTCACGTGTCGATCACGTGTCGGTCATGTCCACCAATAAAAACCCAGCTGGCACATCAACGTTGTTTCAACGTTGAGAATAGGTTGGTCCTCAACGTTAAAATTAGATTGGTAATAGGTAGTATATGAAAGTTTTTTAGACGTAGATATCCGACGTGGAATCAACGTTAAAGTTTGACATATTATTAATGTTGAAAATGGGTTGTTTCGTGGTTGTGTATTGGAGGTATTACGCTTTCCTGTAAATGGACTCGCACTTCATCTTTAAACTACACTAAAGTAGCACCAAACTCCTGCATCCAGTTAAAACACCCAAAAAGCTACCTGCAATAAACAGTGTTCAAACAGAAAATTGCAGTAAAAATATTTACCTGATAAAATACTTGGTTAAAATTCCACATTCAATATAATGTTCATTTAAGTTTTATGTCAGTCGGACGTATAATTCCAGTAAGAAGAAAAGAGTATTCCAAATTAGGAAAAACTATTTACTGTTGTATTGTTATCTTAAAAAGGTGGAAATTGTTCCGAGAAGACATTTTGTCTGAATTTCAGGTATTAGACAGACCCCTGAATAGACACAATACAATTACTTTCACCATGAAAGGGATCCAAGATGACCAGGAACTATACCTGAAGACAGCACATAAAACAAGTCACTTTTCATGAAATCTTTATGAACACACACACACACACAGAAACGTGGCACACACAGAGAGAAACGTGGCTTAAAGCATAATGTAAAACATCAAACATGACATAGTCTGTAGGTGTGTGCTAATAACACAATATCATCTGCATATAGCAATAAACTGACATTTACGCCACCAATTTCAATACCACAGATCCGATTTTTCAACTCAATTACAACTGCAAAAACACAATTATCAGCTCCTCTTCTTTCTGCCACTCCCTGCCTGGCGGTCAGGTGGATACTTCAGAAACGTTCCTAACTCTTTCTTGAAATTTGCTTCGGATGCATTCCCATCTCATTCCCATGAGATAGGATACATTCTGAAATTTTATATTTAAATACATGAATAATTTTATATGGAAGATATATTGTCTTAAATGATTCAAGTATTTGTTTAATCAATCACTTGAAAGGTTCATTTCACTGCTATAACTTGGCATGTGAACATATGTAACATGTACATGAACAGCATCCATACAAATATGACGAAAAGTGTAAACAATTTATATTTTCAACTAAAGGAATGGAAGTTTTCTTAAACATTTTCAAAGAAAATCCTCAATTGCAAGTTGATTATTCAATAAGACTATGAATTAGGATGAATTAGACGATGCTTTACTGTCATATATTATTTGCTATGGTCATGATGAAAATGCTGCATTTGGTAATTAACTTACCAGAGATGATTGAATACAACCTTGTATTCTTAAAAGAAAACTTGCCGTTTTGCCCATCAACATTCATTCTTGACATCAAATTGTTTGACATTGTCCTGCAAAACAATGGAAGATTGTTGTTATTCTGTTAGATTTAGTTTTCTTTAGAGATTCTCGGAAATGATTATTTCAAAATAAAATAGGAGTTGTACTGATGTAGCAATTTTGCTAACAGGAGTCATAAATTGTAACAAAAGCCATTTTACATTAAATGATAAGAAAACAAAATGGGTGGTGGTTCACAGGTCAAAGAACAAGTCTATTGTGGGAGGTCTTCCAACACCATTTATTCCCAAACACAAGGAAGTATGGATCATGGAGTTCTGAAAACAATAATGAGCTCTCATAAGTATACAATATATTCTCTATTATCTACTCTCTCTCTCTTTGTCATTTGTACACTCATAAAACTCAGAAAAATAACTTCTTCATAATTCAGAAATGTTTATACTTAATCTCTTATAGGAACGCTTAGAAAATCTCATATAATGAAGTGTTCGTATAATATCTGTGACGTCATAACTATGCCTCTCTGAATCATGAACAATAAAATAATGAGATTAAACTCTACACTGCCAGAAATAATCTATCATACCCTGAATATAATAAGACAATGAATAACATCTCTTATTCTATCTACACTCAAAAAGACTTAAATGTACTCGTAAACAAACATCGCTGTCACACGCAAATTCTTGGAAACAGTGTGTCTCTGACTCTCAATTCCAAGAAATGGAAGTCCTACTCTATTTGACCAAAGGGGTGACAGGTGGCCGAAACATATTGAAATGTAGGTCATACACTGAAAATAACTCTGATTTAAAACACTACAAATATACACCTTCTCTCTAATATACTCGACAGATGATCTTGACAAGGGAACATGTACATAAAATGCTGATATCTAACAATACCTGTACTCTAAATAATGGACTCTTCCCAATCTCAGCATGTTTCACTGCACACACACTTAAATGCAAAATAATGAAAAACCTACACTTTGACAATAATAAAAAACATCATATTCAAATTCTACAGCTGACCAAATACATGAAGAGTGTGTCTCACAGCAATAAACATCTATATATCTCTATAAATTTATGACCTCTGCCCTCTCGCGTGCTATCTCGCTTCCAGCCCTTTACGGCGAAAAACAATATGGCGCCAAGCAAGGGAGTGCTCATTAAACTAAACATCTCCGGGAGAAATCATTGTCAAATTATTCTCTTACATGATCAACCTTAATATATAAATGAAGATAAAGACCAACTATTATCACCAAAAAAGACCAAACATTATCACAAATATTCAAAACAGGTGGTAATGAAAGAGCATTATCATCTTTCTCTTAAACTTTGTGGTGGATATACTGGAAACAAGTGAAATGTTAAAAACTGTTACTTTGGCATTGCTCCTTTTATGTGATCCACAAAATTGATGCCACCCAATCTTCGAAGATGAGATTTCTGCAAATTCCATTAAAATTAAATCTTATTTCATAATTAAATGTTCCTTACTAAATTACTTCTTTTGTATGTAACATTTTAACCATTAAGAGACATGAATCATCACATCCCTTCCAAACAAGTGTAAGAATGAAAGTCTGTGAGTGCAGTTTTGTTAATTGTCCCATCAAAGAATCATTAGTGAAGTTACACATTTTGTAAATAAATAAAAATTCAAATAAATTATATACAATTTCATCCTTAACAAAGACTTGCAGAAGACATTTTGATGTGAATTTTCGTTGCATGATCTGAGAAAGATTTCCTTTCGCCATTCTCCATCCCCCTTCCCCCCAAATAATATACATATGTTCACAGGGTTCAGAGCGTGCTCAATGCACAACTTACTGATAGATCTATTCAAACGAACAAATGTTCATAAAAATGTGATGCAATATAAAATGTTGATAAATTCTATTCGATTTTGTATAGCTGCCCTTAGGGACCGTTCATAATGTATGGCTTGGGGGTGATGATGATTTTTTCGAGAAGCATGTACAATGTGAATTACCCCCACCCCACCCCACCCCGTAAAATGTATGTACAAAATAAGTGACGCCCCACCCTGCATGTCATGTACAAAATCAATGACCCCCTCTCCCCTTCCCATAATTTCTAAGCATCATATTAAACATAGCACGTGTGTACAAAATTGCTGACCTCCTTAGCTCCCTGAACAAAATGTGTTTAAACACCACACCCACACCCCACACCACACCCGACCCCACCCACCCCACTTAAAATCATCACCACCACCACCCATAAATTATGAACGGTCCCTTATATTGATGTACTTCATTGATTATTTGAAAATGTATATTTGCAAAGTTGAAATCAGGTGATGGGTACGAAAGGAAATCTTATTCGATTATATAATAAAATGCCAAATATATGCATGCAAATATATTGAAAAATAACAAAACAAGTTCATGGAAAACACGGGCTTCCACGAAATTGAGAAACATGTACGTGACATACCGGTAACCTTGTGAGATAAACATGAGCCCTAATTCGGAGATTCTTGCTACATTGACCTGCTAGATTTAAACAACATTCCTACGTTTTCATTATACATGAAGGGCATACTTACCAAATAAACACCAGCATGCCGTGAAGATAGAACGATATTGCGTTGAACTTCGCCAAAGTGAACTTACAACGATCAACTGCCTTTGCGCGCGCGATAATTGTGCGCATGTCCGGATATGACCAAACGAGGCAATCGAAAGGTCAACATCTGGCATGTGTTTGAAAGCAAATTGTCGGGAATTATACAATTTTGACAGTTTTGTGGGAAAATATCAAATGTAATGCAATTCGGATAACTGATGACTTTATACCTAAAATCATTGATCTTTTCATTTTCAATTGCGATTTACGTAATATTTCCGTCCGTTGATCGATGCACAATCAAACAATATATAAGATTATATCTGTCACTAGCTCGATCTTGATCTTTTATGAAATTAATGTTCCGAAATGATAGTTGCTAAGTTGGATACCTATTACCAATATGAATTATGTATCAAATTTGCCAAGGAAACAATTACTAGTAGTTGACATTTTGTTGGTTCCTTACGTTGAAACAACGTTGACAACTAAACGAATCTCGACTAACTTTCTTTGGTCGCATGATAAACGTTGAATCAACGTTTATGAAAGGTTGATGAACCAAACAACCAAAAGTCAACGTTGATTAAACGTTGACTCAACGTTGTGTGCCCGCTGGGAACTGATATTATTTATGAAGAGAGAAGCCGTAGCAGATGACGAAGACGGTGTTTAAATGTAACCGGCGCTGCAGTATTGGTGCAGCATGCATTTGATGTGACATAGACAGTGGGCATCAGAAATATGATTCTGTTCGTTCGTTCGTTCGTTCGTTCGTTCGTTCGTTCCAGCACTTGTGTCAACCAAGTCAGCGTGCCTGACCACCAGATACCATTAGCCGCATGGCTAGCTGGTAGATTAGTTAAAACCCGGATCATTCCGAGTACATCGATGCTACAACATGACTGTTTCACAAAAATGTTTTAATGTGGTTTTTTCACAAATATATACGGGATGTCGTTACTCGGGTGCCATATACATTGACACAAGGTTTGGAATTATGATGTATTATGATGATCTTATGACATACCAACGCTTCAAAAAGAAGAAAATTGTCTTTTCAAGGAGTAAGTGAATATGGTTTTACGCCGCTTTTAGGAATTTATAGCCATGTCACTTGTGGGGGCGCCAGGTATGGACTTCACTCCTTGCATCCCTATGGGGAGTCGAACCCGGGTCCTCGGCGTGACGAGTGAACACTATAACACGGGGCTACTTCACAGACTCCTGCATCATGGACCTTATTTGTTATCAGTCTGGAGTTTACTTAGATTTTTCATTTATATTTTCAAGTTATTGTCAAACATGGCGGTCTCATGTTGTGTGTGCCATGGTATCCCTTTACATCCTGTGAGTAAATAATGAATTGACAACTTGTGCATCCTGTAAGTAAAATAATGATATGCCAACCTGTGCATCCTGTGGGTAAAATAATGAATTGACAACTTGTGCATCCTGTGGGTAAAATAATGATATGACAACCTGTGCATCCTGTGGGTAAACTAATGATATGACAACCTGTGCATCCTGTGGGTAAAATAATGAATTGACAACTTGTGCATCCTGTGGGTAAACTAATGATATGACAACCTGTGCATCCTGTGGGTAAAATAATGATATGACAACTTGTGCATCCTGTGAGTAAACTAATGATATGACAACCTGTGCATCCTGTGGGTAAAATAATGAATTGACAACTTGTGCATCCTGTGGGTAAACTAATGATATGACAACCTGTGCATCCTGTGGGTAAAATAATGAATTGACAACTTGTGAATCTTGTGAGTAAACTAATGATATGCCAACCTGTGCATCCTGTGGGTAAAATAATGAATTGACAACTTGTGCATCCTGTGGGTAAAATAATGATATGACAACTTGTGCATCCTGTGAGTAAAATAATGATATGACAACCTGTGCATCCTGTGGGTAAAATAATGAATTGACAACTTGTGCATCCTGTGGGTAAACTAATGATATGACAACCTGTGCATCCTGTGAGTAAAATAATGAATTGACAACTTGTGCATCCTGTGGGTAAAATAATGAATTGACAACTTGTGCATCCTGTGGGTAAAATAATGAATTGACAACTTGTGCATCCTGTGGGTAAAATAATGAATTGACAACTTGTGCATCCTGTGAGTAAACTAATGATATGACAACCTGTGCATCCTGTGGGTAAAATAATGAATTGACAACTTGTGCATCCTGTGAGTAAAATAATGATATGACAACCTGTGCATCCTGTGGGTAAACTAATGATATGACAACTTGTGCATCCTGTGAGTAAACTAATGATATGACAACCTGTGCATCCTGTGGGTAAAATAATGAATTGACAACTTGTGCATCCTGTGGGTAAAATAATGATATGACAACCTGTGCATCCTGTGGGTAAAATAATGAATTGACAACTTGTGCATCCTGTGGGTAAAATAATGAATTGACAACCTGTGCATCCTGTGAGTAAAATAATGAATTGACAACTTGTGCATCCTGTGGGTAAAATAATGAATTGACAACTTGTGCATCCTGTGAGTAAACTAATGATATGACAACCTGTGCATCCTGTGGGTAAAATAATGAATTGACAACTTGTGCATCCTGTGAGTAAACTAATGATATGACAACCTGTGCATCCTGTGAGTAAAATAATGAATTGACAACTTGTGCACCCTGTGAGTAAACTAATGATATGACAACCTGTGTATACAATGATAACATGGCAGCTCCTGCAGCTAGTGTTACATAATGATGACATGACTACCCGTATTTTTCACACCAATAAGAATCTATACACTGACGTCAACGCTGTTGAAATGTAATGAAGGGAATGAATGGCTTCTTGTAACCTTCCCTTATCCGTCTGAAAATTCAAAACTCGGACACTCGCTATAAACATACCTCTAGATACCCACAACCTGGCATGTTCACACGTGTTAGCAGACAAAATGATAGCGGACGCCCCCACACATCAAGCAGCGGACAATAATAAAAATATAAATATTGTTTGATTTGCTAAGTTTTCTGACATGGTGAAGGCTAAAGGTCCCTATACAGTTGGTGTTAATGTGATGGTGTTGCCGTTTTATGTACATTTTATTTATGAGTCCACATTTGTGTCTTTATGGACATAATAATTATACACGTGATGAGAATACCGAGCGTACAGTAGTACATATATCAGGAGAAGTTTGTATATACATACAAGTATATACAAGTAATACAAGTATATACAGCACAAATTACAGACATTTCACAAAAGAAATTACAGTTCAGATAATATATTGCTTCTAAGGAAAACAGCATGTTTTACAAAAAGCGCTAGATTACGTATTACATGTTCATTTTGGGAGGATAGAATGGAAGCAATGGCAGATGAAGGGTATTTTAACAGGTAATTATTTGGGATATATTTGTTTCTTAAATCAGCATCCTGTGGGCATACAAAAGCGAAGTGATTTCCACATGTCTAACGAAATCACCCAAGAATAGTGGTGCTTCTAGGATCGGAACGCAAAACAGCGGGCCCGGTTTACGCTAAGGGACGTAACTGGCAATGGCTACCAGTGAGGTCATGTAATTCATCGGGTTACTTAGGTACATTTGCTTCATTGCAAGTATATTTGTGAATTGTGAGACACTTCCTCTGACTGTAGAGATAAGAACTTTTATCAAACGACAACGCAGCACTTCTGTAAAGGCCATACACCAACAAATCTTCAAAATGAGAGCGTTTTCTTTTGCCGCAATTTTGGGCTGTTGTGCAGTGAGTAACATTTTATTCACCTGACAGATCTTGGTATTTCAATCTCTGTATTTGATATATAAAGACCTTTGTAAAGTTGCTTGACAAATAGTTGCCGTTCAGCTGCTCTCAGAGTTTGTCCGGAGTTAGTGAAAAATGGTCACAGCAATACAAGCATAACTTAGTGAGTGAGTGAGTGCGTGAGAGTGGTTCGACGCCGCTGTTAGCAATATAACAGCAATATGGGCTTCACGTATTGCACCCATGTAAAGAATTGAACCCGGGCCTCCGGCGTGACCAGGCAACGCTTTGACCACGAGGCTACCCTACCGCCTCAGTACTTTTGAATAATGTGAAGTGACGTGTACTGTGTAACGGGCTTCAAACATTGTCCCCATGTTGAGAATCGTAAATCGAGGCTGAGAGAGATGTATCAGGGTGGAGACCTGTTATATATATATAGTTGTGCTATATCAGTGCAATATTCCTGATCGGGTCACATATTTCAACTGTAAATAGAAACATGATCCAAGCATGGGGTCGACAGTACCTTTACCGCTCTTAGAACTTCATAATGAGATTATTAAGAATTACCTTTGTAGTTAAATGTTGATTGCTATTGTGTAACTGCTGTGACGTTTTCTTTGTAGGCATTCATTTTCACCATAACGTCATTTAATGAGCTGTACAAAGGCTATCGGTTTGAATATCATGCAGCGAACGTAAGTAATACCAAACAGTTTATGTAAGTGTTTTGTCGGCTTATCTAAGCATGCAATTTACACTAAGGCGTATTTATATCATGGTAATGACGTTCCCAGAGTCGTGCGCCTACCTTGATATCTGTTCTAACTAATCTATTTAGATAATGTTAAGATATGTTGGGGTTTTTATGTTAGAGACCGAGCTATCCTGTCAAAATGAACTATGGTTAAAGGGTCTACTTGTATTGCACTATGATCGTGTTACCTCGGACCATGTTTAAACGGTCTACTTGTACACACCAATGTAATGTTTACCATGTTTACAGGGTGTCCTTGTGGTACAAACTGATCTGTAATGATACACTGTACCATGTTTATAGCGTCTCCTTGTGGTACAAACTGATCTGTAATGATACACTGTACCATGTTTATATGGTCTCCTTGTGGTACAAACTGATCTGTAATGATACACTGTACCATGTTTATATGGTCTCCTTGTGGTACAAACTGATCTGTAATGATACACTGTACCATGTTTATATGGTCTCCTTGTGGTACAAACTGATCTGTAATGATACACTGTACCATGTTTACTGGGTCTCCTTGTGGTACAAACTGATCTGTAATGATACACTGTACCATGTTTACAGGGTCTCCTTGTGGTACAAACTGATCTATCATGTTACACTGTACCATGTTTACAGGGTCTCCTTTTGGTACAAACTGATCTATAATGATTCTATGTACCATGTTTACAGGGTCTCCTTGTGGTACAAACTGATCTATAATGATACACTGTACCATGTTCACAGGGTCTCCTTGTGGTACAAACTGATCTATCATTTTACACTGTACCATGTTTACAGGGTCTCCTTTTGGTACAAACTGATCTATAATGATTCTATGTACCATGTTTACAGGGTCTCCTTGTGTTACAAATTGATCTATAATGATACGATGTACCATGTTCACAGAGTCTATTTGTGGTACAAATTGATCTATAATAATACTATGTACCATGTTTACAGGGTCTCCTTGTGGTACACAACAATCTGGCGTGTTACCTGGTCCACGTCGATCACAGCCTGAGCTCAGCGTTCAACAATCAAACCGTGAAGGGTATGATCAAGGTATAGGAGAGTTGATTGGCTTTTTTGCAACAAATGTATGTACAACTGCAGACAGACGGGGTACGAGACTTAGCAAACTCATTGGTCGATATTATGAGCAAGATACGTCGGTTTAAGACAATATAATGCTCTCACAGCAGGCTACGGGCGGTGGAGTAGCCTAGTGGTCTAAGCGTTCGCTCGTCACGCCGAAGACCCGGGTTCGATTCTCCACATGGGTGCAATGTGGGAAGCCCATTTTTGGTATTCCCCCGTTTTGATATTGCTGGAATATTGCTAAAACCATACTCACTACTGCAGCTACCCAAACAAAATGTAGCCTAGTCTATCCGGGATTATTTTGGAAATATTTTAGCAATGAAGACTCAGAAGACCATATAATATAGAGTGTATCCAAAACCATATTCACGATCTATAGTATTTTGTTCAGTATAATTATCATGAAAAAATAGTTGAATACAGCCGGCGTCATAGAAGACATACCACATACTTATTATTTATTCTCACTTTCGTTTGGTAAATTCCCAAACATACACCTTTCCTCCTCAGGATGACATAGTAGGTATGATATCGGACGGAACGTCAGCCACTAAGGTATCATCCGACGTCATCAGCTACGACTACAGCGATTACCTGGCTGCAGCCCAATGCAGGGACCTCCAAGTCTACAAGCTTCGCTACACCTACGACGAGGATGCTCCAAGTTCTGACGGAACAGCGAGTGTCTACTAGTCCAGACTCCTTACAATCGTTTGTCTAATCGGACTGAGGACAAAATTATAAAAGGAAACTATATTCTTTTGTAAATGCGTTGTTGTTTATTGAATATTGATCTATATATTCGTGGTCTTTGGTTCAGGTTTAATTTTATGAAGTGTATATACTCTTAGATATGTTTGTCCTATAATCTGCGCGCAGAAAGTATAAACTAAGTTTGGTTGTCGGCTTAAATAAACATACAATAAATAATTATTCGATGATGATGAATTTTGATATCATAGTAAAAGTTTATATTACAATTAGAATAGTCTGTATAGGTTGTAATAGTCTGTATAGGGTTGGGTTAGGGTTGTAATGGTCTGTATAGGGTTGTTATGGTCTGTATAGGGTTGTAAGTCTCACGAGACACTACTTTCGGTACTAAGCTGGTTCGCGGCTCCCTTTGCGCGCGCCCACTTGCGATATGCGAGACGGTGCCCAGCTAACTTCCGGTCCCATATTTCCGGTGACAAGCGTATATGCAAGAACCAGTTCTGGTTCCAAATTGCGCGACCGCCATATATGACTTTACTAGACCGGACCAAGTGGACTAATTTGAGGATGGTTAGATCGGAAAATCGTTATTCCCGCAAAAGTATCGGTTCCGGAATGTCAACTGACAACTATGACACCATTAGGAAAGGTTTGTCACCGGAAGTACTAATACAAAGGTCTCGCGAGGTGCCGTAACATACTTACGGACCCTATATAATCACCGTCGTTTATTTGAAACCTCGGAACATGGTCAATGCCACTCGAGAAATAGGGAATCATTTTGGAGCTGTATATGAAACTTGAATCCCAGATTGGCTTTGTGTTGGTCCTTGATGTCACCATTTGGGTGACTCGCTTGATCTGTTGTATGAGACGCGTGCTTGTGAGATTCGCCAGATGGGTATACAACCTTGACCTTTGTCTTTTGCAAGATACGTGTTCATCACCCGTGTTTGTGGTGGATGAGAGGGTGAAGGGTCACTCTTCCCCCAAACCTGTGAAAGCTGTCAAAGTCTGGTACCAAATGTAGCTTACCTCAGGGCGTAAGGTTTGATTAATGTTGGTTCACAGCGGAATTTCAATGGTTTGGTTTCCGTTCATATCGTTGTCTATATTCGATCTGCAATTCACGTGACACGTGTCAGATTGAGTCCTGGAAACATCCGAGTGTGTAGAAACACTGACCTAAACTATACACTATATCAACTAAACTAAAGTGATGTTCACGAAGGAATGAACCAATACCCCGAGAGTTGTAAATGTTTCTTCCCAAATCCCAATACGCATAAAACACTTTTCCATGCAATATTTGTGACTTCCAGAACAAACATTGAAAATCACATGAACTGTGTAGTATGGATTGTGTACTGGAGTTCCCTGTGTAATGTACACCTTGCTTGTACTTTTGAGTGAGTGAGTTTAGATTTACACAGCTTTTGGCGCTATGCCAGAAATATCACAGCGGTGACACCAGAAATTGGCTTCACACATTGTTTCCATATGGGGAATCGAAACTGGGTCTTCGGCGTGACGAGCGAATGCTTTAACCTCAAGGCCACCCCACTGTCCCCTGTACGTTTAAATAATGTGAATTGTTGTGTTTTGCGTGGTGAAGATGAGTTTGTTGTTGATCTTAATGATAATATTTCATTTTTTTACCGGTAGACACATCCGGGTTTTGTTTTGGTTCCCGCCGGTGAAATGATCGGGGTGATTTTATTTGGTCCCTATCGGTAAATTGGCTGAGGTCCACCAAAACACTTGGCTCATGCTGACTGCGGCGACTGACTCTTGTAGAGGTACAAGAGGCCACGAAAGTTTGTAAATAGTCGATAATGAACATTTATATTGATAGACAGTTTGATAGGGTCACAGTTTAAGTGTTTCGTGAGCTTGGTAAATCAATATTTCAGCTTGAAAAATTGTCAGTTTTGTCATGCCAGGCACGTGAGTTTGTGTATCATATTTTCGTCATATTTAGACATATATTTTAAAATGTATGTGGACAACCTAGATATTTATGTAACATTCAAAACTGTTCAGCTGGATTAAATAATTGTTTTGTTTACACAGTTTGAACCGTGGCAAGTACAATCCTCCACTGACAATTAAACGACTTCACGATAAAAACCCGGGTTAGAATTGGCCTTCAGTAACCCATGCATGTCGTAAAAGGTGATTAACGGGATCGGGTGGTCAGGCTCGCTGATTTGGTGTCATCATATCCAAATTGCATAGATTGATGCTCATGCTGTTGATCACTGGATGGTCTGGTCCAGATTCGATTATTTACAGACCGCCGTAATATAGCTGGAATATTGCTGAGTGCGGCGTAAAACTAAACTCACTCACGATAAAGGTCCGACCATGTTTTAACCTCTACGGCTGATGTTGTTTTGGTGTTTGTAGTCGTGGTGGTGGTGTTTGAGATGTTGATGTTGGTGTTGATGTTAGTGGTGTTTGTAGCCTTGTTATAGATCATGGCGTCAGGTGTTTCTGTGTTGTTACGATGATGAACTATTTTTTGAATACCTGTCTTATTTCTTATGATGTTCCTGTTATTGTGGTGTTGTTGTCGTTGTCTCTGAGATTAACCCGACCCGTTCCGCGCATGACCCACAGCCGACCTCGTTGCCACATGGTGTTGTCGGGCACCTGCAGATTGGAACAGACAGTCACTTATCTCAGAAACTACCACCACAAACAATGGCCGCCATGCAGCTCCTCGTCCTCGCAGCTGTACTCGTTTGTTCTTCTGTAAGTACAGTATCTGTAACGGTTCAGAAACTGTAACCACTTATTTAAGATATCGTCCAGCATTCACATGATTGATGTGAGTTAATTTTTAACAATATCTTTTTTAAAACAATACTTGTACGATATTTTTATTCACATTGGTGACTGTTAAGAGTTATTTCGAAATTGCTGGTGGTTTCAAATAATAAAAGGGATTCTGGTTACATTAATGCTTTCAAAGATTATGAAAAATATAAGACTTGTCGTTGTGTGTCAGGAGTGCTGCTGTTTGGCGTCAGCAACAAACAAACAAACATGTTTATGTATGCAAATTGAGTCGCAGGTGTTACAAGTGAGATAGAACGTGCTTACCCATGGACACATCACGAGCCATTACTGATTTTCCGTGTTCTCTAATCGTAGCATCTTCTCCTTCTTACGCACAACGAAATCTGTTTTGGTGGATATTCGAGATATTTTGTGTTTATGTTTTTTGCTATCATATATTCCTACGTTTGTTTCAGGCCTTCATATTCGTATCCAACACAATAAATGAGATATACCAAGGTTACCACTTCGAGCAACACACGTCACATGTAAGTATATCCCATCATGCATTTCAAATTGCACACTATCGGCCATCTTGGATTTTACTGTTATTAAGTTGTCGTTGTTCAAACGGGATTTGGTTGTTATATATCTGTCCAAGTCTTGTTTACCTTCTTACACGTGTTAATTGTGTTTTCTATTCATTATTTCAGAGGTTGTTCTTGATCAGAGACCAGCTGAACTGTTACTTGGTCCATATCGATGACGCCATGAAACAAGCACTTTTACAACCCGTGACCAAGCGTGCTGTTGAGGTGAGGTGGGGTGGCGCCTTGATTTTGGGTGGGGTGGGGTGGGGTGAGGTGAGGTGAGGTGAGGTGAGGCGAGGTGAGGTGAGGTGAGGTGAGGTAAGGTGAATCAGTAAAAATATATATTGGTCTGTTTCGGTCATTATTTATGATACAGTATTACAGATCTAAAATACGACAGAGGCAAAAAGTTAAATCTTTGCATGCTTTTGGTCCTTATTTTTTTATGATATATTATAATTCTAAAATGTGACAGTGGCATTTCTTTCAGGATTGTTTGGGTAACAGTTGTTTAGGGACAAATATTAACATGGCAACCATATCGTCTTCAGTTCCAAACCATATATGACCATTGTGGACATGCTATGCAGTGAACCGGGCACGATGCCCTGATATAGGCAACACAGAACATACAGTTGTCTCCAAGTATAAATTTGACCTCTGCATGTTCTTTCTTCAGTCATCATTTTCCGCATGTGTCGAACCTCGGATGACTCGAAGTGTTTATGTAGGACAACTTCGACACAGAGGTTTAAATTTTAGAATACGATGAGTCCAAATTTTCGATTTCTAAAGTCGACAGAAAAGCATATATGTATAAGTGTTGTAGCGAGTTTATAACAGTGGTATATGTTTGTTCACAGGATGGCATTTTAGCCAAGATCAACTCCGGAAGTGACGTGACGGACGTCGGCAATGATGACATCAAACAAGACTACCACGACTACCTCGCATCTGCTCAATGTTCCAACCTCGGCGTCCACACCGTAGCGTATACCTACGTGCCTGCCGTCACCACGTCGCCAGTCACCGCCACAGCGTCCCAATGATGTCGTCAATGCTGTTTCCATCTCCATACCGGCTGACAATGGCGTATGATGGCATCTTTGTGTGTGAAAGATTTGTATTCTCGGGAATTAAAGGAATTGTAACAGACCATTGTTGTCAGTGTTGTATTATATAGTCAACTTCGGTTATATCGAACTCGCTTATAACGAACTGTGTTGTTATATCCCAACAACCTGCTGCATATTTTAGTCGAATGCGTATCACGAACTGCGGTTAAAACGACTTACAACAAACTGTTCAATTCATATGGTCCGTTATAACAGCAGGTCACGGTTCCGCGGACTGTTTTTGTAGACAAACATTTCCCAAATCATACACAAACAGAGACTAAAAAAGTCCAGATTATCCCATCAAACGGAATCCATCTGACGTAATAAGTAATATTTCATCTAAAGGGCCAACAGAAACAAGTGTTTTTACTTGTGTGTTTTTTTTAAACGTTAGCTTTGAGGGAAAATAGCTGTAAACTGTGGAATGGTATCTCAGTGGGCTAGAACTGGCGTTTAACCTCAAATTAACAAACAATTGAACGCAACATTAAACAGTTCACCTCACTACGCCTATGCATCTAGATATAGCTTTATTGTATACCAAAATCGGCGGTTTGAGTGCTCTGTATCGTTCACAACTCATATTTCATCTGAAATCATATAAAGTACGTTTTGTTTACTTTACAAATAACAATACAGTGAATGGGCACACTTGTTCTTCTTATTACTAAGATCCCGGCCGTATTTAACAGAAAGATACTGGTGTCCCCCGCCGTGATACTGCTGGAATATTGCTAAGAATGGCGTAAAACTAAACTCACTCGCTAACAGAAAGATAGGTTTGTGAATATGTGTTTTTTGTCACCATGGAAACCAATTGTTTTGTTTATTTACACTCATGATAGTTTCTGACACCCACTTCCTGACACCTACATTCCTGACACCTACATTCCTGACACCCACTTCCTGACACCCACATTCCTGACACCCACTTCCTGACACCTACATTCTGACACCTACATTCCTGACACCCACTTCCTGACACCTACATTCCTGACACCCACTTCCTGACACCTACATTCCTGACACCCACTTCCTGACACCCACATCCCTGACACCATTCCTGACACCCACTTCCTGACATCTACCCTGACACCCACTTCCTGACACCTTCATTCCTGACACCTACATTCCTGACACCCACTTCCTGACACCTACATTCCTGACACCCACTTCCTGACACCTACATTCCTGACCACGTTACAGCCCTTATTTACCTGAGAGGCATGCGTCATTCCTTGACCGTATACTGCGCCCATATTCGTGGGTCAGCTTATGATCTCCACCTCAACCTCGTGTTCATGGACACGCCTCGCCCTGGCCCCGATCAGTTGTGATTGTCTGTATTGGTGTCGGTCAGTTTTTTCATGAAGAGTGTGTGTTTCTATGGAAAGCTAAAAAACGATTTTTGAATTCACTCTGAACCACTGTCCCCCTGTCGTTCGGAGCACAAGTTTATTACATAATTTAAAAAATAACCGACTGTCCAACTTGGTGATGTGATGCTATGCTATGTGATAACCTTTAATTGTTATATGATAGCTGAGATTTATAAAAGCACGTCGTCTTTGTGTAACATGTCTTTTAATCATAAAACAACCTTGGTGAAACCTGGGATTCGGACCCATGTTTATAAGAGGCCGAGTGTGGAGTTCGAACCTTAATATAATATAATATAATAATAATAATAATAATAATAATAATAATAATAATAATAATGTCCATTTATATGGCGCTAAACTCCACTGGGGCGTGCTCATAGCGCATACAAGAGTCAAGGGAAAGAAGTAAAACCTTGGCAGCAGTACAAGGTCACTTTAAAGGTAGAATTGGAACAGATGAGTCTTTAAGAGACACTTAAATTGTTCCAGCGACTGGGCGTCTTTGAGAGAGTCTGGCAGTGAGTTCCATTTAGTGGCAGCTGCAACACTAAAGTACTTGTAACCAAAGGACATATTCTTCCATGGTGGCACCATGAGTCTATGATAGGATACTGACGCGCCTAGGGGAGGCTACTCAAGTGAGCGGATTCTACCGCCTAAGAGTACTAAAATACCCTTGCCCCTGAAATTGTAAACGTGTTCTGAAAAGAAATCCTCACTCCTATCGATTTAATCATATCTTATTTATTTTATACGAACATAATGGTTAAGTAGACGTGATCCATGTACACTGTTTCATTTAATGATTTTGTCAATAGAAAGTACTCGGCAGTATCGATGTAAATTGTGTAGAGTTTATGTTACAATAGGTATGCTGATATCGATCTAGGACCAGGCTTGACAGATCGATCTGTCAGAATGTAGTAAGAGTGAGTGAGTGAGTTTAGTTTTAGCAATATTCCAGTAATATCACGGCGGGGGACACCAGAAATGGGCTTAACAAATTGTACCCATGTGGGGAATCGAGCCTGGGTCTTCGGCGTCACAAGCGAACGTTTTAACCACTAGGCTACCCCCACCGCTCCGAATGTAGCATGAAAATATGGCATAAGACGTGGATTCGACCATGAAACATAAATGAACCTATTGTCCGTTTGGCTCAAAATCGGACCGATGAATTGCAATCTAACTCGAAAACTAATACATATAATACTCAATGAAACGCTGATCATAATCAAACATCACACCAACTCTGTGATTTATTTGCAGAATATATGTACTAAAAAGTTGTTTAACAAACTATCATTAAAACTTTGACACAGTTCACTATTTGTTACGAGGGAGGAGTGCAGAGAAGGGGACAGCCAGGTGTTAGAGAAGCACATACACAAGTGCCGACTAAGCTATTGATTCATTAATCTGTGTTGTGCCGTCTCCATCCTTTCTCGCACACCTGGCTGTCCCTTTCTCTGCACTCCTCCCTCGTAACAAACAGTGAACTGTGTCAATATTTTAATGACAGTTTGTTTAACAACTTTTTGATTTTTAGGACATAAATTCTGCTAAAGCTTCACAGTTGGTCTGACGTTTTGATTATGATCAGTGTTTCGTTGAGTAATTTATGTTTATTAGTTTTCGAGTTAGATTGCAATTCATCGGTCCGCTTTTGAGCCAAACGGACTATAATCAGATTGTGATTCTTTATCTCACAGCAACCTGCACGTGTCGGTGTAAACGTCTGATACCCACATCGGTTCAGGGAGGGGACGGTCGGGTAACCAAGTTGTTAAAGCCGGGTTTGATCCTCCACATTGGTACAATGTGTGAAACCCATTCCTGGTGTCCCCCGCTGAGATATAGCTGGAATGTTGCTGAAAGTGGCGTAAAACCTTCCTCGATCAGTCAGTTTACCAGTTCCTTCACCAATTTGACTCTCCTTACATGACTGTTCAGATGGTTGTGCATTGGACCCAACCTCCCTGAATGTGAAATGCTGTACACAATAATATTTCGTTTTCGCTATATGCATGTTTTCCAATCTACGTATTGACAGTTTACACGTTGCGCCCTGTTGGACCAAAACAGTCATTAACATCTACTTTTACTATTAACTAGGTGTTTTCAAGAGCTGAGAAAAAATAACATTCTTGGAACAGAGATAGCCAATGCCATTGCAATTTTAGTACGTCTTATCAGCACGTGCTGTGTTCTCACACTGGGTCAAACGTCACCCCTTGTACTGCCAGAACTATCTCACCCTGACCTTTGACCTTCTCACACAACCACCATGCGTCTCCTTCTCCTACCGTTCCTTGCTCTAGTTTTGGTAAGTGGAAATGTTTGTGTTTAATAATAATGGATGAATGATAACATGGAAATTTGAAGCCATTAGTGCCTTTGGGTACAGAGAATCAACGCTATGAATAATTTTCTCCTTGGGCGATACAGTTCGTTATGTACTATATTTCCGTGTTATAGTTTGTGATTCCATTCCATAACCTTTTTTTCAGGCTCAGGATCCGTATGTGGTTCCTGACGGTTACATCACGACAAGAATTGAAGATTACTGGTTTGAGTTTCATGCCACTCACGTGAGTCATTCTAAGGGAGATAATTTGCAAAACGTGGAGTTGTCTCCCCTACTATGTGTCCATTTGAGTTGAAAACAGCGAAAAAAGCGATGTGTATGCTCATATGTGTATGTGTGTATGTGTGTATGTGCATGCGTGCGTGCCCCTGTCTGGCGCTCGGCATTAATGGGTACAACAAGAACTGGTCGGCTCGGAGTCAGTATAATGTATCTGAGTGGGGTATTCATGCTTCACTGCGGCATGGTATCTCAGTGGGCTAGCACTATAAAACCAGCTTAAGTCTGGGCTAGTACAGGCAGCCACACATACACAAACACACGCATGCACGTCGTCATATGAGCGAAATATTCTTAAGTACGACGTTAAACCCAATTTCACCTCACCTCACCGTATGCGTGCGTGCGTGCGTGTCTTTTTCTATAGTATTTAAGTAATAAATAGTATTGTCACAGAGTAGATTTTCAAGGCAAAAAGTTCGCTCGTCACGCCGAAGACCTGAGTTGGATTCCCGAAATGAGTAAAATGGGAGAATTTTCCCATTTCTGGTGCCCCCCCCACTGAGATATTGGTGGAATATTGCTAAAGGCGGCGTAAAACTAAACTCACTCACTGCAAGGCAAACGAAAAGAAACACTATTGAAATGACACCGATGTTCCTGTAAATCCGACTTCGTAAAGTGTTCCTCTATATTCAGCTTAGTTATAACCATATGTTCTTCTAATCTAACTTTGCAATAGACACCTTAAATTTGAATTTGACTTTGTTAGAGCCGATGTTCCTCTAATTCTGACTTCGTTACAGCCGATGTTCCTCTAATTCTGACTTCTAGTTACAGCCGATGTTCCTCTAAATCCAACCCATTTCTCACAGCTGCTTTTCCTCTAAAAAACTACACTTCGTTAAAACATAGCCGATGTTTTGTCTTAAATCTGACTTCATTTTAGCCGATGTTCCTCTAAATTTAAACTTCCTGACAGCCGTTGTTCCTCCTTCGTTATAACCGATGTTTTGTCTTAATCTGAGTTTATTCTAGCCGATGTTCCTCTAAATTTAAACTTCCTGACAGCCGTTGTTCCTCTAAAAACACCTTCGTTATAGCCGATGTTCGTCTTAATCTGACTTTATTCTAGCCGATGTTCCTCTAAATTTAAACTTTCTGACAGCCGTTGTTCCTCTAATAACACCTTCGTTATAGCCGATGTTCGTCTTAATCTGAGTTCCTCTGTGCCACTTTATTTTTGCTGATAGTCCTGTATACCAATTTCATGCTATCTTTTATGGCTGTTATTCAAAGTTAACGTTTAAGAGCACGCGTGTACTACCAAAACCCACTGAAGATCTAGAGGATTTGTTTGAGGAAGTGCAAATTGATTGAAATGACATCCTGTCAATATTCAGCATTACCATCTACCAGTCGACACACAGTCTGAAGTTGAATGCGTGAGCTACAGAACATACCTCCCTTGGGAAATAAATAATATCGTCTTTGGATGTGTCTTGTAATTATCCGCTGCAGATCCATGAGTTGGTGCGTAGCCTTGATGCCACAAAGTTGACGGGCTATTGTGTAACTCACAAACACGCCTGAAATGGGTTGCAGAATCTATGGAGATGTCGCGAGCGAGTAACCCACCCTGAATAATTCTATACATTGTAATCACAAACAGAATATACATACGGATTATCGCAACAAAACATCTCGCAGTCAAGCTTGATGGATTTGTTCTCATATTTGCATCCTCCATGACGCGATGCAACGCCGGCCAACACGTGAGTAAATTTACATATCTAAAAAATGTCATCAAATACGCTTACCGTGTTGGCCAGTGGTGTGTCGACACTGAAATGTCACACACAGTATCACATTAGATACGCACTATACTCGGCCATTGATGGCAATGCATGTACATGTTCTACACCCAGTCGCCCAACACCCACTCACTCGCTAATCCACTCGCCGGCCACTCACCCAACCATTCCTTCACCATCCCACCCACCCGGCCTCTCCCACACTCACGAATCCACTCACTCACTCACCAAACAAACCCACTCACTCACTAATCCACTCACTGACCACTCACTCACCAATCCACCCATGCATCCATCCACCCAGTGACTCACTAACCCAAACAAATCCACTCTCACTCACTCAATCGTCGACTCACTCACTCGCCGACTCACTCACTCGTCGACTCACTCACCACTCACTCTCACTCACTCACTCTCACTCACTCACTCTCTCACTCTCACTCACTCTCACTCACTCTCACTCACTCACTCTCACTCTCACTCACTCACTCCTCACTCACTCACTCACTCACTCACTCTCACTCACTCACTCTCACTCTCACACTCACTCACTCACTCACTCACTCACTCCTCCTCACTCCTCACTCACTCACTCACCTCCTCACTCACTCACTCACTCACTCACTCACTCACTCACTCTCACACTCACTCTCACTCACTCTCACCTCACTCACTCACTCACTCACTCACTCCACTCACTCACTCACCACTACTGATCCTCGACTGACTGACTGACTGACTGATTCGACTCCTCTCACTCTCACTCTCACTCACTCACTCACTCACTCACTCACTCTCACTCCTCACTCACTCCTCCTCACTCTCACACTCACTCACTCTCACACTCACTCACTCACTCGCTGTTCTGTGGGTTGCAGCACCTGCTCCTGATTGTGGGCAAGACATGCCACATCGTCCACGTGGACGCCGTAATGGAGAGACAGCTACGAGTCAAAGATGACAGGGAAGCCCTGGAGGTAACTATGCATCGACGTCACAACATCACGGATTTTAACGGTGTTAAAAGGAACTTTGTCAACTCCAAACGAACTATATTTAAACGCCAATGATACGTTGTTCTTGTCCACCCGATGTGCCCAACGAATCGTACTTCTGTCTCAATTAATGTTTCCTCGCGAACTGTTCAATCAAGCATTCTCAGTCCCTTCGTCCTGCATTCCCAAGCACATGTTCCCGCTTTCAGTGTTCCCCCACGCATTGTTCCGTGGCTTATTGTTCCCTTGCTGAATCTGCCTCCACGCATTGTTCCGTCTCGCAATGTCCTCTCATGCATTATTCCCTCGCACAATATTCCCCAACGCATTGTTCCCTTGCTCTATGTTCCCCAACACATTGTTCCCTTGCTCTATGTTCCCCAACACATTGTTCCCTTGCTCTATGTTCCCCAACACATTGTTCCCTTGCTCTATGTTCCCCCACGCATTGTTCCCTTGCTCTATGTTCCCCAACACATTGTTCCCTTGCTCTATGTTCCCCAACGCATTGTTCCCTTGCTCTATGTTCCCCAACGCATTGTTCCCTTGCTCTATGTTCCCCAACACATTGTTCCCTTGCTCTATGTTCCCCCACGCATTGTTCCCTTGCTCTATGTTCCCCCACGCATTGTTCCCTCGCTCAATGTTCCCCAACACATTGTTCCCTAGCTGAGTGTCCCCAATTTATTGTTCCCTCGCTGAATGTGGGCATGGTTTTTCCCCACGCAATATTCCAATTCTATCACGCAATGTTTCCTTCCATAAAACTACCTCGCGCATGTGTTTCCTAATATATTGTTTCGTCACGCACTGTTCCCTCACGAACTGTTTCCTCAAGCAATTTTCTTTCACGCATTGTCTCCAGGACGACATGTACAACAACTACGTCAAGCCGAACCTCCACGAGCACGCCTACACCTACAGCGAGCTCCGCAATGAGTTCCACGACTTGTACGCCAACTTCCAGTGTATCGGCAAATACGTCTACAAGATTGACTACGTGCATCCTTCCATGGCTCCGATTTCATCCGGGACCTTGGACACCACCCTGGACAATGGGGGACCCATAGGTTAACTTATATGAATAATTGAACCGTGGGATCACCTAGTATCTCTCTCCCTCTGTAATAAAATACAATCCCGAAAGAGGCCATTTCTTTTTTCCAATTTGATTTTTGTTTCTCTTCAGCACAAAAGACACAGCAATACAATCCCCCACTACACCGCACTACACACGATAACACAACGGTATACACAGTAGGGGTGGGTATTGCAAGGAATTTTCATATTGCGATAAATTGCGATGCGAAAGCATGTATTGCGATATGTATTGCAATATATTGCAAGAAGTTTTCTTTAACAAAAAATACGTATAATCGAGTTAATGCTTGATTTATAAAGTAAAAACACAACAAAATCACAATGCTTGATTAGGCGTTAGTAAAAATTTTTAATCCTGACAAAATAAAAATGTAAATAATGTTTGGCACAAATGAAACAAGGAAAGGAACAATGTAAAAAACGGAAATATCCGAAGATTTCCGAGTGTTACGAAGTTTTCCGAATGCATGTCAAAATACCGGTTTTCGATCAGCATATCGCAATACGTATTGTTTTCAAGTCTGAACCTGTAAATACCGGTGAACCGGTTATATTGCGCAGCCCTAATACACAGTAATATCCTTAAACCCGCATTTTACGTATTTTAGTTTTGGTTTGTTTGTTTTTAATGCTGTATTCAGGAGTGTTCCAGTAATATGACAGCGTTTTGTAAATAATCAAGTCCGAACCAGACAATCTAGTGATTGAAATCATGAGCATCGATCCCCGCAGTTTGGATACAATGACATGTCTCATCCAAGTCAGTAAGCCTGCCACCAGATCTCGTTAGCAGCCTCTTACAAGAATGGGTTGCTGAAGACCAATTCTCAACCGGATGATGTATTTACGTTTCAGAGCGACTATTTGAAGAGGAGGAAAATGTTCAGTTGTTTTTATTGAGATAATAACACAGTCCCAACATACATGCCCGAGCAATCTGAACCATGAGGCGATTCCTTTAAGGTGTTAGTAAATAGGTATGTGATGTCGTAATATTCAAGTTTTTACCACTGGAGGCCCGGCATATCTCAATATGACAACAATATTGGTTTAGATATCTTCGTCTTCTAAAAGATATTGTTCTCACAAAGAGAAGACGACTCAATTATTTGAACCCACATTCTAAGAGTCAGACACCTTAATTGCCAGAGATCTAACGCACTCAGCTACGGCAATTGGTAGTGTAGATCACGTGCTTTGTCATCTCCGTGTACAGACAATGTGAAGTGCATTAAACGATGTAATAGGTGATCCGTCACATCGCCGGTTCCGAATGACTGCATGCACATCACAAACTCTGCAACAGGTGCAGATAGACCCATCAGCCAGCGGCACACAGAGGGTTCTTAAGTGGGAAAGACATAGGCCTGCACGTGCTGTGTGATGACGTCAGCCTTTGTCCTCCATTACTTGTTTGTCAGTGTAATACAACTTCTTGTATTGTACTGCAGGTGCACAACATATGTCCGCCTTTTGTCGTCTCCCAGCTTCAGACGATGTTTTCACACACAAGAACAAAACACTAATTACCAAATGAACTACTCACAGCATCGTGTAATATCATTTTTGTCTGTTCCACATTGTGCAAATGGCGCACGACCAACTCGTGTTATTCCGGGACGTTACGGAAAGGGGCGAGTGGTGACGAATGCTTTTCGGCAGTCATGGTTACGTTACGTCATCAATGATATTCAGTAAGCCATTCATATGATTTTCGTCATTATTTTGCATTTTACGCAATGGAATCTGTTGAGCGGATAATCGAAGGTTGTCATTATCTGGTGACATGATAAGCTGGTTGCCTTGGGTGTCCCGACACAAGTATTAACTGAGAAAAGATACGTCCCCATTGCACTGAATGTGCTTGAATAGTTCGAGCGTTCAAGGTTACCATTATCAATTGTTAAAAGCACCGAGAGCGTCACCGTTACACGGGTTCGACACGTATTGCGCAATGAAGCTTTCTTGTTGATTAGCTAATTAGTTAATAAGTTAATTGTGATCAGCTACTGTGAGGATGTATTGTAGTGTATTCTCCTAATAACAGCCCACTTTCCGCGTGACGTCACAAAGTACAACTTCTGACAATGCAGAGTCGTTGTTGTTGGCACTACAGCTGGCACTCAAAATTTCAGTCAAGAACATTTGTGTCGAAGTTGAAGGGACCTGCATATATACTTCGAGTTATCCACAGTTCGACACAAGGGCAAAGGATGATTAAATTAAAGATAAGCAGGGACCAGATTTTACTTTGAGTTATCCAAAGTTCTACACAACCACAAAGGATGATTACAATAAGAATAAGTAGGACTAGACTTTTACTTCGCGACAACCGAAATTCGATACATCAAAGTTCGACATAACAGTTTTTGGCTGTATTATACTAATTACGCCAGGTTTTGTTTATTTGAGTTGAACATCACTAATATTGCTTAACTATAACTGAGCTATGAATAGGCCATTCATGTCTGTCAGAGAGGGGCCAGATGTGATATGTTAATCTGAGATTACACCTTCTCAGTAAGGTCAAACTTAGGGATGTGCCCCATCACGGATCATATATCGATAAGTTGACGATTAGTTGACTCACGGCATGAGTGAGTGAGTGAGTGAGTTTAGTTTTACGCCGCTTTTAGCAATATTCCAGCAATATCACGGCGGGGGACACCAGAAATGGGCTTCACACATTGCGCCCATTTTGGAAATCGAACCCGGGTCTTCAGCGTGACGAGCGAACGCTTTAACCACTAGGCTACCCTACCGCCCCCACTCACGGCATGACGTGTTGAACCTTCAATCACTGGCATGATGCTGAGAAACCAAGTATAATAATCGAATATGGGATTAGAACCCACGTCTCCAGAGCAAATTGTTGTGAATGATATCACTGGGCCACCCGTGTCCCCTTTCGCTCGTCACGCCGAAGACCCGGGTTCGATTCACAACATGGGTATAATGTTTGAAGCTCATTTTGGGTGTCCCTCGCAGCGATTATTGCTGGAATAGTATTAAAATCGGCGTAAAACTAAACTCACTCACTCACATTCTTACCTTGTCAGCATGACACGTTGTTAACCTTTTACGTCACGTGGACAAGGCGTCCGCCAATACCAATTGCACAATTGTGCACCCGATGTCCCTGTCGGAGTGTTAGACTCTGGAGCGTCTCTAGGTTCTATATAGTCCAAAGTGGTTCGAAAATATACACATCGAATTGAAATAAATTGCAGCATGTATATTTTTTATTCCTTCATTTTTATGACATGACTACACTACAATGACAAGAATTGTAACAAAGGAATTTGAAGAAATGTTCCCTAACCTAAGACCCCATCACGCTGATTACCCAGGGGGCCGTGCACGTTGGCAACTCAACCTTTCACTCGTAATATTCGTAATTATTCGTAATTACAAAAGCCTTAATAACTAATTAGTTTAACAGATAATCGCACAGATCCACCATGATACCCCCCTCCCCCCCCACCTGTCTACCCGACGCCATCTTGCTCTTCATCCTATCTATCCTTTGGTGCTGCAGCGAGCTGTGTCATCGTATACTAAAGGTATTCAGTCCTTGCACATCAAGAAACGTCATACAAGCGTCGAACGAGGACAAATATTATTGATGTAATCGAATGATGCGTTAATGAAATTACTTCAGATAACTTCTCTAGTGGCTACATATGATGGCTTACGAATAGCTGATGTCGAATTGAAGACATTCCAATTACAGCCTTGACTATAACCTTTGTGTATGTGTGTATGTATGTGGACTGCGATATAAAGGTGCACATGGGGACTACTTTTGTACAGTGGTAACCCATAAACCGGCCAAGGATGTACTATGGATGAAATAGGTTAGATGGCTAATTGTTGGTTTAACAAGCGGAGTAAAGGCTCATTGATTCTTAACCTCAGTATTTAAACTTAAAGTATCGCCAATAGAGACCTTTAAACTTGTTCCTTAATTGTGATGTAAATTTTAAGGGACAACAGCATTTAACGAACTAAAATTTTGAACATAAATTGCGTTTCAAAGGTTCAAAGGGTCAAAAGAATAGAATGCTTGAAATTTGGTTTGTCACTACGTACTATACGAACTACGTTTCTAACTCAGCAATATTCCAGCTATATGGCGGTGGTCTGTAAATAATCGAGTCTGGATCAGACTATCCAGTGATCAACAACATGAGCATCGATCTGCGCAATTGGGAACCGATGACATGTGTCAACCAAGTCAACGAGCCTGACCAACCGATCCTGTTAGTCGCCTCTTACTACAAGCATTGGTTACTGAAGATCCATTCTAACCAGGATCTTCACGGGTGTAAGGACAGAGTAAGTGAGTAGAAGAATAGTTTTGTTTCAGTGACACATGTAACAGTATTCCAGCTGTATTCCGGCGTGTCTGCTTAAAGTGAGATGAAAGCCCGAAGTGATGAAGTCCTTGTATCATTGTAGTGAGACCCACGAGTACGGGTATGGTATGACAAGCCTAGAGACACTCGGAGCAACAGGGATTCGAACCCACAATGGTAGCACTCTGATGCCCAAGAGAGAATCTGTACAAAGCGAATTGCGGCGCTTTAGACAAAATGGTTTTAACAGATATCACGACTTATCTACCCAATATCTAATCTTTGAGATTTGATTTTTTTTCACAATACAAACGCGCTTTTAGTCATAGATGATTCATGACCCATGATTGATTGAGATTATTTTAAAAAACAAACAAACAAAAAAACACGAAATGTGATGTATTGATAGCGGCACCACAGTTTGGTTTTGCAACGTATTGGTCGCTGTTACTGCTTAGTGTTTGTAACATTTTGATAGCGTTTGTTTGGGGAACGGTCATCTTATATGTTGACGAGTTTTATACATTCGATCGTTATTGGGGAATATAAATGATTCCTATTCCTGAATCTTAAGTGACATATTTTGGCAAAATCCCTAGTTTCGTATTGTCAGATAAACTTGCCGTATGATTAAAAGAAATGCATCTGAGAGAAAAATACACCTTTGATTTACGTTTTTCAAGTGTGACCACTTAATGCTTTGTTATGAAACAGCCGTGAAACAGCATGTGATAAACCCTAAATGAACCTGGCAGTCATGTTATCTTCAGGCTTCCGACAACAACAGACACCACGCAGCGCTTGTATGCTGTTAATCACTGGATTGTCTGGTCCAGGCTCGATTATTTACAGGCCGCCGCCATATAGCTGGGATATTGCTGAGTGCGGCGTTAAACAACAAACAAACCAGCTTAGCCTTGAAAGAGGAACCGACGTCCTTCCAAAATTTAGCCTTTCTTCCCACAGAATATCAACGTGGACCCCACAATATACCATTAACACAGTTTATCGATTTAATGATCTTACTGCATCCAGTTCTTGTGAGAAATGGTCTGCGCCAAGGATGTCCCATTCTTACACTAACATTACAGACACAGCAGAAATGAATGCTAAACAGTTCTGTAAATGGGATAATGTTATTGATCAAACACGTTGAATTTACATGAATACTTTCTACATGACGAGTCTAGTATCTACTACACACACGGCATTTCAAGTACAAGAATCTAGTGTAAATACACAAAAGAGTTGGTTTCCATGGCAACCAGATATACATTCGCGGTGTTTGTAAGCGTTTGATCCGGTTGTATCTAGTGAACACTTTGTTGAATACAGCCGTGGTAGCAACTTGTTCTCAGACAAATATGAGCCGCTTGACTGCTATTTGCGTGGAATCGTTTCTCTAATTTCTTAAGTAAACTGATCCTGTTTAAAAGACACAAGTACCATTTCTTTTGGCCCGAATTCAAATATTTGTTGTCGTAGACAACGGTTGTTATCACACTCAAAATTGAGAGTGGGTAAGTGTTTACATATGAGCCTGATTTGTGTGGCAGTGAGGAGAGGTGCCGTTGAACGATGAGGTCTATGTTAGTTTATTGCACTATTGCACGCCTGTCTGTCTGCCAGTCCGTCAGGATGTCTGTCTGTGCCTCTGCCTGTCTGTCGCTCTGTCTGTTAGTCCGTCTGCTGGTACCAGTCCGGACGAATTCCGGTTTAACTATGATAGTCCACGGTGATATCATGCCGTAGTTTTAGTTTAAGACGAATGCCCGACTCAAACACCCAGCCAGTCAGCCCTGATTTAATTCCCATAATGCCGCGATCCAGGCATGGTGACCACATGTACCATCTGATAACGTTGAAGCGATATTATTATATTGAAGCGATATTATTATCTGATGCACTCACAGGTGGATCATATTACCGGGTGAAACCACATTTTGGTCATATTATCGGGTGAAACCACAGACGGATCATATCGAATGAAACCACAGGTGATCATATTGTCGGGTGAAACAACAGGGGTGAAACAACAGGGGATTATGTTATCGGGTGAAACCATCAGGTGGACAGGTCATAGTAACGGGGATGATCATCGGGTCAAACAGGTGGATCATATCGGATGAAACCACAGGTGATCATATTATCGGGTGAAACCATAGGTGGATCATAAAAACAGGTGAAACAACAGGGGGATCATATTATCGCAAACCAGGTGATCATATTACCGGGTGAAACCACAGGTGGATCATAGATGGGGTCACGATCATATTATCGGGTAGACTCTGAACATTCACACGCGATAAATGAGAGTTCGCTTGAACATCCCATTCACTCGGACGCCCTTGAGAGTTCGCATGATCACTCATTTGTCAAGTGACACCATATCCTGTATGTACAATACTAGATAATATCAATTAACGGTAAATACATTTATCCATACGTATACACACATGAGAATTTATTTAGACAAACACGGTAGCAGATTATTTGAATGCTACCTTATTTGTTTTAATTTGTTTTAAATCAAATTAAAGTAAAAGAATGTTTATTACTACATTATTTGTTTTTTAAATCGTGTAGTGACACCTTAGGTTGTTTGTTTAAGTTGATAACATAAATCCATGACTAATATTTATATTCGACTCTACATATACCTGAATATACACACCGTTGTGTCGAAGTTTAAGGGGCCAACGTAAGTCGAGGTTCGACGCAACCACAAATTAATGACCAAGCTTAAACTTCAAGACGAGCGTAAGCCTGACTCATCAGATTTCGACACAACGGTGTTTGTTCCTTCCATGACGACAGGGACGGTGCGGTAGCCTAGTGGTTAAAGCGTTCGCTCGTCACGCAGAACACCCGGGTTCGATTCCCCAAATGGGTATAATGTGTGAAGCCCGTTTCTTGTGTCCCATATCGCTGGAATATTGCTAAAAGCGGCGTAAAACGAAACTCACTCACTCCACGACGAAAAGTGTTGTACCTCACCCTTTGCCAGTATCTCGCCGTAAGTAACATCACAATGCTGCGTTCATTTCAAATGAGTGAGTGAGTTTAGTTTTACGCCGCACTCAGCCATATTCCCGCTATATGGCGTCGGTCTATAAATAATCGAGTCAGGAACAGGCAATCCCGTGATCAACAGCATGAGCATCGATCTACGCAATTGGGATACGATGACACGTGTCAATCAAGTCAGCGAGCCTGACCACCCGATCCCGTTAGTCGCCTGTTACGACAAGCATGGATTACTGAAGATCAATATTCTAACTCGGATCTTCATGGGTCATTTCAAATGAGATGATGTCAAACTTCATATTTGAAAATGATGAGGCATGTTATGATGCAGACAGGTAAATCCAGCTGTAGCATCCTTTGACCTCGGTTCATTAATTGCATTTCTAATATTAAAACTAACAAATAATAAAAATGATAGAGTCAGATGAAGAAACGCTTTATGAAATGTTCTCTTTCTTGCAAATCAAATTGATGTAATATTTCTATTCCGAGAATGAAATTATGGGGTGTATGGTCAGTTGGCCTATGAATTGATCTTAATATTGAAATAAATGATTCATTGTCTGACGTTCTGAATTCAGGGATAAATACATTGTCAATTTCTAATTTTAATATCTCGCTCGTTCAACCTCAGAAATTGGTACCGGGAAGATAAAAGCTGTTGGCATATGTAGGTATAATACAAACTCTAACTCGTCATTTCATCTCTGTGTAATACCAGCAGATTGTGTCACTCAGGGAAAACAACTCAATACAAACATAAAAGTTCCCGCATGTTCTCGACTTTTTCAAGAACTGCTGTCACAACAAAGACATGAAATTAGCGAATTGAAACATTGAACTACAAGCGGAGTTATTTCATATGGCAATTCACCACGAGACAATGTTCTTCCGCCAGCCCTTACATATTGACGGGACTATATAACTACCCGGAATAAATCGATGTTGTGATACATTTTGTTTACGGCGCGTTGCTCTGCGCATGTCATTGAAGCGCTGAAAGAGTCTCGGTCGACACAGACGAAGCATCAGACAGTTGACGACGCCGGCACAGCCCGCTTGCCTTGGAATTAGTTCTGAAACCTGCAGACCAGATTGGAAATCCAAAATGGATGTCAGTTTCTTCTTGGGCATTGTGGCGTGCACGGTTCTGAGCTTAGTTTCGTTTGTTTGTAAGTAGAAATATTTCGGTATATTCATTGTATGGATTTTTTACTTTTAAAGAAATATATTTGGGGTAAAAGGTAAGTAGGCATCTGTGGTTCATGATGATTAAATGAAACAAATGTTTAGACGATGGTGATGTATCTGATACTGATCAGACATTTGTGTTTCGGACCAAAAGTTGGCAGTGTTCTGGAGACTGTTTTCAGCCTTGTGTCGTTTTCATAACCTTTGTAAATTGCTCGGACAAGTGGCTACTTTCCTTTTCTTCGTGTTTTCTATTCAGTGATGTTTCACTGATGGTAAAATATATCATTTTATGTTAAAAATTATTTGAAACGTCAATGTTGTTTTTTCGCTTTGTTTCTGTTTTCAACCCATTGTATATCAACGTACATGTACGAATCTTGACCGTGTAATTTTGTGTGTTAAATGTGTTTTAATCATATAATAATGTACAGAGGTTGTGACAGGACCACCAAAAAGTCATAAGAGTGCTATATTTGCATAAAGAATATATTTTTGTATGTGATAAATAGCTTTTTGATTTGAGTTCTCCACGCGTTTCTTGAGTAAACATATATTTTTTATTTCCGCAATATCAAGTTTAAAACACCGTTTCGTCTCTCTATATAACCCAAGCATGACCGTTTTGGTTTTTTTTTTAATTTGGTATCAGGTATATTTGCAATCAATTTCAACAGGTGAATCTTCAGTTATATATTACCAATGAGTATGGCAGTACAAGGGTGGGTATTCAAACGGAATTTAATCTGTTAACACACGGAATATTTGAGTGATTAACGAACGGAGGTAATATGAATAATATTCCCCCATATACCCCGCAATAAGTTACACAAATAGCACCGCTCCTGATCAAACACCTATAATAAACCATAAAATCCATATTTGTTAATTTGGGGTCCAATTTCATATAACCTATCGGAAACGTCTTACCATAGTTTTCGCATGTGGCAGCAGGATAGCATTGTCATCTGATAAGACTGCTCCTACAATGTGTTTTATCAATATCCTGACGGTTCATGCTTGTCATTCGTATACTCCACTCCTGGATCAGTGGATGAGCGCAGTTGAAAGATATAGCAACGTATTGATTTCATGCAGAAAATCACCATTACCTAGCCTTGTATTTCTGACATTTAAAGTACACTCCCGTTCTTTATAAGAAGCGTTTTACGAACCTTATGCAAATTGATTATTTCACAAGTAAACAAACACAGCAAGACACAAATATATTTGATGAATTGATAAATTGTTCGAAGCTGGAGAATTAAGTTCATATTGAACAATTGGCACGGGGCAAGATACGCTAAGCCATGTCGCAAACACGTGCTGCTATCACTATTGTGCTGCGTCAGGTCCTGAACAGAAAACGGAAAGTCATCTGGTTCACTCTTCCAGCCAGCCAGCTTCATCCACGCGAAGGACTCGGCAGGTTTGTTCTTTCCCTGAACACACTGCACGATGCAGTGGTCGTTCACAGAGCCCCAAAACCCCCCAAAACCACCACCCAACCCCCAAAAAACCCAAACAAACAACAAACAAAAACAAAACAACCTCAGCGAGTGCCGAGTTGATATGGCTCTTTGTTTGGCTGGCACTCATTTCTAAACCGTTCAGCAGTACAGCACCATCAACAAAATCAACATGGACACACAGATTCTGTCCAATATCCTTAGGTCTTTTAAGACAACTGTGGAATACTTTGACATGCTTCACAAAAGGATCACCAGGCACATAAATGTGTGCAAACTTGCGCAATAAAATTCTTTCACGAAGAACCTTCACGTCAATCAAACCACGCCTTGCCATCAAAACTGATAAATAATAATTGAAGTAAGGGCATGGTGGTAGGTTCTGTTGTCACCCATGATTCCTCCTGTGAGGCTGTCAATGTTCTGAATTTGTTGTTTCGCCCAATCAGCAACCCCAAAAAGAGTACAAAAGGACAGACACAGCCTAAGTATTTGTGGCTTTGACTCTGAACTGCTTGTACAGCTTTGAACTGCAGAGTTTCCTCAGTCTAAATTTGTATTCTGTCCGACGTCTGTGCTATACATCAGCTTTCTGGAGTTTGCCTCTTAGCTGCACGAAAGGTCTGACCTCCACCAGATGGTCAGTTACTCCACCAGGTAATTGTCTGCTCGCTTTGTTCTATCTTGCCACGTCTGAGGTGAAGAATGTTGTATTTGCTAAGCTCAAAGAACATGCTAGTGCCCCTGGTAAATGACTCGACAACGAGCATCTGTTTCTGAACCCGTACTGGCAATATGTTCAGGGTCATCCATGTAAAAGAGGTGAGTAAGAAGTGCTGGGCTTTGTGCTGAGGAGGTCCTGGATGGTAACCTTCTCAACAAGCTGAAAGGACTGCGTGCCAAACAGAAAAGCGAAAGATCCCTTTTCGGTTCCTATCTGTTCCATATAAATAATCTCACTGGAAGTGTAGTATGATGACACAGAATCTTTAAGACACCCTGTTATATATCTTATACTGTGTATTCAGACATGTAATTTGGCGGAAGATATTGGCAGAACTCAGTCAAATCCGTTGAAACCTTTCTCTGGGAGAAGATTTGTTCCAACATTGCAGAACCAAGGCGAACACCCATGTAGAATACGTGTATCCGTTGAAACCGTGGTGATTGTAATGATACAATGTGATTGACTTGCACTGAGATGTTGTTTTAAACCACTACATGTGATATCACAGATTCATCAAGAATCTAAACTTATACACATTGTAATTGTCTTTTTGAAGAAGTAGTAATACTACGTACAAGCGCTGTGATGAATCTCCTCAAAAGAAATTTCCATTTAGCACTAAGCCTTTAAAGGAGAGTGTGTAAACACTGCGCGTGTTTTCCTGGTTGCCATCTCAACAACTGAAGCGAGTCTATATACGAAGATTAATTTTCAAAGAGCGTCATACGATTCTTTCTCGAAAGATGTTGGATCCAGGTTTCAACTTTGGTCATGTGGGGGATATTCCCAGTATCACGTATAACAACTGATATAATCACAATTTTATTGATTGACACCGGCTTATGTTATTGTTGAACGGGAAACATCATGTTCTTTGTTTGTTTGTTGTTGTTGTTTTGATTTTATTGTTGTGTTTTTTTGGGGGTGAAGTGTGTGTTTGGTTTGGTATTTTGGGATTTTATTTGCATGTTTGTTGTTTTTGATATGTTTGATTCTTTTAATTTTTTTTGTTGGTGTTGTTTGCTTGTGTGATTCTTTTTTTTAATTCCTTTCTTTTTTTTTTTTGGAGGTGATTTTGTTGCTTTGAAGAAGCGTCTGTACGAAACTATGATAACGTTTTTTGTTCATGTTAAATGTTGTTATCGTTACTGCATGGCTGAATATCTGCCAGACTTTTTCTTGTTCATTCAACATCAGTTGTTTAGCTCTACGTTTTATTAGATCCTGATCTGATATTATTTATTCGGCCGATTTCACCTTGAACCACCCCGTCCGGACTGAGGAGGTTAATCTATAGGACGTATTTTACGCGCCAGCCGCCGATACTGCTGTTTACAGTGTTGTTTGCGAATACTGTCATTAGCTGTCGGGGAGTTATTGGAAACTCAGTAAACGGAATATCAATACTGGATCCAATATGATTGATCAGGGATTCAATATAACACAAATGGCCTGTAGACCATTAACCTGTGAGGGATGGAAACTGTGAGAGAAATGGGTTGGCCAGTTGAGGCCGAGGCGTGTTAGGCTTTGTAAGATGTAGAGCATTATACAAAAGAAGAGGTTAGTGTCGTCAACGTGTGCATTGTTATTCCAATTATCATCCCATGGTGCCATTTCAAAAACTCTTTAGGGGCGTTTGGGTAGCCTCGTGGTTAAAGCGTCTGCTTCTCAGGCTGAAGACCCGGGTTCGATTCCCCACATGGGTATAATGATTAATGAGTGAAGCCCATTTCTGGTGTCCCCCGCCGTGATATTGCTGGAATATTGCTAAAAGCGGCGTAAACTATACTCACTCACTCAAAAACGCTTTTATAAGTATTTATTCAGGCATGTTACTGGTCCACAGTTACTTGGGACATGAACCTGCTACGTTCAGACGTTTATGGTGGTTGGTGTTGATTTGAAGTTTTCAGAGTCAGTTTGAGACCGAACGCGTTAGTGTGAGGTTTCAAATCGATAATTCACAGGTTTCAATCATGGATGATACAACAAAATGTAGATGGCGTTAGTCACCTTTTACAGGCGCACACACACACAGACAGACATGACGTACTGGTTGATCAAACACGTGGAATAAGTAACATATTAAATAATGCCACATATAAGGTATGTTATCATCCACTTTGGCAAAAGATGTGGGTTTGCTTATTTTCAACTTATATCGGTACTTTGTAGTCATTTGATTTAGGGATCATCTGTGAAGATCCGGGTTATAATGATTGTCGTAAGAGGCGACAAGTGGTTTCGGGTGGTCAGACTCGCTGAGTTGCTTGACACATGACATCGTTGCGTAAATCGATGCTCGTGGTGTTGATCACTGGATTGTCTGGTCCAGACTCGATTATTTACAGACCTCAACCATATAGCTGGAAGATCACTGAGTGCGGCATAAAACAACAAAATTACAAATATAGTTTGGATTAACCCTTGGCAGTGAAAGACATCAAGTTTTAAAAGTGTATTGGAATTGGTCAAGTATTTCCTTCAAAATTTATAAAGGCAAGAAATTAACTGACACCTCTATCAAACAATTTAGAATTGAAAAGGATTCGATGGCTTTTCCAGAGACAGTTGTCGTACCTTGTGCTCTTAGCCTTCTTCTAATTAGCTCGACACGAACACGACTTTACGTTCCACTAGAGTTTGGTTTTACATGTTGGAGAATGTACACTTGGGCGGTCGTTCAAGCATGGAGTAAAATCACAATGGAATTTTCTTGTTCACTTCCGGTTACTGATCAAAGTATAGAAAAACAGATCAAGAAAAATATCTTTGTCCCGCTGCAAAAAAGCTACAGTGCTTGATCTCTTTCACCATTGGAGTCATCGGTTCCCAATTGCGCAGATCGATGCTCATGCTGTTGATCACTGGATTGTCTGGTCCAGACTGGATTATTTACAGACCGCCGCCATATAGCTGGGGTATTGCTGAGTGCGGCGTTAAACACAAACCAAGCAAGCAACTTTAAGTGATTGGCCTGGCCCCTTAGTTTCACCACCAACATGTGTTATATTATACATTGTGCATTATGAACAGTTCGTTGCATCTTACTTCTCTCATGGATCATGTGTGTTGCGGCACTGAAATGGATTTCGCTAATGTTCGTTTCCTTACTCTCAGAAGTAATTTCCTAACGCAGTCTGTGACATTGTCACGAGTTAATTTGTCTCGTATTAGATCTTCTCATCGTGTCCCATATTCGCATGCACTGGCTTTCTGTTTCAGGTCACTACATAATCAGAATTGTCTCTTCTGCCTTTTAGTTTCCGGAATGTTACTTGTGTCCTTAGTCACGTTTCTTTCTGGTGTCCATGTTTCCGAAATGAATCACGAGTGAAGTTACAGTGAAATTTGGAACTTCTTTTCCGGTGACAGAAGGGAACTTAACTAATCCGAATACTGATTTTAACATTATTCTGGACAGCTCTAAAACTATGACTGTAACATTATTTATTTATTTATTTATTTATTTATTTATTTATTTATTTTTATATATATATATATATATATTTTATTAATTAATTTTTTTAATTTGTTTTAATTATTTATTCATTTATATATATTTATTTATTTATTAATTTGTATGTTTGTTTGTTATTATTTATTTATTTATTTATTTTCTTATTTGTTTGTTTGTTTATTTATTCTTTGACACCGACAATAAACACATTACTCATCAAATTAATTTCCTTTCAGGCGGAGACTACACAATGGGGCCAATGAACTTGTCGTGGACAGAGGCCAAGGACTACTGCAAGGCGAGGAGCGCCGTAATGTACATGCAGACCGAGGTGGGGCAATGGGACGATCTCAACAGAAGCTTAGAACAACAGAACCTGGCGCTTAAAAATGACAGGTAGGTAATATGAAACTCAACGTGCATCTTAGCCAATTCGCGCTTAAGAGTTGCGTACCTTACTTATGCCCAAGGGATAACTAGTGGTCCAGTACTCTAACCTTGGATTTCAGTTTAAATTGGTGTTAAGTCCAAGTCATTCACTCACTCACTCACTACTCAACACCTGTGTTTCCCATGGCAATTTGTGAAAGTTTCAGTTGTTGCCTGACTACAATACTAGTATGTCCTGCCGATTCCATGTTGTGTTATATCTTTCACTATTGTATTGAATACTTAATACCCAGTTCGTTCTGATCTGTATTCGATAGATACTTTTAAACGCTACCGCCCAAAGAACTAAAACTTGAGAGCGTGCGTGTGTCCCATTAAAACACACTGGCATATAGAGGATGAACGAGGTATTCTCTCAGCTAGAGTTAAATATCCGTATTAATAAACACAAAGACCGCCTGATATATTTTTTGCAAAAACTGAGTGAAACCATCAGTGCTTACCCATTTCTGGAGGTGGGGTGGACTTGGTTAAAGCGTTCGCTCATCACGCCGAAGTCCAAGGTTCGTTTCCCATATGGGTACAGTGTGTGAAGCCCATTTCTGGTGAACCCCGTAAAAATGCTAGATGTGGCATAAAACCACTCACTCACCTAACAGCTGGAATCCGTCCAAATAATGTTCATCGCAATTTAGACGTAGAGTCTGTTTCGTCGGAGAATGATTCTTCTGCAGCATTTGCAGTATAGCGCAAGGATTGTGAGGATTATATATTCAACTTGCAATTCGAACTAAAATATCAGAAACATGTCACAGAAATGTTTGGTCCGAGACATAAAAAGTGACCCCGGTTTGTTGTGAAACAAATCTATTTCCAAACGTGTTTCTTTACTTACCATCGGACTTCTACACCGCTGTCGGAATTCAAAAATATCTGGTTCACACCAGATTAATTAAAAGTCCCGTCATGTATACTAAATATTGTTGATTTTACGTTACACAATAAAATTTGCATACCCGCCTCTTGACCTATAGGGGTTTAGTAGCATAGTGGTTGAAGCGTTCGCTCGTCACGCAGGAGACCCGGGTTCGATTCCCTACATGGGTACAATGTGTGAAGTCATTTCTGGTGTCCCCCCGCCGTGATATTGGCTGGAATATTGCTAAAAGTGGCGTTAAACAATACTCACTCACTAAACCTAGACCTCTTTCACGTAGTCTGGACATAAGGCCTCTTGTAATAGTTATGTCTAGACGGCCAGTGCTTCCTGTTCGTCACGACTGCGTCACTATCAGACTCCCCAGTCGTCACTTTGTCTCAGTCACGGAAGTCTGCTGTCTCTGTCCACAAGTCTTGTGTCTTTGTCCACTGTCTCTGTGATGTTGTCTGCTTGAGAACGATAACTGTGGAAGCCAATTACCTCTACCGGTTTTCCCAAACAAGTTACACTGTTGGTAGACGCGGTAGACTGAGCTCTTTATCTTGAGCCTAGCGTTGATTTACCAGTCTGAACAAGAAATACAAGGGATGGGGAGACCCGCCTCGTGCGTTTCATATGTACATCTATGTAAATATATGTTCAGGTGAACAATTGACTAGACTTAGCATATGTTTATGACGGGTGCCACCGGTGGGGCAGGATACTCTCATTCTTTTCGCGAACACCTGGTATCATGACTATTTCATAGTGATTCATAAACACATGCTCTGTCATCGTATCGCATACTGACAATCACTGGATCGTCTGGTCCAGACTCGATATGTTTACAAACATTGTACAGCTGTAAATCTGCTGAAACAATATATGCTCATGGTATAATCACAACTGTACAACAGACTGCTTTTAGCAGAGATGTCATGGATGTAGAAAAGGTTTTGTCCCTTCTAAGTATAAAGACCCAGAATGACGAAAATATCCACAATACTCTATGACTAGAGAAATTACTGTACGATAACTTCTCTGAGTGGCATTTAGAAGCCAGTATGATGAACAGGAACGATATTTATGGATAACTTCTTTATTCCAATGGATGCGACATTTTGGTGTAAATTCTAACACCGTTATCAAGCAATTGATCCCAACGACGCATCCATTGCAAGAAAGAAGTTTATTATCCATAAAATATCGTTCCTTGGCTTTCCGGTGGTCGGTTCTACGGGTCCTATCTCTCTGAACGGATTCTCTATTCTTCTACAGCGGTCGTAATTCCAAATCATCTAACCGAATTTTCCGGTTCATAGGACAATGAGGTTTTGAGATATTGTACTGTTAGTTGGTTGGTTTGTTGTTTAACGCCGTACTCCGCAACATTCCAGCTTTTTGACGTCGGTCAGTAAATATCGAGTCTCGACCAGACAATCCAGTGATCAACATCATAGCATCGATCTACGCAGTTGGGAAACGATGACATGACAGACAGACAGACAGATAGTTTATTAAAGTCTCACCTCACAAGCGCATAGTAACAATGCACAACACAAGTACAATAAAACAGTGAGCCACCCTGTCTGGGTTACGAGAGACTATTAGCTAAGAACATATACACACAATATGAAAACTATATACACATAGAAGTTATTATTAAATAACGAAGAACAATAAACAATACATCAGTAAGATATCATAAAGTATACGTATACATACACAATATAAAACCATTACCTATTACCATATAAAATTTGTTTCCGTTTCTGAAGTAAAAGCTTGCAGGTTTGGGCAGAATAAAAAAACAATATTCGGATTGGCTAAGATGAAACTAACTTTCTGTATATCTGTAAAATCATTAAAATTATCACAGCTATTTGAACATTTACTTAGGAGGGTAAAACGTATGTCATTATAAAGGGGGCAGTGTAGTAAAACATGGATGTCATCCTCAACTTCATCCTTACAATAAACATAAGTTCTCTCCTCCACCGGTGTATTAGTGTACCGTCCAGTCTCTATGTGTATAGGGGCTACTCCGCACCTGACCTTAGCTAGGGCACTTCTATTGCTTCTGGAAATGGAATTAAAAATATAGGGTTCAACACAGATATCACTCTTAAAATGACTGTGCAGCCGCAGTTTATTCCCTCCCACACTTCTCCTACTGTGAGTCCTTTGCACATCAGTTTGCCAACTGGCTATAGTCCTTTGCACATCAGTTCGTAGCGCTACGACAGTCTGGTCTATGTTAAAGTACTGGGAGTTACGACTCGTAGCGCTGATCGCTTTGGACCCTGACTTGGCACATAGTTCAGATGAGATAAAACAGGTGTGAAAATCGTTGTTCAGAGGGATAAAAAGATCTCACACACTCTCAACTTATCATGGACTCGTTTATTCCAGTTCCGCTTGCGCGTTCTGCTTGAGTGTTGCTCCAGATAAAAACCTTATATACGAACCGATCATGGTGTATGGAACTTAAACGTTTATAGAACTTTACAACGCTTCTCCATTGTCTCACACACGGTGGAATCCATCCCATATCACCAACCAAGGCTGCATTTGGCACGTATTTGTTGAGTCCCATATAGAACAGCATGGCTCTATTTTGTAAAGCATTAACGGCTGGCACGTTGTATTGGCCCCTGATTGCCGCTCCATATTCAACTACAGACCAGACCATAGAACCGTAGAGCTTAGTGTACGTCTGGTATATCATTCCTCCAATCACTTTGTACTTCGATATGAGGAGTCCAAGCGCCCGACTTGCTGAACTTGCGCCACCTTGCCCATTCGCCTGTAGTCTAAAAATTCAGTAAGAAAAAGTCCAAGATAGGTGTAGCTGTCTGATACCTCCAATGCGATGTCCCCACATAGAAACGAAGATTCTGTCCTAGGAGTTGCCGGATTCCGGAAGTGAATAACCTTGGAGTTGGCTTCATTCACAGTCATCTTGTTCTCTTGACACCACAAGTTTAAACAGTCCAGCATCAAGTTGAGGTTGTTTTCATTCTCAGCCAGAAGGACAACGTCATCCGCGTAGGCATGAACCTTTTCACAAAGTGGTCATTGATCTGGACACCAAGTTCAAGCTGATTTATACGAATAATGAAGTCATTGATGAAAATGTTAAAAAGAAGGGGTGATAGCAAACAACCTTGACGAAGGCCACATTTCACGTCGAACCACTCCGTACAGACTCCATTAAATCTCACACAGCTCCGTACAGGAGTCATACAAAGACACAACAGCACGATACATATTGCCTTCAAGTCCACTCTCAGTTAATTTCTTCCATAAAATAGCTCTATCAACACTAACATATGCTTTTTTAAAATCCACAAAAGCAACAAATGTCTGTTTCTTCATATTCTCTCTTGGCTCAATCACTGACGTTAAAGTTGTGGATCTTTTCTTTCTGAAACCGTTTAGTTGGTCAGCCAGTAAGTTTTGAGTCTCCACGTGGTCAGTTAGTCCAGATTTGAGGATGTTACAGTGCAGTTTATAACAAGCGCTAGTCAGAGTTATACCTCGATATGACAGTGGGTCTCTGGGATCAGATGTCGACGTCTTAGGTATGGGGTTAATAACGCCTTTACCCCACCCTGTAGGGATCTTCTCTGAGATAAAACAGTCATTAAAACGTCTGTGTAAAAAGTGCATACTAGGTGTATTTTTTTTTCCGTTGGAATACCATCAAAGCCACACGCCTGCCCTATCTTGGCTTGAACTAAAGCGTTGTGAACTTCCTCCATGGAGATACCCGCGTTAAGGGCAGATGTGTCATGTGTCAACCAAATCAGCAAGCCTGACCACCCGATCCTCCTTAACCAAGCATGGGGTTACTGAAGACCAATTCTAACCCGGATCTTCACAGGTACTGTACAGAACAGATGAGGCCTATCATGCATGTGTTGTATTTTCACGAAAATTATATCTTTAAAAATAGAACCATGTATGCCGAGAAAACGCCATTTTGGTTCACGTTTGGAAATATGCTGTCACCAATTGATGCTATTTTCAAACGAAGGTCAATCGTGACAAAATAAAGTGAAAGGTATGTTGTTCCGAAGTTAGG